CAAGCTTATGCCCCCTTTTGTCACAATTCATATTGCTTATGATGGGGTTCTATTCTCTGGGGGAGCAATAATGTGACCTCGTGTAAAAACAACAACCTTCTGGGTGTCACCGAATTTATTATGAAGGTGTGCATGGCACCTGCAATAACTGTCAACCTATCAGCTGGGGCAACACAAGTCTGGAACACAGATGCAGAAAGAGAATTTTCATCCCGTATGATTGCACCCTGATGAAGTGTGGACATCCTTGTGCATAGGTCAGCAAAAATTGTAGAGCTCACCCAGATTCACTCATGAAAATTTTTCTGAGCCGGACTCACGCTCACCAAAATCTTAATTACCCAGACTCGCGCCTCAATTTGAGTCCGAGTGAGTCAACTGAGTAGTTTGTCGACCTATGTCCTCGTCTTCATTCAAGAAGCGTGTGGATGAACTCCACCAAAGAGTTCCAGAGTTGGCCTACTGTAGTATGGACTCTGTATGAGTGACACACATGGTCCAATCACTTAAGTATTGGCTGGAGTGGTAGGTTTATCGTGTTTGCATAATATTGCCTCTTCATGTGTTGCGTGGCTGAGCATTCCCAGAAACTGCGCATGTTATTATTATGCTATGGTCCACATTTTCAAGCACTACTCCTACCCTATGCTACCAGGCGCACTTATTAGCATACAGTACGCTACGATAATTGTACCAGTTTGTTATTTTCCTCGTGATTGACTGCGAGCCGTCAAGCTGCTTAGTACAACTTTATATGAGTAAACGAATCCATAGAGTTTCCTAAAATTGACTAGCAGAGACTGGTGCTGAAGTCGTTCAGCGGTCATGGTAATAGTGGTTAGCACACAAATTTGCTTAGTCTTCATGCTTGGGGGCTTTGAACACACTTGCGCTTGTTTAATGTTGTGTTTTGGTTTTGATTCGAATAAAGAAACAGATCATTGTGAACTTTGCCCTGATTACCCTGTTTAAATTGGTGAGCCTAAAAAGATTAAGATGGTGAAGTGCAACTGCTGAACATTTGCAGATTGTCATTTTGTGACAAAGCAGCTCCAAGCCACACGAAGTCATACTGAGCCAGAAGAATGAAGATTAGACAAATCTGTGTACTGCCGACAATTGCTATACTCATTGAAGTGCCCTGCATTGCAGCTCCCTTTGGATGGATATGGCTGTGCCCTTTAGATTGGGTGGCGACTGATGCCACATAGTTGTATAGTTAAATACTATCACTATGTACTGAAGGATTCAATTTCATTCGCACCTTGATTGTAGCCACCAATCAGTTAGCCTCCTCCTGATTATTACTACCTGTTTAAAGTCTATTTTGCCTCCACTGTCTTTAAACTTCAATGCATTGAAAAATTCCACACTATTGTCTTGGACTATAGGTTGGAGCCCTTTACAGAAAATTATCAAATGTTCAACGGTTTCCTCCTCCTTTCCAAACGCACTACATAACGCGTCTGTGCCTTTGTGTTTGGCTCGGTACGTCTTGGTCCAAAGTACTCCCGTTCTGGCCTTGAACAGCTGAGGACTGCCCATAAAATTATCATAGATCTTTCCTTTTGCGATTTGCTGCTTGACAGTTCGGTAGGTCTCCAATGATGATTTCATAAGCATTCCTATTATCCACATGCCCCTCTGTGTTTCCTTCACCTTCTTAACCAATGTTTCCTTGCGGCTTGGTATTCTGCTGTAGTCCAAATACTTGCATGGCATTTTCGAGTTCACTTCCTCTATTTAGTATCAACACTCTTTATGTACAAGTAGCCTCCAACGCTCCTCTCCTATTTTTCTCAACCGCTCCTCAAATTCTATCTTGCTGCTAGCTTCCCTGCCCTCAAATGATGTCCATCCCATATCACTTTGTACTCCCTGATTTGGGGTATTCCTGTGTGCTCCCAAAACAAGTCTACCTATACCATGTCGTTTAACTTCCAATCTTGCTTGAACCTCTGATCTCATGCACAAGACCTGCATTGCCGAACGTCAAACCTGGGACCATGACCCCTTTCCAAATTCCTCTCACAACCTCATATTTATTGCAGCTTCACAGTACCCCATTTTTCATTAAAGCTGCATTCGGATTCCTGTTGTCCTTAGTCATTACGTATCTTTCATGTTCCCTTAGGTACTCAGCCCCTAGACTCAAGCGCCAGAGTTCTCTCCAGTGTATTAAGAGGAAACTATGGAAGGATCGACTCAGTACCAGCCGAATGTTCGTCCGCTACGCGCTTAGCGGGCCTTCCGGGCGTTTTCGCGTTTGTGGCAAGTCTGCCTTCACCCCCCCCCCCTTTTTTTTTTCTACGAACGTCGCGTGGCGTGCCTCCGGTTACAACATACACGGCGTAGCTAGGGGTAGTAGCGCGTATCGAATCTTCTTTCTTTTTTCCCTCCCTTTCCGTTCTCGGAAAGGTGACAAACACCGAGGTTTCCGCAAGTGCGACGAGCCATGGAAGGAGAGAGGAGGCGTTTCTGTCACCGCTCATGAGCTGTCGACACCTCAGAGAGCACCGAGATTAAGTAAAACAAGTTGTAGCGGAAAAGGGGGTGAGAAAAAAAAAAAATCCCAAGCCACACCACGTAAGCCACAGGAATGCGATCGAGGAGAGCAGAAATCCGGCTTTACCGGCAGCTGGAACGCTGCCACAGGTTACCCCAATTTTATTTGCTATTGATATTCTTTTATTTTTACGCGCGCTTACTTTATCAATTTCCTGCGGTGCTTACGCGTTATCTTTCGCGCGCACAGGTGCAGGAACCGACCGATGATGATACGACCGAAAATGACCGCAGGCCGCTCGCCACGAGGTATCTCTGACCGATAAATATTACGCCACGGCCGCGCTGTGTTTGTTCCTGGCTCTAATCGAACTTGGTTCACCTACCCACCCGCCGATGGTAATCGCGCGATTCTACGGGTAATGAATTAACAGCACTGCTGGTTGTAATGAAGAGTACAATTAATTGTCATAGTTTTCATTAACGTTGAATAAACAAGCCCTCCATTTGACAATAATATTGAAAACGAGCAGATACCGGGGCCACGAAAGATGTATGGGTCGTTAATTGCAATTGTAGAAGAATGTAAAGCGGACGGCAGGTCACGGGTTCATTTCCCGTCAGCGGCAATTCGGCTCAACTTCCAATGTGCTTTGCTCAGATCTACGAAATAATTACTATTAAAACCGTACCATTAACGTTGTATTTACCTCTCTTGGCTTCATTATCTGCTGTTTTCATCGGGCTGTGTTTTTCATCAAGATAAGGGTCCCCGAAAACTTCCGTCATTCATTCAAATATACTAATGAGTCGCCGAGATCCCATTCGCGAAATAAAAGCCACCCTGCAGAACCTCACCACTCCAGAACTTGGCCCCAAAGTTTGGAATTGTACTAGAAAAGTCAGCATAAAAACCAGGCCCCCCGAGGCGTGTGTTGCAAGATCACTAGAGGCCGTTCTGTATTTCTGTTTCAATACTTTTACAACGCCGTCTCGTCAGCGTGGCCTGGCGTAGCGTGCACACGACACTCACGTTCTCAAAAAAAAAAAAAAAAAGTGGGACAACGCGGTCGTCAGGGCGTATTTTGTGCTGCTTCACCCACACTGACACACTGCCGTGTCTTTCTCCCGCTTATTTTGTTTTTGCGTCTGTTTTATTCAGACGCGTAGGCGCCACAAGGCGACGGCCGTCAGAAATGAAACAAACACAAAAAGACACAGCCGTACACACGACACGCGGGAAAGAAGGTTTTCTGACGCGGCCTGCTACCTACGTAATGACCTCGAAGGCCAGCGAACACGCCAATGCGAACGCCCCGTTCGTACAACCAAATTTGAGAGTCGACTGCCTTCTTATTGAGACGGTGCGTATGGAAATATGCCAGCTGTGAAACACGAGTAGGCGTCGGGGTTTTCTTTTTTTTTTTCGGGACATACTCCGAAACCGCACCTTTTTGCCTTTGAAAAGCGTTGTATGTCACCGAACAATTCAGTTATAGTTATGTCTGGCGAGTTTACACCATACAGGAGGTCGTGGTTTGAACTGACGAACGCCACAACGGCGTTGGGTTTTGTGGCGCGTCACAGCGGGCGAACAGGTTGCGATCACCTTTTTGTGTCCTTAATTCCGGGCACCTCTCGAGGAGTTAAAGCTGAGGTAGTTTAATTGGCGCTCGTCCCCAAGGTCAAGAGAAGGAAAAAACAAAAGACGGAGGGCCGATGAGCCAGCACCGCTCGCCAAGTAATCGCGGACTTCCTGAGCCAGAGTTCCCCGCTATGACGTGTGTTCCGCAAAACGGGAGTTCCTTCCTCGGCCTGGATTTTTTATCTCGCCAGGAGGGCGACCAACCGTCAAAAAAACAGTCAACCCCCACTTTCTAAACGGCGCGCCGGCGACGCTTCAATCAAAGCCAATGAAGTGGGCGAGGCGCCGGGTCCACTTGGGATCTGTAGAGGGCCTTACACTTTCCACGTGATCGCGGTCAACGAATTTCAGTGCAGCAAGACACCACCAAGCAAAGATGGATGGGGGCTTCAGAACGCAACGTGCTAACTTTTGAAGCCCTTTTTCTGCCGACATTTTCATGTTGTTTTTCTGCCGAGTCGACAGAAATACCAACCGGCGTTTTGGTTGAGCCGGCAAGTTTTGGTGAAGAAGGAACATGAGATGAAAAGAGAAAAAACGGGTTTTTAGGGTCGCGTGCCAAAGTTTTTTTTCGCCCCAGCGAACACTCGCGCAGAGTCGCCGTGCAAGCCGAAAAAAAAAAAATTGCTCTTGCTCACGAGCGGTGATCAGTTAGGAAACACTTTTTTCAGGGTTCACTGACGATGTTTATTAACGCTTGCGAGCATCGTGAATAAACCCCCTCTACGATTGCAAGTTTATTAGGAGCACGCCAAACCGTTCAAACAACTTGAGCGCGCGATGCCAAAAGAAGGCGTGGTGCTAGAAAAGCCTCGAGAGTGGGGAGAGAGGTTAGGGTAGTTTTACTCACCCGTCACCGACGACCACGCACTTTATCGCTTGCATTCTGTGAAGGGCGACCCGCTCGATGGGTTAACAACTGTTCCGGGCCACTTTGCGACCGAGTTCCCCTGCCGGCGACAGGAGACGCGATAAAAGCACAATTCTTGGCGTCTCCCGAGAAAACGCCACAGACACCACCACCGACACACCGTTGGAGCACCACACTGGCACGGGACGATCGCGCGGAAAACAACAAAAACCACCAAACACGGCCACCAACCACACTTCACGAGCGGGCACACTCCCACAGGCTCTTCGCTCGCTGGGCGGTGGACAAAATGGCGGCCATACATAGAGATCAAAATGGCGGGTGGTGAATAAATTTTGTCCCTAGTATCTCCAATTTCTGACGTCTTTTGGTACCTAAAAAATTAGATCCGCTAAACGGGCAAAATTTTGCAATAAAATTACTTTAGTACATTAGGTATTACTGTTTCAAAAATAATTTTGCACAAAAATTGCAAAAAAACACTTGTTCTTCTTAATTTGCAGACGACAATGAGTGAAAAGTTTCGATTTCAGCACTCTTACTAATAACGTGTGCTTTGTAAAAAATAGCTACAACGCCACATTTTAACAATTTGTGTTAATAGAAACTTATATCAAATTTAAATTAGAATAATATAAACTGTTACGTCATTTATTGTGCCATATAACAGTTATGTTTAAAATTTTGAATAAGCGTTTTGAAAGATAAGAATCATTTATTTGATTTGCAGATGCAAGGGCGTTATCAATTTTAGCGGTTGTTGTTATAAGAAAAAACACACATTAAATGTTGCAAGTGGTAGGTTTAGCATGGATAGAGTGTACTAAAACAAAGCTTCACTCTAGCATGGAGGAATGAAAATTTTTCCTTCCTCCATGATGTTTAGTCCAGTGGCTCTGCCAATAATGGCGTCCGCCGTGGCTCTCGGTCTGTTTATCCCTCGCACGTGAAATGTAAATAAGCGGGCGGGTTCTTTCTTTCATGCGCTACTACTCAGCCGCTTGCAGCGCGTGGCGGTGGCGCAAGCGATGGCAACCGTTTGGCAGCAAGTGCTGGCCATCGATGCCCGTTACAATGCCTACAGGTCGCCCAACGACCCCAACTTTCGTGAGTTTCGGTCAACGTTACTGGATGAGGACAGTTGGAAAACTCGCGCGAGGAGGCGGCCGCAAATCGTCGCCCATTCCAGGTGTCGCTGGCATCGCTTTGCGACCACGTCACGTGACCTCTCCGCCGCGCAGCCGGCATCGCGCGGAGCAGACGGAGCAGCGACGCGGCTAGCAGGGCCTGCGCTTGCAGACGATTTTTTCCCTGCTGGTAATAATGGTTAAGTAACCTAAATTAAGTAACGTTAAGTAACCTAAATATAAAAAAAAGGCTGGCTCGTTGTTTCGTAACAGACCTTATGCATTAAATTTCAACCATGACAGAGCAGACGATAATGTTTACGCTGTTCTGCTTTCTGGAGAGAAAGCGGACGGTGACTCTGAGCAAGCAATTGTTCGCGGTTGAATTTTGCTCCCTTCGGGAGAACGGTCGGCATGCCGAGGTGTGCTGTGCCAGGCTGTCGAAGTGGATATTCATCGGCAACGTCAAATGAAGTGCCCTTCGTGCAGCGACACTTTTTCAAGCCACCGAAAGACCCCAATGTGCTGAGGGAGTGGAACAATGCGGCAGGCCGTGCAAACTTCGAAGTTACTCAAAGATCATACATATGTGATCGTCACTTTGATGAAGCGGACATTTGCACCTCCTTCCAGCATGTTGTGAATGGCGAAACAGTCTCGATTCCGCGAGGACGCTGGGAACTGAAGAAAGGTGCGGTACCGCGGCATTTTGCTAATTGCGCTGAGCTTGATTTGAAGCTTTGTGTAGAAAATGTTGGCACAAATGCAGCAAGCGTGCTAGTGGCCGAAGATGACATTACCCCAGTTCTTCAGAGTGAAAGTGAGACGTGCACTGAAATGCTTGAACACGAAAACAGGGCTGCCTCAAATGCTGAAAGCATGGAAGTCATCATGAAAGAAAGCTCCACAGGTGAACATTGGTTTGGTGGCATAGAAGACTTGCCCGTGTATGGAGCATGGTGTGTGCAACACACGGATGAGCGTGTTGTTTTTTACAAACTTCAAGAAATTGGTGGCGTAGTTTTTATTGAAAGAGCTGTCGTTATAAACAAAAACTCGACCGTTGTTGTCAGCGCTAAAGGGAAACTTGTGCCGGAATCGTCTTACACCTTTATTAACAGTGACAAGCTCAATTTTACCACCTTGAAAGACGCAGCGCCCTTTCTTCATCTCATTGAGAGCCTGGGTATCTGCAATGGTTTTGATTCTCGTTTATGTCCTTTAATATCAACTTCTAAGACGGCTGAAAGGTCTGGGAGAACATGGAGAAGCAAGCGATGTGCAGTGCTGTCGGCGAAAGCCTTATGCGTTCAGTGCAGGAAAGCAAAAAAGAACTTGCAGTGCAGGCAGAAACGACGTTCAAGAAAGAGCAAGTACGTGCCTTTGCCATCTGCGCTGTTGAGAAATTTAAGAAAGAAGACTATAAGAGCAACAGTGCTGCGGGAGAAATACAAGAGGGACCTGCTAAGCTTGAAAAAAAAGTTGTCATCAGATCCAAGCAATGCACTGTTGAGCGAGGTTTTAGCTGAACTTCCACCACTGCAGCAACTTGCATTTCGGACAGCACTGCAGTCGATGAAAGCGAAATCTTCAAGAGGTGTGCGGTATGACTGTGGGTGGCTGCTGAGTTGCCTTCTCTTGAAGATTTCAAGCCCACGTGTGTACCGCTTGATGTCAAGAATGAAAATCCTCCCTCTTCCAACTTCGACTAGGCTCCGACAAATAATAAGAGGAATGCCTTGTGAGTTTGGCTTTAATAAGCTCTCCCTTTCCAGCATAGGGGCTTTCATGAAGACTATGAAAGGAGTCCAGTGTTACGGCACACTAGTAATAGATGAAATGAAGGTACGCCAAGCCGTAGCTTTCAACCGTCAAACATACAAGATTGATGGGTTCGTAAATTACGGAGACGGTGAAGTTTCAGCAGCTACTGCTGATCATGCATTGGTTGCAATGTTTGTGCCTCTATTCCACTCATGGGTTCAACCGATTGCAAGTTTTGCAACAAAAAACGCAGCCCCCGGACACGTGCTCGCCAAAATAGTTCTTGATGCAATCGTGCAGCTACGCAAACACAACGCCATAGTCGTCGCAGTAATCAGTGATGGCGCCAGCACGAACAAAGCAATGTGGTCCAACTTTGGCATATCAGGAAAGCTTCACACAGCAAACCACAAAGTTCAGCACCCATGCGAGCCAAATCAAAGCCTCTACTTCCTTTGCGATGTACCCCACATTGTCAAATGCATTAGAAACCATCTTCTTCGACACAAATATGGCATGGTAAGTACCACGTACAGTACAATATCGCAATAAATAGTGTCGCGGTGCCAATCAAAATACATTTTCTTCGCAGCACTACATACGACTGACGGACTTTTTTTTTCCCTCTCTTCTTCTTGCTCATAGATTGGTGAACATCGCATAAACTATGACCACTACCGAGTTTTGCAAGAAGTAGACGGCAAAGAGCAACTCCGCATTGTTCCGAAGCTTACCGCTGAACACGTCTGCCCTGACAACATGAGAAAAATGAGTGTGAAGCTCGCAGTACAGGTAAGATTACGAAAAGCTGCTTTTGAAAGAACTTATAGCTTACCTGATTATTTAGGCAAATTCTTCACATGTGAAACACAAACTTAACTGGTACTGTGAAGTGTTCTCCTTAAGTCTTTTTGCGATTAATAAAATGCCCCTATACGTTTTCTGTCCCCTAGCTGCTCAGCCGAAGTACGGCTATCGGCCTTGATGTGTACCGGAGACTCAAGCAAGATGGCCTGGAAGACTGCGAGGGGACAGCCGCGTTTACCCGCATCATAAATGACCTTTTTGATGCCCTGAACATCAAGCTTCCTCGTTTTGGGATAAGGAGCACATCCAAGGAAATTAAGGCAAGGGCGATAAAATGTGCTACTTTTGAAGAACATTCGCAATAGGTAATGTTAATCAAGAACTGAGGCACTGGGCATATAAATAAAATACAAAACGCCGACAAACATTTACACCAACAAAAGCCTAGTTTAAGTAGACATTTATTTTGTAATTGAAGGAAGGTATTATTGAAAGAAAGACGACGAATAAATGTCTTGGAACTTAGAACTTCTCCTTCCAGATAACTGAAATAAACGTCGATGAGAAGGCGACACGCCGCAAGCGTGATTTCAAGTATTACCAGCTTCCATTTTCATTCAGTGGCACACATGTTTCATTAAAAAATCAGGTTAAAAATAACTTTATGCCTTTCTTCAAAGGTCCCTTTTTTTATAGGCGTCGACGTTTGCATGTAAGAGCTAGCTTGCACAAAAAAGTAATGTCTAACATAAACTTTTCCCTTTTCTAGATCATCCAAGATTTCATGATTATCTTGGACTTGACAGAGAGAAACCACGTTGAGAAAGGAACAGCCATGTTCGCATCTCAAGTAACAATGGAGTCTCTAAGGGTGACTTTGTCATCTATCTTGGAACTAACAAATGACCTCCTTGCTAAAGGTGCACGCTACGTGCTCACAGGCAAGCTTAATCAAGACCCCTTGGAGGTGAGATTAGCATAATTCCATAAAACTGCGCACTTACTTCATTGCATGGAAAATAAACAAAACGGTTATGAGGAAGCATAGCGTGGTTTTAAACAGTCGTCATATCTCTATGTGAGATGTGCAATTCCCGCCTGAGACTTGCACTCTATAAATCCTCTTTATGCATTCCATACGCCATGCGTACTTTGACTTCTGAAAGAGATACATACGGTGAACTGACGTACGGCTTTATTACTACCATTACAGAGGTTCTTCGGAATCACCAGGAGCTTTGGAGGTGACGAAGACCATCCGACGATCCTGAGCTTTTCCCATATCTACAGGTTGCTGAGCCTGTACACACCTGTCAAGGCTTCGATTGCAGGCAATGTCCAAGAGGAGCCAACCTTAATACTAGCCACAGTGCAAGAGACGATGAAGCAAGGGAAGAAGCAGCAGCTGGCAACGTATGAAAAGTTGCGTGAGACAATCAGCGCAAAGATTTCCGAGGTTTGCTTGCCTGGAATAAGTTCAGCATCCCACTCGGGACCGACACCGCTTCCGGACCACGGATATGCTTTGCCAGCAGTACAGGAGTGCGTCGTATATTACCTCTGCGGCTACATTGTACATTCTTTTCTGAAGCACGTCAACTGCGCTGCTTGCATAAGCAGCATCCAGTCAACAAACACTAAATTCCCCGCTTCACTACTGACATTGGCAAGAGAATTCAGGAACGGAAGCCTCAAGCATCCCTCTACAGAACTTTACACAATGTTGAAACGCGTCGAAGAAAAACTGTCTCTCGTGCTAGGAGAAAACCATCTGTGCGCCGACATGTTTTGGGATGCGCTGGATGTCATCAAAGACTGCGATGTTCCAAGCGTTGGTTGTTCAGTTCATAAGGACATCCTGACATCGGAGATTGTACACTCATACGTTGTTTTGAGAATGCACTTTTTTACGAGAGATGTTTGTAAGAAGCTGAGTGCTTCTGGCAGGGTGTCTTCTACAAAAAAGAAAGCCAAACTTCTCTAGACTACGCACCAATAAACTACGCAGTGATTTAACATAGAAATGTTGCCAAGTAAAAAAAAAACAGGAACTTGAACAAATGTGTTTGGTGGCTTTTCTTACAGTTATTGCACAGCAACATGCACAGATCTCAGTGAATTAAGGGCTGTAATGAGGACACGGGAACATCGGAACAGCATTAAATAACCTAGCAGGAGTCCCACGTAGAACACAGCCAGCTTACCGGCGACGCATGTCATTGGTTCGAAATTTGGGTATTCGAGTGTCAAACTAAAATGACGCTGTTCTTTTTAATTCGATTGCATTCCTCCCTTCATGAAGAGGTGACGAAGAGATGAAGGAGCTTCTCCAAGCTCCTTAATTCATATCCACTCGATTGGCATTCCGTGTTCCTAGTCATGCACATTCGATACATTTAATTGTCAATCGGAAAAACAATCTTTACACTTAATAAAACTTCTAGGCGCGTAAAACTTTTTTTTCGCCTTTTGATTTTTTTTTTTTTTTTTTTTTTTTTTTTTTTTTTTTTTTTTAAGCAAGTGATCTTATCTTCTTTCTAACATATATATGTGTGTCGTAGTAGTAATAAATCAGTTGAAAGTCTGCGCTCGTCCTCGTCTCTTGTGTTAGTTGTCTGAAGTTTTACGCGCCTAGAAGTTTTATATGGATTACCAACTAGCCCAATCCCACACTTTACTTAAGTACACTTAATAAAATAGTTGAATTTGCACAATTTAAAAACTGTATCTACTTACAAACGGTATGCATTTAAAAAATACAAGCCGACTGTTACGAACCATTCTGTTAAAATTTGTTTGTAACTACGTGTTTCTTCTGCAAAAGATTGCTGTGCTGGGAACCAAAAAAAAAAAAGTGAGTTGTCTCGTAAGATATACATCATCGTATTATTCTCCCTGACAAGCCACACAGATAACGCACCGCAGCGTAAATGCAGCGGCATTGTATACAATAAAAACATGCGCAAGTTTTCAGAACTCGCGACTGTTTCATTTAGAACGCTTACTGTCGCTTTCAAATAAGAGCATGCTTTTATAGAAAACGCTCAATGTAAGGACTGCACGAGCAATGCGATCTCAAAAAAATTTTCAGGAAATTTCAGTTTATGCTCTCGGAGGCACCTATTCATTAGGCAAGCACAAGCTCATCACATCGAAACACCTGCGGAATGCAGTCAGCACCATCAGCACGTGGCAAAAAGAACCACTCAGACTTCGTTCAGAGCTCCAAGCTGTGTCCACCTTCATCTATGCAGTGGTTGTAGCAGGAAGCTCTCAATATGCATCCGCTAACAAGATTCCTTGAGATATGAAGTGCTCCAAAAACGCTGCGCCGTCCTTCGGAGACGGGGCGCGGAACAGACGACGAGCAGACGACGCACGAAGCTCGTCACATGACCAGGTCGCAAAGCGATCGCAGCGCCCCCGCGTTTTGGGAGACTGTGAGCGGCCACGCCGCTTCCGTGGCGAGCCCATGCAGTTTCCCAACTGGCTCCATCCAGTAACGTTGGTTTCGGTTCATGTTTCTCGCGCCCTGCTTCGTACGTGATAGACAACCCCTAACTTCGAGGGTGGTTCGTTGAACTGGCGCAGGTGCCGATCAGACGTGGTAGCTTCGCGGCACCCCTCACAGAATGAGCAGCAGTTGACACTTCTTATTCCACGCACGCTTTTGACAGTTCAACGCAGTGTACTACACTTCATGTGTTCCATCATTCGTGAACAATGAGTACATCAGCGCACCCTGGTCTCTTGATTGGTCGAGCTTGAGGCTATCGGAAGGTTACACGACGACTTAAGTGGTCAGCTATGCGTACGTGATTCACAGAAGCTTGCCAAATTGTCGCAGTTCGTCTTCTGCGACTCAAGTACATGCGCTTAATTTCGCCCGCGCTTGTGTAATCTGATGAGACAGTAACATCTGATCGCGCGGATAGACGTCATACTCTGCCCAGGCGGCGCTGCGAAAAACGCCACCATCAGCGCCCCCATCGACGCGCCGTCCATAAATGGGTAGTGCGAAGCGAGCCGTCCACAAGCGCACGTGCATAGGCCCTCCTCTTTCGTTGGCCTTGAGGCGCTGTTTCCTGAAAATCAAGGACCTGGGAAGCTTCTCACTTCAACCTCGCTTTAGAAAAGTAGGAAGCTCATCAAATCAAACTGTGGATGCAATGCGAAAGGTATTTCAGTTAATTCGGCGTACTGCAACTGGAACGCAAGCGAGCATCACATGATATCGAGTTACAGGCAAGCACTCTGACGTTCGTTCCGCCTAAATGCATTAAACTTGGGCATACACAAGATGTGGAAGCGATGGAAGTGCATACATGAGCAATCTATGTTATGATCAGTGGTATGAAGTTCACTTTATTCGGCACAAATAGCCCTGGTGATTTTCGCCATTGCAGTTGCATTCTCCACAGATCTCTCGCTTCTTGTGCACTGAACTGTTTTATTACGGATGCTAGAATGTCCTGTTGACGATTGTCATCCATTTGTATATACTGCAACCAGGATGCATGCGTCTTCACTTTCTCGGTGTACAACGAAATGCAAAACTGAGGCCTCCGAGACAGCTCATGCAATCGCAAAGACCAATGGCAAGAAAAAAAAACTTATTGCGGTCACGGTCATTTTGCAATTTGCCTGTATGACGTGCATGTTCACATTTCACAGATAAAGCCGGAGCTTAGAGCCTTGAAAGCCCTCAGGCGTAATGGCGTGGAGCTTCAGGTTATCGGCAGTCGCGGCATTATCGTCGCGTCATCTGTCTACTGCTGCACAGTGCGCACCGCGGTCACAGACTCTGTTAAGCTTCATAATCAAAGTTACAACGATATCAGAGCTACTCAAAACAATAACAGGATGTCTACATTATCACACGCGAACGGCTGTAGACAACGCGAATGATTCGCTTACCCAACACAACAGCCCATGTTCAGTGCTCTCGTCGTTCTGCTTCGCGAAAGCTGCGAAAAACAGTAAAACGAAGTCCTTAACGTTCGTGGCAATTCACAACGCAACTGTAGCATCGGCTGTGGTCTTTTTTTTTTGTAGAGCGCGGAGCTGCTGTGTCTGCTCTTGTTTTCGCCGTCGTTCTGGCGGGTGAACCAGCAAGCACTTCACGGCGGTGAGGTGACGCGCCTGACTAGCGGGGAAAAACTCGTAGCTCTTTTTCTAAGAGTTCAATGCTCGAATACACCTAATATTTGGCTCAATTACTGTTTTCTTACGCTGTAGTTGCACCTGGTTGCGCAGCAAACTGTGCAAAGAGGTGCGTTTCGCACTACTCAAAACTGTGTCAACAGGTGGCACTGCGTGTCTGCAAAACTCCAGAGCCGGACGTCTATACAAATTCTTGATCATTATTGGCTTCTTCGCGTAAGTTTCAGAAGAGAGCAAATCACTATTCAGCAATTTGATTTGAGTCGCCTCGCAATTTGTTTATTTAGCTTTACAACACCGCCTGCACTGGGTTTGCGCTTTTTCAGGAAAAGCGTCAGACAGCTCATGTAACATGCGATGGTACGAGAGACTAACAGTAAGGTTTATCTTGAACAGTTAATGAAAAGAAATTCCTGATACTGCTGTGTGGACAAGATTGAGCTAAATATACGAATCATGTGCCATTGTTTCTAAATTAAGCTGAGGTAAACTTTGTAAGTAATCATCGGAACACACCTAGAGCTATCTTGTGTAAAACGAGCACGGAAGAGGCATTATTTGCATATAATAACGATTCTGCTCCATTTTGTAGGTACATTGTACATACGAAGGCGGAGCCAGCTGTTAAGGGAGTCTCAAAAGAATGAGGTGAGATGTGTTCGTTGTCACATGTGCATAACATGTAGGACAGCTGTTAAGGGAGTCTCAAAAGAATGAGGTGAGATGTGTTCGTTGTCACATGTGCATAACATGTAGGACTTTATTTCTCACTACGGAATAATAGTGGCGAAGGCAGGCAAAAGGCAATATACATACAAGGCAATATACATACGTCACCTAGGGCCTACCCTCCTTGTAATAAAAAATTAATAGAAAAACATGAAAAGTCAATATTACACAGCAACAACTCCGCCTGCAACCTGTAATTTACAGCTTGTTGCATACTCAAACAATGAAAGAATGTGGATTGCCCGAGGGGCTCGTTTTGTAGTATGATACACGACTAATGAAACCAACGTGCAGTTATGAAAAAGGAAGCATAAGGGACATTATTTTGCAGTTTTCTCACAACAGCATCATTTTTCTCACTAAATTGAAACTAATTGAAGTGGACAAAAATCACCCTATCTGTCCACTTTACTTCCTCTCAGTTTAAATGAGCCGTGCAACACTTCATCGGCATGGTCAGAAAACACTGCCAATTCGTAGTCGAGGCTCTTTAAAGACGCAAGCCAAATATGATAGCATCACGAGGCCTGCAATTTACAATAAATTCTCAAAGTCAGCTTGTAGTCGCTTCCACTTCCCTCCACAATTGATGCAAATGATGCCATATACCTTAATCACTGCTTTATATACCCTAGTCGACTTATGTAATGATTACTATACTTATACATAATTGCCTATTGGATTAATTTGGGGATGAAGTTATTATTTTTCTTTATTAAAGCAAGTTGTAGATAATTTGTCTTGCACTCTTGTGACTGCGCCTTGAGTAGTACAGGTAAAGTGCTTCAAAAAAAAAAAATCCAGCACTGATGAAAACATTGTTTGTTTAGATAAGTGACATTTTTCATGTTTTCTTGCACTATTTAGTTGTAACATGGACGTAGCCAGGGTTGGGGGGGTTCTACCTCCCCCATCCCCAGAACTGTTTCAGTTTTGTGGTGTACATATATACCTGCCAACGTACAAATCCACTCTCTTGAACCCTCCCCCTCCTCTCAAAACATTTCTCACTATGCTACCGAACAGTAGCAATTGCCATCAGAAAAATTTCCCAACATGGGAGACTCTCCCAACAACTCTGACAATGGCCTTTGCCATTGTCAGTGTCCGTGAAGTACCGTGTTTTGTTACATAAAATACATATTTCAGATATGAAATGCATGAAGCCCACATCTGTAGATGGGGAAAAACTCGACCATAGACAACATTGCTTTGCTGAGAAAGTTTACTTGCATGGCGTACTGTTTGCAGGATGTGCTGAAACTCTATTTTCTATTGATAAACTTACTTGCTTCTTATAATAGATGTGCTGTTTTCTTGTTGAATAGACTTCCAAATGCCAAAATCGGTTTCCTTCTAAGAGTGTGCTGTAGAAGACACCATTTTCTGGCTTGTTTGAAATGTCGTGGCATGCTTTTACTTTTTTTGTAACTTTTATTTCTTTCGACGTTTGGTCCGCAAGCAAAGTGATGGATGAGTGTGCGTATTCACTACCTCTGTTCTTGTCTTTCATTTGATGGCTTCCCGCCTGTGACTTCAGCAATGCGCTACATTCCGTAAACAATACCTGCGCCTCCGAAGTCAGCTGCTCTCTCAGCGGTATGGCGTGTCCGTCGAACAGTCGTAAGTAGTGCTTTTGTTCTCTATTGGTTGCATGTGCTTTGCACTAGCGCTGCTCTGTTTTTGCCAAAGGAAAATGTAAGCGTGGCAGAAAAAGTGCCAGGTGAAACCAGCTAATCACTCAGCCCTGCAGTTTTCTTGAGCGAAAAATCCGGATTCTACGAAGCTCGAACTAAAGTAGCATGTTTCGTTTCAGCTTCCGAGATAATAGTCTGTGCCAGCTCAATTGCACTTGCAGACATTTGAAAAGCTACATATTAACAACTCATCCGATCTTTTTCACTTGGCATGTAGTTAAAGCATGACAATACTTTAGCACTCAACAAAACAACAAAAACATGTGTAAAATTAATTGAATATTGGATGTTATTGTTGCATCTATTATGTTATTTCCTTTCGATGTTCTTCCATGTACTAAACCATTTCTTTTCAATTTGCTCGGGTGCCTTTGGCCGTCAGTTTCCATCTTGCTAATCTATTTCTGTGTGGACATTGCTTAAACTTTAATCACTTGCGGTGATTTCCGATTCCCTATAGAGAAACATTTGCTTGTTTCTTAATCTCAAATTATGCTGCCAATTGCCATTGCTGCAATTGCAACACTCCCCTCTACATATTCTAAAATTAGGCATAACTGAAATGGAGTTTGTTTGCAAGACGCATTTATTTCTAGTCAGTATGACAAGTTGAGGCCACCGTATCAGCTTAGGCTGCCTGAATATTTTACACTGTGAAAAGGCGTGCACACAACTGGCATCAAAAGATTGCCGGCTGAGCAATAGTAAAGCATTATATTTTTGTACGTTGTAGCCTAGACATGTTGTCTTTCAGTGGTGTTTTCAAACATCACTTCTGTGCACTGTTAGTACAGCGATGTGCATAGTGCTGTCTTAGCTGTTGCAGGATATATGTAATATCGTAAAATTTGAGTGGCACCTAAAGTTGCAAACTTACTACAGCAGCTTTTCATGGAAATGCTGTTCAATCTACATCTTTTTAGATTAAGAAGTGGACGCTGTGTAATGCCAAGTGTATCTAGACATGCTGATGCATGAAAAGGCTAGTAGTAAACAGGCTCTGGCTTTGTTTTTTTAAACATCAGAAACAAGTTCATTAGTTTTTTTAGAAGGCTGTGGTAATCATATTTTGCAGGCGTTGCACATGCTTCATTGTGAAAAACAGTTTTTCTGTGCCTTTCCTGCACCTGACTGGCACAATGATGTTATCTTGCCAATGGGCGACATTGCATAGCCCTGACTTGGGTGATTGTTTTTTTTTTTTAACTATGGAATGGTGCCTGTGATGACACAGTTTTGGCTGCGCAGTTCGCCTGCGCTGATCCCTGCAGTTTTGGCAGAGTCGAGCGAGGCTACAGAGACGGGCAGTTTTGCGAAAGCAAAAGCCACCAAGATTAAGAGGGGTCTTGCGACTTTACCACTTTGAGAAGAGCCGGTGTGCCGTGGCATATATTCCTCACCAGTATTTGTAACCCTCGTGCCGTGCCCCTCGAACACAAGTGGCACGTACAGGAAGCCTTGCTCAGTTGTTGGCTGCATGCCGATAACGTAATTTCTGGCGTCATGTCACATTGCTGATGGGGGCTTAGCCACAGCGCCTAGCTTTCTCCACTGCTGAGAAGGGTAGGAAGGTTGGTTGAGAAATCGAAACCAGTCATAGCGCATTGTTTTACATCCTGTAACTTTGTCATTACCACACTCATTAAAAATATTTTTACAATAGTGTGTTCACGTCGTACAAGTGCACAGTAATCTGTCCATCACAAATTTGGTACTGCAGGATTTTTCATTGGCCCTTTCAAGCAAGAAGCAGAGCTACACTTGGGCTCGTTGACCTGATTTCAGGAAGAAATTCTGTGAGGGCAGCTTGTGCCGAGTAATAAATTGGAACAGAAATATCAGTGTTTGAAAATTGGTATTATAACAGTGCCACGCAAAGAATATTTGCACAGTAGGCAGGGAGCGATGTTTCAATATTTAAGTTTTTTTGAAGCACTGGCTAGAGAACTGCTTACCTATTCTGATAAGAATATTCAATTTAAAAAGGTTAACTGACTTTGACAATTCAATTAATGATAATGTAACTTTACAAATGCTCTTTATACGTTCACTTCAAACATAAACATTATACCAGTCTCAACTACAGTAGCATTCTTCTTTCAAAACTATTTTCTTGTTAAGTTTACAGGAAGGGTTTAGAATTGCAGAACAAAAGATCATTTTTTTCCGAATTTTTATTTTGAAGCCTTGAAATCCTAGTGCTCTTTATGCATTATCGCGATTTCTCACAACTGTCAATGATTGCTAGTGGAGATCACAAATTACCCAATACTGTGACCCTTTTGCCAAAAATATTTTGTGTCTAACTTTTTATTTGTTTATGAGAAGTGCTTTCAGAGGTTGCTACATTCACCCAAATTCCCTGCAAACATTGCCATTTGAAAGAAAGCCTTTCTCACATCATGTGTAAGGATCATTTCTAAAGGAGATTTAGTGCCTGGATTCAAAAAATATATCGATGCCGATCTCCAAAATGACTGAAGTCTGGATGCCGATTGTGGAACATATTTTTTACTTCACGGTTATACTTCAAGGCAGGCTGATTGCACGGGAAGCTCACTAAAACAGCACTTTAGACCTGTGTGTCTCACGAAACCTGTTCCTGAAGTTTTAAAATTTCAGGACAAAGACGGTCATGTGCTTGCCGCAAAAGAGTCTCCCAGGTCGCGTGTGGCCCTTGGGCCGCGCGTTTGATACCCCTGCCATATACGAATAATTTTTTAAGGAGATTTGACGTCAGGCTCAGAAGTACTTATTCATACTGATGTGCTCATTGATTAAAATATGGATGCTGATCTTGAAATGCACAGTTTTTGTTGGAGAGTGTTGTTTCAACTAATGGTGACTGCATGGAGGTGGGAGAGCTTCACCAAAAAAAATTTTAAGAGGGGGAAACGAAAGTTTAAGATTACTCTTGTCTATGTAGCTTACCCGAACAAAACGCTATCAATTGCAACAGGCCACAAAATAATGCGAGAACAAGTATTTAGAAAATTTGTAAAATTTTATTCCGTTTGAAGTCGTGGGCCGCTAACAAAGGGTTCACAGGATGTGCGCCCGAGACCCATGTTGCGGCGTAAAATCGCCAACCAACTTCCTTTCGTCAGAAGTCAACAACCCGCCGTTTTCACCACCAGTGGATTTGTTGACATGAGGCCAACTTGCAGCTACACAATTGAGGAGCTCTACTGCTGTCCAAGTAGCTTTTCAATTGAAGTGGCCATTGTGGCGGGCGTAGTACTTCAAATAGGTGTGCAGTCGGCTTACCGGTGTGTGTTCTGCTTCCACAGGAGCAATCGGAGCCGCAGCATGGGTGGCCGAAGCAACAGTCGGGCAACGCTCGAGGTAAGTTGCCTTTTTGTGTGCCTTCTGCATGTCGATTCCTAGCGGTAAAGTAGCGAGACACCTGTTGGTCTCAGAGGCTTTCATTTAGGCAGTATCGCTTGTCCTGGTTGTATGGGGCTCTACTAAAACAACCAAAGGGCAGCACAGGAAAATTTGAAAGTGCATACTTCGCAGTCAAAATGTCCAAAACTGTGTCACTGCAGGGACAAGAAATGATTTCATAGTGCAAAAGACAAATCGACAAAGTTGGTGCTGCATAATGTTGCCCATGGGCACAATTGCATGACTTTGCGTATCAGGAGGATCAGAAAGGTGCTGGCGAGAAGCGCGGTTATTGTTTTTTGAAACGGAATGGCTGCGCAATGCACAGGTTTGAGATATTTGCAGAATTCAAGGTCAGTTTAAAGCTAACCGGTACGGTCGTATCAGGTACTCGGTTTGCAAATATGATCGTGTTAACTGTATGGAAATTCATTGCTTCTATCTAACATTGGTATAGAAAAAGGAAAAAAGGCATATTACTCCAACAATTGTATTCTGCAGAATAATATTGACAAGATTCCACCCTGTCTGATTCTATTGAATAAACTCACTTGCGAGTTTGTGTATTTGCTGTAGTACTCTTCAACATTGCGTGCTTTCTTTTTCTGCGCGAGAAGTATTTTTACATTGATTTATTTATAGATTTCACTGGTATTGTGATTTTCTGTATGTCGTTGCATGATCTTGCAAGCAAACTGCGGTGCTCTTTTTGGCGAAAGGTCTTGCGTGCGAGATGAGAACCGCACTCTGTTTTTTATGCTGTTTTATTATTGCACGTTTCTGCATGCTGCGATGAACGTTGCATGTTTGATGTGCACGTTTTGGTGATGCGCATGTTGGTTTCTGCTGTTTTTGTTCAGGAACTGAGTGTATCCAAATTTTCACTCAAGGCAAGTACGGCCGGCCACTTTGTGGCTTTTATTTTTATTTTCTCAAGCTATAACTAAGATAAGCTTCGAAATCTTCTTTCTTACGTTAAGAGAGATGTCTTAAAATGTGCAAAGTTCGTTACTTAGTCCCTTTGCAGCGCTATGTAGTCCTGCTTTATGGATAAACTATAAATCGCAGCTGACCCATGGCTTCTGGTACTTGTACAATGCCTGCACTGTTAAACCAAAATGCATTGCTTGGCAGTCCACTACAGCGGCATCTAGTTTCTAAAAAACGGTTTATACTGTACCGGTTGCTGCTGGAATGCGGACAACTTTCACTCCCTGCTACTGCCATGCTCTGCTTGCTCCTTCGCATTTGCATGACAGGTGAGAAGAAGGCTGACGTGAGCCTGTTTGTTTCCCACTGTGAAATGAATTTAGACTTCGTTTGTTTATACGTTCTTGGCTGTTATGTTTCTTGGCCTCTGAAATGCCAGTCCTACTTAATTATCATAAGATCGAGTGTACAAGCTTCTCATCTCTCGCATTTTTCTTCTCCGCTGTTTTACAGCGAAAGCTGTTGCATTATCACAACGAGGGTCGCATGCACCTCAGTTGTCTTGCCTCTGCTGCCGGTGTCTGTAACCACTATCCCACCAAATAAGGACAAAAAAACTAGGTAATAAAAAAACACCAAGGACACAACGGCATTCAAAGCCGAGTCACCTGTCTGGCAGGCCAGTATTCTACCACAGAGCCACGCCGGTGCTTGAAACTCCGTTGCAAAGTGGCCTTAGGCCGGCTTGATGTCGGGAAAGGAGTCGCAGTAATATGAGTAATAAAATGCTTTAAGACAGCAAAGGAACAGCCAGGCACCATGCCTGGCGACCCACTAGATATGCAAATTGCATATCGAGTGGGTCGTCGAATGCTCCAACCCATTACTAAAGCTTCAGGCATAATTCTTCATCGTTATCAGTCACAGAATGAGAAAGTTGTACAATGCAAGTGGGTGGAGGGTACCACGCTTTCTTGAAGAATGATGAATGATGGCATAGTCAGTGCCTCCCTACTACCCAATATAGTTATTTATGGCATAGTGGGTACCCTGCAAGTATACTTGTATTAGTTATCCAAAGAATGTTTACGAAAGCCTCTAACAAGGCCGCTTTTCCAGCTTTTGCAGTGACTCTGCTGTGACGTTCTGCACAAGCCTGGCAGTTTTTTTTTTTTGTAAGAAGTGTGACCATATCTATGATGTTCATTTTCACAAAGTGGATATAGTGTGCTCTTTTGTATGGTTTTAAATATCTTTTACAATGATGTTCAGAGGTCGAAGTTGTGCAAAGGTGAAAAAGTTAGTCATTGATTCAGAAAATGCAGCAGCAGAGCCTGAAAAAAAAAATGAAATAAAATGTTTATATGTACATAGAGCCAGTCCAGCATCATTGCTAAGTGCTTTATGTTACTGCTTCCACTATTATTACCATCGCCACCCATATTTCTTGTTACCGAATATTTTTTTTATATAGAAAATTAGATTGGAAAAGAGGGGTCAAAAGTATGCACTGTTCTTGTGCAGACTTCAGACTCGTCGGAGAGTCGGCTGCAAGCCAGCGGAGATCTCTCTCGCCGCGGCTCCTTCGGCAACCAGCTCTCTTTGACCAATGAAGGGCTGGTACCCACGTACGCGGCTGAAGCCAGTCGGTGAGGAACGTCGAAGGGGCACTGAAGCATTGTCCGGAACTTTCTTGGAAAGAATTCAAAACCGTTGGGCTCGTCACCGTGTTGTAGGCCGCACAGAAACATTGCAGCAGCATCGCTTGGTGCATGTCAAGCTTTGCAGATACAGCTTGAATCATCTTGAACTGAAAGTCATTAGACATTGCGGTACAATGCGTGCTAATCGTCGAGAAGGCACCAAGCAGGTTTCTAAGTCTGTTACATCTTTCAGCCACTCTTGCTTCAATGTCGCGCACAGTTGCCCGGGCAGCATTGCTACACACTGTAATTTGAGAAATACAGTGGTGTTGTAGATTATGTGAAGGCATCCAGAAATGTCTAATACTTAATTTTTATGATTATTTAAAAGCATTATCTGATTTTCTGATCATATTCTCTGCTCGTTTATGCATGATTTCTCTTTCAATCTGCCGAAAGGTGGACATACAGAAGCTACGATGTCTTTACTGTGCTGTTATTTAATGTTAGAGCCGTATGAGAGGCATGGTAAAGGCATGTGTTTATTTCACGGGTATTCATGTCAGAGAGATTTTGACTTTTGATGCAGTCAATTTTATTGCAGTGTGGTGGTGACTGTTACTGAATTTTATTTTAATAAAACGAGGCTACCACAATAGAACCAAGACTCAGAAAAAAAAAAAGAAACAGATACGATGACTCAAGTGCTCGTGTTGTCTGTACACTCAAACCTCATTATAACGAAGTTGCATGTTGCGTGGAATTAAGTTTGTTATAAAGCTTTATTGCTAACACTATATATTACAAGAGTATTTTTCGTTTGCTTTAATATAACCAGTATTATGTTATACCGTATTTACTCGCATAATCGGCGCACTCCCATAATAGGCGCACCCCTAGTTTGGTCGCAGAAAATTCGATTTTTTTTAATTCCGCGCATAATAGGCGCACTCCGAACATGGCCGTGATCAGAAACAATTCTACCCCCCAGCGGTACAGTTGGAACGCGGTCCCCGTACCCTGAAGAAAAAAAGAAGGCAAATCGACGAGCCAATAAAAAAAATTCAAAGTGCAACGACCTGACCAACGTGTTTGTCGAAATAAAACTTGAAAAAAAAAAAAAAGCGTCCATGAGCGAAAAAAAAAACGGCTGTTCCATCAATTACTGATACCCCCCAAATCGCCGCGCTTTTTGGAGGTCACGTGTACAACGCCGGGGGCTCGATCGCCATCACCACCATCAGAGAAAAAGAAAGAAACGCCATTTTGCAAGCGGTGTGCGTATGTTGTGGTCGTGTATTGAACTTTGGTTCCACCATGGGGAAGTGCGCGAGCTACACGGCTGGGTTTAAACTGAAGGCAGTGCAGTACGAATCCCCGCTCGGCGAGGATGAATGTGTGATCTCCGACTCAGACTCCGAATAGGGAAAAGGAGGAACAGCTACGACTTTTGTGTATATAAATTTTACGTGGGTGTGTGCAGTTGACGGCTCTCGCTTGTTCATTAAAAGGTACGTAGGTATGTTTGTTTTATGCTGAATGAATTGGTAAACGATAAAGTCGCCTTTTACTTGACAAGTGTGCAGATTTAAAGCGCGAGAACCGAGTTGAAAAAATTTTCGAAAATTTTACCCCGCGTAATTGGCGCACCCCTAACTTCGAGCCGGATTTTCTAAAAAAAAAAAGTGCGCCTATTATGCGAGTAAATACTGTATTTATGTTCGCTATATTAAGGTATGAGTGTATCTTTGTATTTTATTTTGCTCATAACAATGTTTTATGCTATATTAATTTTACTGAGTCGCATTGTTCAGCCCGTGTCAAGTTTGCTACATCATCGTAATGTTGCGCGACATCATGCAGTGCCATCGTGGGTGGTACGAGCATTTCAGAGAACTACGCCTTTGCAGGGGTCCACCACATCTTCGACCAACATCGTGATGCCGGTGAGTAGTGCGGAGTCGTTTGTAGGAGCTAAGGCATGGTTATAGTGCTGGAGTGGCACTCCCAATATGGTTTGTCAGACAAAATCAAGAATGGGCTGTAAGCACTGGCTGTAAACTCTCCCTGCCGACAGTAACCATCTCCGATGGTGCTCTATTGGTTAAGCTACTCTACTGCTGACCCGCAAGTCAGGGATCGAATCCCGGCTGCGGAGACCGTATTTTCAATGGAGGCGAAATTACTACCGGCCCGTGTATACTTAAGTTTAGAGGCACAAATAAGAAACCCAGGTGGTTAAAATTTCCAGAATCGTCTACTACGATATCTCTGATAATCACGAGGTTTTGGAATGTGTAACCCCGACGATTATTGTTGGCGAGAGTAACCGCCATTTTGATGTGCATGTATTGTGTAACATCAGGAAACTGCTGTGTCATGAACCTCAGTGATGTATCGCTCCACAAACTGTGATACCCGGCGGCACAGAGTTTTTTATAAGTACACTCGAGGGAACTCTGATGCTGGTGTCTTGGAAGCTGCAACGCGCGGCATTTCATCGAGCATGGGAATGATGGGTACTACACAGGTTTGTCTAATCTTTGCACTTTCGGCTGCATTCGGCTTCACACGGCTGAAAGGTGCTTTGTAACGAGACCACAATCAACAAATGTTCAGCAGTCGCACTTCACCACCTTAACTTTTCAGGCTGAGAAATTCAAATCCACTCACGACGTTCTCAACGGTTCATTCTGTTATTCGAAACAAAACCAAAACACTGCAATAAACGAAGCCACAACTTCTTTCTAAGTTTGCAAACACAAAGACTAGACAAATTTATGTGATACTCATCATCCCTGTGGTGGCTGAATGATCGCAGCACCAAAGTCCCATCTAGTTGATTCAGGAAACTCTATGCCCAGTGGCACAGCAAAGGCATTGGTGGTAAATTATGTCTGCAGGTTATTTATTTCCATACTACAATACTACAACAAACCACAGAGATTAACTTGAAAAACCGAAATTCTGCATAGTGGCCGTAACATACTTTTGTCTCATCACATCTTGTCTTCAGTAAGTACAAAAGCACAGCCTTCAAAATAAGTTTTCCTCCATTTCATTTTGTTTTGTTTTGTTTACCAGTTCGAGATGTATACAAGGGTTTCATTGATTTAATCACCGCTCGCAGTTGCTGCACTGCTGTGTGCTTCAGCTGCAGCATTTTAAAAATTCAAATAGAAATCTGCTACACTGAATGCACTAAAACTTTTCCAACTTCTTGTCCAATGTGTACAGGTACGCGTATAATACATGATTCAGACTTGAAACATCCGTGTCATGGCCCCTTTAAAAAAGGCAGTTCATTTCTGTGTGTACTAGTTTCTGTAATTTGAGTTGCGTTAACAAAAGTATTTAGTAGTAACTAATTACTTTTCTAAGCAGAGCGAGCTCGTCTATACGACCTAACTCATTACTGGGGCGTACGAATGCATTCAGTGGGTGTCAGTAATAATGCAAAAGAACAGTGAAAATGCTGCAAAGCATGGAAAATGCGAAGGAATACAGTAGAATCGAGAGAAAGGTCTGGAAAATCTGCATATTGAACTTACAAAGTATTATTGTCCCAGCAGTGTTGCGAAGCCTAGTTCATTCAATATAGCGCAGCTTTTACAAGCCCTTGTAAGTTTGTTCAACTCAATGACAGACAGTGTCATAGCTTGCGGGGAAACCCTAAATGAGGTGGTAAGTTTTAATAATGTGTGATGACGTTTATTGAACCGGAGAAGTCGCAACGATGTCGCAACGAAAAATGGCCGTACGACAAGTCTGGCAAGGCGGCCCAGGATCTTGTGCAATCAGAAGTTTTTCCTTCTCTTTGGAAGGCGCATACGCATTAGTGCATATGCTCTACTACAATACCCCCCCCGGGGTGAAGAGTAGCCATCCTGGCGACTCAGGGACTAGGCACAATGAGGGGGTCGTAGTAGAGCTTGAGACGGTCGACGTGTACGGTCTCGCATCCTCGACAGCGCAAATCTGGCGATTGTGTTTCGATGATGTAATTGACCGGCGAGGTTGCGTCAGTGATACGGTACGGACCATGGTACCGGGCCAGAAGTTTAGAAGACAGGCCAGGAACGTGCGGGGGCACCCAATGCCACACGAGGGAGCCAGTACGAAACGTAGGCGCTATGTGATGACCGTCATCATGTCGGGTTTTTTGTAGACCTTGAGCCTCACTTGTCATAGACCGAGCCAACTGACGGCAGTCTTCAGCGTATCTGACGACTTCCGAAAGCGGGGAGCACTCCGATGCATCAGGGCGGTACGGGAGTATGGTGTCGAGTGGGTGGGATGGTTCGCGGCCGTACAGCAGAAAGAACGGGGAAAAACCGGTAGTCGCAGTGTTGTAAGCGAAGGTAACAAAAGGTAAGACAGCGTCCCAGTTAGTGTGGTCGGAGGAGGTGTACATCCTCAGCATGTCGCCAAGTGTGCGGTTGAACCGTTCAGTGAGACCATTCGTCTGTGGATGGTATGCGGTAGATTTCCGGTGGATGATGTTGCATTCAGCGAGAATAGCTTGGATGACCTCCGACAGGAACACTTGACCCCTATCACTGAGTAATTCCCGTGGAGCCCCATGGCGGAGAAAGAAGCTGCACAGAATGAAGAGTGCAACTTCGTGGGCGGTCGCTGCCGGTAGAGCTGCAGTCTCAGCGTAGCGTGTCAGATGATCGACGCCGACAATGATCCACCGGTTTCCAGAGCGACTATATGGGAGTGGGCCATAGAGGTCAATACCCACGTGGTCGAATGGGCGAGCCGGGCACGGGAGGGGCTGTAACATGCCAGTAAGGTGCCGCGGAGGTGTCTTGTTCTGTTGGCAAGTGGTGCAAGACTGAACGTATTTCTGCACAAAGCGATACATTCCTCGCCAGTAATATCGTTGGCGCAGCCTTTCGTAGGTTCACAGGACACCTGCATGAGCACTTTGGGGATCTGTATGGAAATTCATGCAGATGTCAGAGCGCATATGAGTTGGGACAGCAAGGAGCCACTTCCGACCACCAGGAATGTAGTTGCGGCGGTACAGAATGCTGTCTTGCACGGAAAAGTGGGCTGCTTGTCGGCATAGCGCTCTCGTGGAAGGGACAGCAGACGGATCGGTAAGGCAGTCGAGTAACAATGCAAGGTATGGATCTTTACGCTGCTCTGAAAGCATGTCAGAGGTGTCTATTGGTGACAAGGTGGTAAAAAGTGGTGACAGAGAAGCCACATCTGGGGTTAATGGCGATCGAGAAAGTGCATCGGCATCCGCATGCTTGCGACCGGAACGATATACTACACGGATGTCGTATTCTTGCAATCGAAGTGCCCAACGTCCCAGGCGTCCGGACGGGTCTTTCAATGTGGACAGCCAACATAGAGCGTGGTGGTCTGTGACCACGTCGAAAGGGCGGTCGTAAAGGTACGGGCGAAACTTCGTCAAGGCCCAGATTATGGCCAAACACTCCTTCTTTGTCACGGAGTAATTTAATTCAGCCTTCTTGAGAGCGCGACTTGAATAGGCGACTACGTATTCGGCTTGGGTGCCTTTCCGTTGTGCCAAAACTGCACCAAGACCGATGCCACTTGCATTGGTGTGAATTTCTGTGGCAGCAGCGGGGTCGTAGTGACGAAGAATAGGTAGTGAGGTCAGCAGGCGGCGCAGCTGGGGAAATGCGTCGTCACATGCAGGTGACCATGCAGATATACCTTTGCTGTTGGAAAGCAGACTCGTGAGAGGTGCGATTATGGACGCGAAGTTGCGCACGAAGCGACGAAAGTAGGAGCAAAGACCGACGAAACTTCTTAGGGCTTTCAGTGATGTGGGCAACGGGAAGTCAGCGACAGCTCGAAGCTTATCGGGATCCGGAAGAACACCGTCTCTGGTAATGACGTGTCCCAAGATGGTTAGTTTTTGTGCTGCGAAGTGGCACTTCTTGGAGTTAAGTTGTAGGCCTGCAGAAGTTAGACACGTCAGAATCTCGTGAAGGCGAACAAGATGTGTCGGGAAATCAGACGAAAAGACTACGATGTCGTCCAGGTAACACAAGCAAGTTTTCCACTTGTGGCCACGCAAGATGGTATCGATCATGCGCTCAAATGTGGCAGGTGCGTTGCAGAGCCCAAATGGCATCACTTTGAACTCATATAGGCCATCTGGCGTTACAAAGGCTGTTTTAGGGCGATCACATTCAGCCATTGGCACCTGCCAATACCCAGAACGCAGATCCAAGGATGTAAAGTACTTGGCGCCTTGTGAACAGTCAAGAGCATCGTCTATTCGTAGTAGCGGGTAGACATCTTTCTTCGTAATCCTGCTCAAGCGGCGATAGTCCACGCAAAATCGAACGGTGCCATCTTTTTTCTTTACCAGAACCACAGGTGATGACCAAGCGCTTTGAGAAGGCTGTATCACTCCACGTTTAAGCATGTCGTCTACTTGCTCCGTAATGACGCGGCACTCTTCGGCGGAAACGCGGTAAGGACGCTGTCGCAGAGGCGAATGTGAGCCAGTGTCAATAGTACGAGTGATAGTCGTGGTGCGGCCCAAAGCGGATTCTTGAAAGTCGAAAGAAGAGTGAAACTTGTTAAGGAGAGCAACAAGTTGGCGGCGATGCGAGAGGGGAAGGTCTGCGTCAATAGCATTGTCGAAGGCTAACAAACCTGATGGCTCAGACGCATGAGTTATTGCGGCAATGTGACATGGCGTTTCGTCGGGAAGAATAATATCATCGATATGGTCGACAGGTTGCACATATCCCAACGTTTTACCACGAAGTAAGCCAATGAGGTAGTTGCAGTGGTTGGTAACCAGCATTACGGTTGAACCAGACGCAATTGTAAGAACGGCATTTTTCGTTGCGACATCGTTGCGACTTCTCCGGTTCAATAAACGTCATCACATTTGGTGGAGGCTGCTGAGATCCCCAAGCAGACCTGTAGCTCCGCTCTCGCAAGTTGCCCGAGAGACCACCGCGAAACATGACTGACGAAGTCGCCAACCAGCCCATCCCAGCCCAGCCAGCACCACCGGCTGTCCCGTCTACCTGCCCCGGTGCTACTCGCCAACGGGACCCACCAATCTTCAGCGGCAGTGGTGAGCAAGACGTCGAAGACTGGTTCTCCTTGTACGAACGCGTAAGCGCCAGCAACAAGTGGAACAACGACTCTAAGCTCGCCTACGTTATCTTCTACTTGGCAGACGTAGCTAAGCTTTGGTTTACCAACCGCGAAACCGCCATCGCCAACTGGTCCTCCTTTAAGACACTCGTGACTGAAGCGTTCGGCCGACCAAAAGTCCGCAAGCTCCGCGCTGACCAGCGCCTGCGCCACCGAGCCCAGCAGCCTGGCGAGACGTTTACTAGTTACATAGAGGACGTGCTCGACCTCTGCAGGCGTGTGAATCCATCTATGTCCGAAGAAGAGAAAATTCGGCAGATTCTCAAGGGCATCGAGGATGGCGCATTCCAGATGTTACTAGCGAAAAGCCCGAACACGGTGGCAATCCTCGTAAGCCTCTGCCAGAGCTTTGATGAATTGCGCCGTCAGCGTTCCATCGCCCGACAGAGTGTCCCACCGCCGGATTCGATCTCGGCCGTCGCACTCACAAACGCCAACGTTCACCAAGAAAGTCTGTCCAACCAGATCAAAGACTTCATCAGGGAGGAAGTCGCCCGACAGCTCTCCCTGCTGCCGCATAGCGACGCGCCCACCGCAAGCCTGCCTTTGACACTGCAGCAGGCCATACGCACTGAAATTTGTGATGTCCTCCCTACAGTGCAGGCCCCTTACCCAGCACCTCCACCAAATGTGATGACGTTTATTGAACCGGAGAAGTCGCAACGATGTCGCAACGAAAAATGGCCGTACGACAAGTCTGGCAAAGGCGGCCCAGGATCTCGTGCAATCAGAGCACGGGGTTTTTCCTTCTCTTTGGAAGGCGCATACGCGTTAGTGCATATGCTCCACTACAAATGCATCACTGCACATTCTTTTTTCAAGGATCCCACTTCAAGAATCCTTAGCTGTCAAAAAATCACTTGCGCTTCTTTGTTAGAATATATTGATCGATAAATCTATTGTTTGTCAGGCATATTTTTATTTTCACGATTGACCAATCATTTATTTACGAAAATTCTCTTTCTAGTGATTCTACTTGCTGCTTGATTATTTATAGTTTGTACTAATGTTTAGATTGTTAGTAACTGTGGGCAATGGCAAAAAAATAAGGAAGTGTCAGAAAAAGACAAAAGGGACGCATGCAGGCACCAACTTTCAACAAATCATCTATTTATTTGAATCAGAATCACACATATTCACACATTGAATATCAACACTCACACATGCACAGACACAGTTTCGTTGAGTAAAAACAAATTTTTTGTTTGTCAATGCGATCCGGGCTCAAATAAATAGTTTGTTGAAAGTTAACACCATTGTGTGTCCCTTGGGCTTGTCCTGTCTAAATAAATCTGTGCTAAATCACTTTGAATATTATTTATGAATAATTTCTCTGTTGGTCCACTGTGTGCTGTGTGATTGCACCGTGCGCGCCTTGGCCTTTCAGTAACCTCGGTGAGGTTCGCCAACAACGAGAAGTACCTGCTGGGCTGCTCATCGGCCGACGGCAACCTGTCTATATGCCGTCTGGACCCACCCTGCGTACTGTACATGCTCGAGGGACACCATGGCAAAGTGACTGGTGAGCCCCTCACCCCTTGGATTGACTGTCGAGGATGAAATGCCCATCCGAATTTAATTAAATGCAAGAGCACTGGTGCACCATGCCTTGCATCGGTGTATGTTTCCTCTGTGTAGCTTCTAGACACCTTTGTTTTTCTTTAGGACAACGAACTGAAAATATCTAAATTTTGTGTCAGTGCTCCTCGCAGTAAACAGATACACTGGCTACGTACTGCTTACTCTCTTTTACCGCACAGGTTTCGAGTGGTCCCTCTCCAATGACCTCTTGGTGTCGGGTTCCCTGGACGGGACGGTGCGGCTTTGGGACGCAAAAACAGGCAGCTGCGTGCGTACCGTGCCCGATCCGTCGGGGGCGGCCATCTTGTCGTGCGTGTTCCAGCCGGCGAACAACAACATGGTGGTTGTATCCTTGGACGATCCCACATTTTATTGAACTTGCACTGTGTAACACCCGTAGTTTTTTTTTTCCCCCACTCAGTCCTTCCCCATAAGGGCAGACACAACACGTAAATTTTTCAAAAATTTCTTGATCAATTTTGATAAAACTCGGTGTATTTATGTATATTATGGTGTATATTAATTTGTTTGACACAATATTGATGAGAACAAACAAACAATGATGCCAGGGAAAGTATAAAAGATGTTATTAGTTGTGAGTATAGAGTAATTCTTGAAGAAAGACAAATGAATGAAAAGATAACTTGCGTTGGCAGGGACCGAACCTGCGACCAGATTTGGTCCCCGCCAGGGGCAACTTATCCATTTGTCCACTTTTATTTCTTCTGGTTTACGTTACAATTACTAGCAGTAAAATCTTGAATACTCTCTTTGGCATCATTGTCTGTTAGTTCTCATCCAAAAAAAATAATATGTAAATACAACTTAATTACAATTTGTTACTACTATAACATACATGCATTAACTTATTATGACGTTATTTCTGTTGCAATTAAACATTGAGTGTCTCGAAATTCAGCACAGTTACAGACAGCTATTCATAGATGACATCTGAAAGACTTAAGGATTGAGGGAACATAGGTTTTTTCATGCTGGTATGTGTACCAGCTAAAGCAGACTGAGCTATTCAGAAGCATTGAAAGCAACTAGTGCAGTCTGTCCTCATCTACCGTGCTCATGACTCCCTCAGCATATAAACTTCTTGACACTTATTTGCTCAGTGAACTTGTATCCCTGTATGGATCATCGCTTAACTTCTGATGTGCAATTTGTCGTCCTTGACATTCGATGTCGTGTCAGACGGGAAATGACAGGGGTCTCGTGCAGGTGCTCAACATTTCCACGGGCATCTACCTCAAGGTCAGTCCCTTGAAACTCGCAGATACCTAACAGAAACAGCGTATGCAACTCGGGTTTTGTGTAGAGCATTGTGCAGTATGCTTTTATGAAATGAAAAGTTGGACAGAATTCCACCTAGATGTGGAAGTATCCTAAAAAAAAAAAAAAAACAGAAACGCAGCGCTACTTAGTCTGCGTCTAGAACACAGGCCCACTAGAATGCCAACAATAGCCAAGGTTGAAGCCCTGTACCTACTAATCCCTGCCTGTGTGTCTTGAACCACCTGGTAAAGGTATTAGTGGTCAGAGGGGGTTTCATGGCCTTCATTTAAGAAGCTGCATTAGAGAACTTTACAGGAAATAGTGATCAAAAGTCATGTGAGCGAAACAAAAATCTAAAAAAATACTTGTGGGCCTTCAACCCCATCACTTCCACACCCATGTTCTCCGCCGTGACCGACGGCTTGCAAGTCCCACCGGCATACCGGCCCAGTTCCTCAGAGCGCCAACCAGGAGCATGCGTCTAGAACACAGGCGCACTGGAATGCCAACAGTATTCGAAGTTGAAGCCCTCTACCTACCAATCCCTGCCTGTGTGTCTCGAACCATTCATTCAAGGCACTGGTAGTTAGAGAGGGTTTCGTGGTCTTCATATAAGGAGCTGTATTAGAGAACGTTACCGGAAGCAGTGATCAAAAGTAACGTGGGCAGAACGAAAATCTAAAAAATACTCATGGGACTTCAACCCCATCACTTCCACACCCACGTTCCCAGTAAATGTCGACAAGACAGTCAGCGCATTACAGCTGCGACGATGTTGTAAGTGTTGCTACTCGCACATTTCTCCGCCATGACCGAATGCTTGAAAGTCCCACCGGTATACCGGCCCAGTTCCTCAGAGCGACAACCAGGAGCCTGCGTCTAGAACACGGGCGCACTGGAATGCCAACAGTATTTGAGGTTGGAGCCCTCCTCCTACAAATCCCTGCTACTTAGGGAAAATGTTTTTGTACAAGATACATATAGGTTCCTGCATAGCTCCATGTCTGAAAATAATTTTCCTTGTTTGGCATTAGGAGCGGGACATTCCCTGTGGATAGATGTATGGTTGTAGCCAATACTGATCTCAGCAATGTACAGTCGAATCTCATTAATTCGAACATGCTTAATTCAAACTTCCGGTTGATTCGAACTCACAATGAGGTACCGTCAAAGCTATTTGTATTCCAATGGCCGAAAACGCCCAGTAATTCAAACGCACAAGCACTTGCGACAGTCAATTCAATGAAGGAAAGAAAATAGGAGGAAAAGAATGGCAGGGAGGTTAACCATCCTATAGGCAGCCAGTTTACTACCCTGCACATGGGAGGGGGATGGGGGAGCTGAAAGATAGAGAGGAGAGAGGGAACAGAGATAAACATACCGCACTCCGAAAAGGCTCTCAGCACCCCACCCGATCCCGCGGGGGCACCTCCGACACCTCAGCGCTACGCGCGAAGGAAAGGAAAAGGAAAGAAAAGGCTGCAGTGGAATGTGTTCTCTCTCTCAATTAAATGCTTATATGCGACGCGCCTGTGCCACGCTTCTCTCTTTTCTGCCCCTGCCACTGAAATAGACCCTTCTCCTTACAAGGCTGCGCATGGAGAGAGGAAAAAAAAAGAAAGCTGTCGCGGAGAGTGGCTCTCTCTCATGCGCCGGTGCCATGCTTCCCCTTTGCTGTCCCTGCCACGTAACGCTTCTCCTTTCAATGACGCGTGCGAACGCTTAGAGAGCAAAAAAATAATAAGAATAAGCTGTCGTGAAGTGTTGGTTTTCTCTCAAATGTTGATCTGCTTCTCTCCGCGGAGACGCTCTTCCTTTCTTGTCACGGGCTGGCAACGCTGCGGTTTTGGCACAGAGGGTATTAGTGGAGATGCAGTCGTTGTCGTCGCCTTTAGAGAGTGTTGGCGCTGGACATTGCCGCACACAACTCCTCTTTCCAGGAGAATGCTGAAGCCGAAGTAGACATGCTTTGCAAGCTGCGTGCGAAATCGATTGACTCACTGCAAGGCAAACGTGTGCAGACGCGCATCACCGATCGCTTCAATTAATGACGGATGTCTTGCGATTTGTGAATAAATGCAAGTCTTCTAAAACGTCCCCCTCGTGTGTTAGCTCGATGCGCATGCGCCACTGCATGGGGAGCCCTCCGTTTACTTAGCTTTCATTAATTCGAACTTCTTTTAATTCGAAAAAATTTGCTGGCCCCTTCGAGTTCGAATCATTGAGATTCTACTGTAGTACATCTGAGTTTACTGTGATTCTGCAGGGCCAGTGTTCTTCGCAACATTGTTATCAGGTGAAACTGCACAATGTTTTAGTGAACTTGGGCAGCACAGTTTTGTGCATGCTAGTATGTTTTTACTGGCATAAGTTTTTTTTTTTTTTTAAAGCATATAAACCAGGTTCTGTGTTGTACACCTGTGTCCTTGATAAGGAGCTCTTCTGCTCGTTCTTTGGATATGTTAAACTAGACCTGTCTGTTTGTTGTTGTTGTTGTTGTTGTTGTTGTTGCTGCTTCTACTGTGGAATTTTCTTTCGAAGATGTGTGTTCCTCCACGTTCTCGTATTTCTCGCATGCACGCTTTGCGCAGGGTGGCAGCAGCCAGACCACTGGCTGTGTCCTCTGCTTGACCTTCGAGCCAACGGGCAAGATGCTGTGGGCTGGCGATGACCGGGTAAGAACAGGATGATGATAATCGTGATAAGGACAATTAACACAGCAGGGCAGCTTTTAATGCATTCTTTTGGCCATTCATCGAAGTCAGTATGTTTTTTTTTCCACAATATATAATCATTATTCTATTTATCAATCAGTTACAGAGTACAGTGTACTGTACATTTATCACACATGTAATATTCCTGTCACTGGGCACCTGTAAGGTCATTCGCTGCAAATGACATTATGTGTTAATGTAATATTTGTTTCTGCTCTTCGGGCACAGTGATTGATATTGACACCTAATGACATTCGCCCTTTGTGTTCGCTGCACTGCTAGTAGTAGTGCTACATGTGTACTCTCGTCAACAGGTGCTTGACGAGAGGTCACAAAATCGACATCTTGGAGCAAGTGTTAACAATGTTCAGATGTTCATTAAGGGTTGTTAACTTTTTGCTAGCTTCTAACATGCAACAGGATAGTGGAAGCAATTTGCGCAGCTACCACCAGGCCTGCGCGTAATGTGCTGAACAGTCACAGCGAAAGCTGGAAAAGCGGCCTTTCAGAGCATTTCCTAAATACTAGGCTTGTGCGAATATTAGAATGCTTTGAATATTCAAACAAATAGTACAGTATTCGAATTCGCATCTATTCGAATTTAAATTATTGAAAATTTCGAAGTATTCGCAATGAATGAATAGGTGTACTATATAAATCCTCATGTACATAACTATTTGTAAAGGTGGTTTCACTGCAGTGTAGCAGTGCAAAGCCATGAAAGCACCTATTCAGGGAAAATCCGCTCTGCAACAGTTTTTGAGCAGTGTCAGGAAACGCTGTTGAATGGAGGCTACCGAGAGTACACGAGCGCATCACATGACCTGCAATTCACAATAAATTCTCAAAGTCAGTTAAACGTTGCTCTCTTTCAGAAAATGGCGCCACAAGCTCAAAAGTCACTCGTCACAGCCGTTGTATCAGCCACTGGCTGATTTAAGCACGGCGCACTCAGTCGTTACTGGGACTGCCGTGGGAGACCGCCACTTTTAGTGATTGCAGTGTACAACAAATCTTCGCAACTCCGCTCGTACTGGGCGGATTCTAAAAACTTTTACGACGGTGATTTCTTGAGGCAATAAGCTTCTTTAGTGAATTCATTCCATGTCTAATTAACAAAGTATTTCAGGACCCCTTTAAATGAACACATATTACTCTCAAATTAATTCATCACTTTATTAAACTTAAAAGCCTCCCATGATGTCTTCTATGCTGTAAGTGTAATAAATTTTTAAGTTTTACATATTTTATAGTTTATAACTTTCATCCTACCTAAAGTCAAACCCTGAAACTGAAAAAAAAAAAGCATTTGCATAGAGGCCCTATTTCAATTAAAAAAAAATATTGTCCAGGTTCGTTTGGTCATGATATATATTCCCTTTTTTTATATGACATACATACCATTAGAATTGGATACGAAATTATTAGACCGAAATCATTATTTACTTCAAATTCACTTCGAACCTGAATTTCACTATTTGCACAACCCTACTAAACTCTCTTTGGGTGACTGCTACAAGCAGACTTCCAAGGTACCCACTACAACATAAATTATCATTGTTTTTGTGTAGTAGGGAGGCATTCTGCCATGCTATCCTTCATCATTCTTTGGAGAAGCATGGCATCCACTACACACTCGCAAGGAATTTCCTGTAATTTTTTTTATCCAGTGGCTGAAAACGATGAAGAAATAAGCTTTGAGGTGGGTATATGCCACGGTTAATAGGTGAACAAGAGGCCCGCAGGGGCGCCTGCGCAAGTAGGCGTTTGGTGTGTAGCGACACCACGGACCCGAGCTAACGGGGGAGTTTCTACTCCCTCCCACGCCTAGCCGTGCGTGGCTTTGCCGTGTCCGGGGAAAAGGGGATCCTGGGGGTTGAGCCGACGCTGGGTGATTGGACCTTTAAGGCCCCCCGGCAGAGGCAACACACCCCTTTGGCCCCGGCTTCACGTAGACGGCACCCCTGGGCTGACCCACCCAGGGGAAATCGGCAGTCGCCTTTTCCTATCTCTCTCTCCCTATATCTTCGTCTTTTGTTCTCACTTTACATCTTTCCTGTCTCCTCCTCACTTCATTTTACTTCCAATTTTTCCTGGCGGCAAGGGTTAACCTTGTGTGGCTATCCAAACTAGGGTAAACCATATTGGGTTATAGTAACTGCGTACTGCTGGCGTTGCGCAGACATGCCCACATGCTCTGCCACGTCCCCTTGTTGGACTCCATGGTGGGTGGTAGGCGCCGTTACCGAAAAATCCGCATTTTCCCATGGGATCCTCGACCCCCTCGCTAACTGATTGTGCCTCGAAAAGGGTACGCACCGACGCAACTTTACTACTTTGGCCTAAAAACAGAGAAACTTTCCCAAAATACCATGTCCTTCACTGCGAACAATCGTCTACAAAAGCTAGAGCAATCTCACCCTTCCTTGTAGCCAAGTGCTTGAGAGAGACTATTGGAACCGGTTATAAGGCCACGAAGATGGCAAGTGGTGATCTGCTTCTTGAATTAAAAGACAAAGAACAGTACAATAAACTCTCGCACCTTGTAGCCTTTGGCAACATCCCCGTCTCGGTGAGCGCACATCGTACCATGAATACAGTGAAGGGCGTGGTATCGGACGAAGATTTGATGATGCTGAGTGAAGAAGAGCTTCTTGATGGATGGAAGGACCAAGGTGTGATACATGTCCAGCGCATCAAAATCAGACGTAACAACAATGAAATAGCAACAAAGCACTTGATACTCACCTTCAATTCAACCACTTTACCTGAAACTCTCGAAACTGGCTATGTAAAACTCCATGTCCGACCTTTCATTCCAAACCCGAGGCGTTGTTTCAAATGCCAGCGATTTGGTCATGCATCCCAGAGCTGCCGAGGGCAGCTGATCTGTGCTAAGTGTGGCACAACCGGCCACAGTGCTGATGAATGTAGACATGATGAGGTCCTCTGTGCTAACTGCGAAGGTAGTCACCCCGCATACTCCAGAGCGTGCCCAGCCTGGAAAAAAGAAAAAGAAATAATAGCTATAAAAGTAAAGGAAAATATCACATTCAGGGAAGCAAGACAACGGATGTCGTTAACATTGGCACTAAAAACACCTTTCGCCGAAGTGGTGCAACGAGGGGCGGCACCGCAAAGGCCCTTGGCAGTTGCTCGGACCGCGCCTAGCGTGCCGAGGCCGACGCCACAAGCCCCTACGGCGGGAGCAGCCAGCGCTGCCCTGCCCACATTCACCCTGTCCACACCAGTGGCCTCTACAAGCTCTGGCAGCAGCCAGGGCAATCACGAGGCCAAGGGGGCTTCATCAACCCCCAGCTCGGTGGGGACAAAGACTTCGTCGATCGAGGCGAAGTCTAAGCGACGCACAGATCGCTCTTTAGAGCGGGTGTCCAGTGCCTCGCAAGAGGCTATGGACACCAGTTCAAGCCAAACGGCGCAGGAAGTGCCGAAGGAGCGGTGAGCTTCGCTCGACCGCCCCAAAAAGGACAGAACGCCGATTACAGGGCCTGACAAAGGCCCTGTAAAATGAGTTAATCCCCGTCTTCTTTGCACACAGCACTTTTTCCTTTTTTATTTCCACAATGGACAAAATCATACAGTGGAACGTAAGGGGAATGCTTAGAAATTTAGATGACATCCAAGAGCTTCTGTGTAAGTTTAACGCGAAAGTGCTATGTGTGCAAGAAACGCACTTAACTCCTAAGCACAAGGACTTTCTACGACAATATATTATTTTCTGGAAAGACCGGGAGGATCCTGTCGTACCATCTGGCGGTGTAGCCATTATAGTCGATCGTAGTATAGCATGCCAGCATTTGAAGCTCCAAACGGCCCTGGAAGCAGTGGCCATTCGAGCTGTACTTTTTAACAAACTCATTACCATATGTTCTGTGTACATACCACCGCATCAACAGCTACACAGACGTGATCTGGAATCATTAATAGATGAACTCCCAGAGCCATTTCTGGTTCTAGCTGATTTTAATGCACACAATGTCCTGTGGGGCGATGCTCACTGTGATGCGCGAGGACGTCTCATTGAGCAGCTCCTTTTCTCTTCTAGTTTATGTCTTTTAAATATGAAGGAGCCTACATATTTTAGCCTTGCAAACAACACATACTCCTCCATAGATCTTAGCATTTCATCACCGTCCCTTTTACCTGTTTTTAAGTGGAACGTTCTTAAAAACCCTTATGGGAGTGATCACTTCCCAATCATCCTGAGTGCGCCGAACAAAGATCAACCACCCCCGCAGGTTCCTCGATGGAAGATTGACTCAGCTGACTGGGAAGGGTATAGAACTCTTACACACATGACATGGACTGAGCTGTCTGCCCTGACCATAGATGACGCTGTCACGTATTTTACAGCTTTTATACTTGATGCCGCATCTAAATGTATTGCCAAAACGAGTGGCATGTGTTCTAAACGGCGAGTCTCATGGTGGAACGACGCATGCAGGAAAGCGCGGACCACTCAGAACAAAGCATGGGCGTTGCTTCGCGATTCCCCTACAGCAGAAAACCTGGAAAATTTCAAGCGGGTCAAATCGCAGGCAAGGAGAACGCGTCAACAAGCTAGACGAGAGAGCTGGACAAAGTTTATATCGAGTATCAACTCGTACACAGACGAGGGAAAAGTGTGGAATAAGATAAAGAAAATTAAGGGCCAACAAACGTATTCTCTTCCACTAGTTAATAGCCTCGGGGAAAGCTTGGAGGATGAAGCCAACTTTCTTGGCACACATTTCGAACACATATCGAGCTCCTCAAACTACTCCGAATACTTTCAGAATTACAAGGCACGAACAGAAAAACAAAAGTTAGAAAGAAAGTCCGCAAGAAATGAGGCATATAATGCACCATTCTGCTTAGCAGAACTGCGAACAGCACTCAGCTGCTGTAATACATCTACCCCAGGTTCTGACAACGTAATGTACGCGATGCTGAAGGAACTACCCTCCGAAACTGAAGAAACCCTCCTCTCTCTTTATAATCGCATATGGTTTTCGGGCGTGATCCCCTCCTCCTGGAAGGAGGCTGTTATAATTCCAATTTTGAAGCAGGGAAAAGATCCCTCTACTGTATCAAGTTACAGACCTCTAGCGTTAACAAGCTGCCTCTGCAAGCTATTTGAAAAAATGATTAATTGCCGCTTACTCCACTACTTAGAAACAAACAAATTGCTCGACCCATACCAATGTGGGTTTCGAGAGGGTAGATCCACCACCGACCATCTGGTGCGTATCGAGGCACAGATCCGAGACGCTTTCGCCCGCAAACAATACTTCCTCTCTGTGTTTCTCGATATCGAGAAGGCCTACGACACAACATAGCGTTTCGGCATATTAAGAGACTTGTCTCACCTGGGTGTGCGCGGTAGAATGCTTTCCATAATTGAGAGTTACTTGTCCAATCGGAAATTCCGTGTCCGTGTGGGCAGTATTCTCTCCCAAACATTTGTGCAAGAAACGGGGGTACCACAAGGTGGTGTACTTAGTTGTACACTTTTTATTATCAAAATGAATTCCTTGCACCTGTCCATCCCCCGCAACATGTTCTATTCCACATATGTCGATGACGTCCAGCTTGGCTTTAAGTCATGCAACCTAGCAATGTGTGAGCGGCAGGTTCAGTTAGGTTTAAACAAGGTGTCCAAATGGGCAGAGGAAAACGGATTCCGGCTGAACCCAGAAAAAAGTACCTGTGTCTTGTTCTCCCGAAAGAGAGGCGTGTACTCAGAACCTGACATTGAACTGAACGGTCAACGTCTGTCTGTCAATGCGGAGCATAAATTCTTAGGCTTAATCTTGGACAACAAGTTGACCTTCGTACCGCACATCAAGTATTTAAAAACAAAATGTTTAAAAGCCATGAATGTTATAAAAGTGTTGTCACGTACTACGTGGGGTAGTGATAGGCCTCATAGAGGTTCATGAGGTGATAATCACCTCATGAACCTCTATAAAAGCCTCATTCGCACCCGCTTAGATTATGGGGCCGTTGTCTATGGGTCTGCTACTCAAAGTGCCTTGAAGATGCTGGACCACGTGCACCATTTGGGCATCCGCCTTTCTACGGGTGCTTTTCGCACCAGCCCCGTAGAAAGCCTTTATGTTGAGTCAAATGAGTGGTCGCTTCATCTGCAAAGAACCTACATGTCCTTTGTATACTTCCTTAAGGTGAAAGCAGACAAGAGGCACCCCTCATACTCTACTATTAATGACTTGCCGAGCTCCATTCTTTTTCAAAACAGGCCTTCAATGAGGCAGCCCTTCTCAGTTTGCCTGAAGGGTCTAGCTGAGGACACTGGAGTGTCACTCGAACACAGTTTAATGGCTCCTGTAGCATACCCGCCACCGTGGCAGTGGCAGACTATAGACTGCGATGTGTCTTTTCTAGAGGTTACAAAACATGCGCCCATTGCCCATATCCGAACATATTTCCTGGAACTTCAACAGAAATACACACGTCCTGAGTTTTTTACAGATGCCTCTAAGTCTAACTCCTCTGTGTCCTACGCTGCTGTTGGCCCTTCCTTTTCGGATGCTGGCCCTCTACATCCAGGCACAAGTATCTTCACAGCGGAAGCTTACGCGATACTTGTGGCAGCTAAACACATTAAACAATTACAAATACAAAAAGCAGTAATTTATACAGACTCCCTCAGTGTGGTAACGGCTCTGCACAGTCTTAAAAAACAAAAAAACCCTGTCCTCGTTTCACTTTACTCCATTTTATGCACACTCTACACACTCAACCAACATGTTGTAGTGTGTTGGGTGCCAGGGCACCGTGATATCCAAGGCAACGAGAGGGCGGATCAGCTCGCTGCATCCGTCCATGAGAGCACCGCCATTACATCCATATCAATCCCGGCCCTTGATCTTAAGCCGTCTCTCAAACGAAACCTCAGGGACTACTGGCAGAGCAAATGGGATACACACACACAAAACAAACTACACGTTATCAAGCCACACCTTGGCCATTGGCCACCAGTATCAAAATCACGTCATACAGAGGTAACACTAACGAGACTCAGGATAGGACACACATACACGACACACTCATATCTTTTGTCCAATGGCGACCCACCATTGTGTGACAGATGTGGTGAAGAACTAACAGTTCTTCACATTTTAATTCAGTGCAAGCAATTGGACAGTATAAGAAAACAACACTTTCCATTACCCTACCGACAACATATACCTTTACACCCTGCAATGTTCGTCGATAGGGAACCGCTTTTTAGTTATAAATCATTGCTAGCGTTTTTAAAAGAAACTCATAGTTTTCATATCATATACCCCGGCATTCCGTAGCACGACCTCTCCTGAGAGGTTTTTGCTGCGGTGGCTACACAAGAAAGCACGTGCCTCACGGCCCTTGGACGCAAGGGTATGAACGAGTGAGGCACTTGTGCTAATGCCATACGTATCCACCATCGTCTTTTATTATCACCAACTTTGTTCATCTATTCGCACCACACACACCTTTCATGGCATGGTCATGATTTTATCACTTGTATGTTTTTACCCGCATTACCGCGAGGAATTCTATGGCCCTTATACAGCCGCTAATCACAATCATTGTCCACATTCCTGTCTCATGAACTGGCGCTCTTTGGCCATCAAATGGCCCTTGCGCCAAAAAACACCATATATCATCATCATCATCATCATCATCATAGGTGAACAAGAGCAAGATTTTGTAATTTGTTGGAGCGTCGGATGACGCACTTGTTACGCAATTCGCATTGCATGACGCCTGGTTATTCCCTTGCTGTTCTAAAACGCTTTATTACTCATCCTAACGTGATTCCTTTCCCGACATCAGGCCTGCCTAAGGCAACTTTGCAACGAAGCTTCAAGCACAAACATAGTTCTGCAGTAGAATACTGAGCTGGCATGCAGGAGACCTGGGTTCGAATCTCGTTGTGTCACTGGTGTTTTATTCACAAAGTATTTTTTCTTATTTCGTGTGATAGAGGTTACAGACACCGCCGGTGGCATACAACTACAGCGTACGGGAACCTTGTTGCTGTCTCATAACAGTTTTCGCTGTAAAACTAACATTCTTGTTGGGTGTTTTGAGCGTGATGCAGGGCTACATTGTGTCCTACCTGTTCGACCTGCCCACAGGGAAGCTCACCAAGGGAAAGCGGTCAGTTGCATGCTCACAACTTTTTTTGTTTATTAACCCTTTTTTCTACTAAAGAGGAGCTGAGCTCCTACAGAGAGTTTGTACTACTTTCACTAAAAGAAACTAGGCTAGGCTCGTCGACCGTAAAGCAAGCACTTGGGGACTGCAGTTATTCCACCCTGATTCAGTCTGCCGTTTTCTCTTTGGTTTCAAGTGATAGCGCAGTGAAAAATGTTAAAACTTGCTCAAGATTCGTGTAAAATAGTTACCTCCTCTGTGCACAAGCATTGCATGCACATGCCAGGACATCTCAGTTCAGAAAAAAATGCCCCTGTGCGCTGTAGTTTCATCAAATGATGAATTTCAGTTATCTTGCATGTGTGTGGCAGTATATACACATTGCGGCACAGTTTTCTTAAATCATCCGATTTGGACAATGACTGCATCTTGAATGTATTGCCAGTGGACGCTGCTGGATGTAAGCAAACCCCTACCGTGCGTTCAAGGTTTGTTTAAGGGGACTCCCTTCCCCACGTTTCATTTTATAAGTTTCAAAGAGCTATTTTCTGCACTTAAGAGATGAAAAGCTGGGGCACATTTTATAGCACAGTTCTGTGAAGTCCGTCATCTGCTGCACATTAAATTTTTTTTCCCAGTGTCTTTCAAACACACATGTAAATTATGTGTCTTTATTTAACTTTTGTAGATGTTTCAAGACACTTGGAATTGAATAGGCAAATTTTTTTTAATTGGTATTTTTGTGGTGCTCTTGGCCAAAACACTTGGTAGAAAAAGGGTTAAAGGTCAACTCTATCTTGCTGCCGTTTGTACCAACAGAGCGACTGTCTAACCATGAATGGCATCAGTGTAGTGCACATGTATGTAATAATAATTTCTGGTGTCGTTTTTCAAGGTGAAACCGCAGCACGATAATGAGGTTTACAAAATCAGCCCCACTGTATTGTGGCACCATGAACATGCGTACTCAAAATTAGCAGCACGAGAGTTTACCTGCTAAGCTACTACTGCAGGCTGCAGCTCTTATGTGGACTAGATAATCATAATTAGTATAAATAAATGTGTAAAAAAATGTTTCAATGGTCGGATTGTGTCTCTGGGCCTCTGAAAACGATCTACGATGTTCTTATCACTATACTACGCATGCATTCTGATTGTGTGGAATTTTCTGCATGCAAGAAAGCATGTTCAGACACACAATGCTGATGTAGGTGTAATTTCATTGAGTGTAGGTACAGATAAGTACATTTAGAAACACTTCATGAACACTAATGCTGTGTGCTAAGATACCATCATTACATTATTTGTTCGTTGATTGATCGATTCATTCTTCTATTCCTACTGCCGGGAAGTGATGCTTGTTATGCTGTTACCGCATTATGTAGCTTGTGATCAGCTCTCTAGACTACATCTTAGAGGTGATAAAATGTCAAGGTTGCCTCATCAGCTAGCTTCTGAAGACAGGCAAATATATGCACTAGCTTTCTCTCTTATCTTTCAATCCCTTATGCCCTTGTCCCAGATGGAGGACAGCCGACTATCATTACCATCTGTTTAATGTTGCTGCTTCTAGGTGCTATTGTTTTTTTTTGTTTTTCGGCCTGTGGAAGTGGAGTCTTTAAAGTTGCAGAGCCCTTTTTGACAGTGGCGTTAACATTGTAACACTTCCAGGATGGTGGTGGCCGAAAACTGTCCGATCACATGCCTGTCGGCGCGCCAATGGGCAAGCCGTGAGGCCAGGGACCCTTCAGTGCTGGCCAACTGCGGCCTCATCAATGCCCTTCTTCTCTACAGGTAGATGCGGCAGCAGCTGCGTATAAATATTATCTGTATATTATTCAGGGCTTCTGCCTAGTTAACTGTGAGATCTTGTATTGCCACTGTAGAGGGCAGTGTAGAAAACACTTGGCGGGTTGACAACAATGACCTCATCATCACTCTATTTTGTATAGTATCTTGTGCTCAGAAACGAAAGGATGCAGAAAAAGGGCATTTATTGCACATCCTATAGAATAAAGCATGCTAGCTAAACGACCTGCTGAAAGTAGTTCTGATTTGTCAAGGATTCATTTCTTTATGATGTGAATGATTCCTCTTCAAACCATGAAACACCTTCTTTTCGAGTGGCTGCTTATGTGCGTTCGTTGCTTTATGCGGAGATAATGATACTGTACCGTAGCATAGTGGCGCCAGCTCTGTGCCAGCGTGAAAGAAGACGTTGACGTCCGTGTGGCTCGTGCTTGCTGGGTTCCTGCCTGTACCAGCTTGTTGCGGCTAACGCTTCTTGAATAATAACAAGTATTTTTACGTGAACTCGCTCGTTGCATTTGGTGGAAACGTGCTGGGTAACATCCTGGAGCTCCGCAGCCGTAAGCTACCATCTGAGTCCGCGATGACCGAGCGCGTTGATCCCCCACAAGCCTCTTCCACGCTGCCGCCTGTCATGTGCCCTGGTGTACTTCGTCTGCGTGACCCACTGGTCTACAACGGCACTGAAGATCACGATGTCGCAGACTGGCTGGCAGAATACGAGCGTGCCAGCGTGATTAACAAGTGGGATGACCCTGCGAAGCTGACTCTGTCATCTTCTACCTGACAGATTTGGCCAACCTATGGTTCACCAACCACCAAGCAAACATCCCCACCTGGTCAGTTTTCAAAGAGACCGTGACCTCGCTTTTCGGTCGTCCAGCTATGCACAAGCTTCGCGCTGAACTTGGCCTGCAGGGACGATTTCAGCGAAACGGTGAGAGCTTCACAAGCTACATTGAGGATGTGAGCGGCCTCTGTAGGCGAGTAGATGCGAGGATGACGGAGGCTGAGAGAATAAGGAGTATATTGAAAGGCATTTAGGACGACGCTTTTCATATGCTTGTGGCCAAAGACCCACAGACCGTCACGGCCGTAATTCAGCTATGTCAAAGTTTCGATGAGCTACGCAAGCAGCGAATTTCTACACGTTGCGCTAATACGCAAACAGCAGATATTTCGGCTTTGAAGTGCAAAAGAAGTGGCCCCGACCACACCATATTGATCCTCAAATTCAACAGTACATCCGCGAAGAAGTTGCTCGATAGCTCTCTCTTGTGGCCACCATCAACGAGACCCCCACAGCACTGGACCACTCACTTCGCCGTGTCATTCAGACGCAAGTTGCCGAGGCTCTCCCTTCGCCCACGTCCCCAATGTCAGGTGCTGCACCGCTGACTTATGCAGAAGCCGTGCGCCGACCTCCTGCCCAACCGCCGCTCCCTTCATACAGTCCAGCCACCAACTACTACAAGTCGCCAGTTTCAGTTTATCCGGTAAATCGACCCTTCTCGCCACCTTGAGCACCTGTTAACTCTTGGCGTACTCCAGATAACCAGCCCGTCTTCTAATACTGTGGTATTTCAGGGCATGTCGCGCGCTACTGTCGTCCCCATATATTCTATTTTAATGAGGCTCAGCATTCCGGCAACGTTCCTCAGCAATCAGAATCACATGTTACACCTGATGCACCTGACCCCCGCTCACGTCGACCAGACTTCAGCCCACGTCGATCTCCTTCACCCCGTCTTCGGTCTCCTTCTCCCATGCTTTGCCGTCCCAACCACGCCCAGGAGGAAAACTAACAGTCACAGTTCCCGAGGCAAGAACTGTGCCACCGACGAAATTTCCAAGGACTCATCTTTCGTCCCCTAACGAGATTGCCACGTTTGTGGACGGTTTCGCCACAACTGCTCTTGTCGACACAGGTGCCGCTATTTGTGTAATCAGTGAAGTGTTATGCCGCAAACTGAACAAAGTGACGACGCCACTGGTTGACATTTCATTACGCACAGCATGTTTACAGCACATCCAGCCTTCTGCCAAATGCACTGCTCGTGTTGTGATTCAAGGGGTGCTGTACATCGTTGAATTTGTTGTCCTTCCGCATGCGTCTCATGAAATCATCCTGGGATGGAACTCTCTTTCCGCTAATCATGCGGTTGTTAACTGTATTCATGCACAACTCGTTTTGTTTCCGTTCAGCGCGACATTCATAGATCTCTCTTGCTCACCCAAAAAGATTATCGTCGCCACTGACGTCGTCATCTCTGCTTTTTCGGTCGGCGTGGTGTCTATTTTGTGCAACTCTGTCCCTGATTCAACTGCCCTCGTTATACCATCGCAAGAATGCGCTCTTCGCCGGAACCTTGTCGTCTCGTTTGCCGTCATAACGCTTGCCGATGGTTCCAGTGCCGTGTACGTGTGCAATCTCTTCCCTTGTCCCGCTACCTTATTACATGGCGAATGTATTGGACATATTGATGCTTATGATGCCATCTTTCCTTTCGATGCCCCTTCCGATATGACGTCGATGTCCATGGATGCTGTCGCGGCTGCCACCGCACCCTCAGTACCTGACGAAGACGTTCTGTCGCGCAGCGTGGACACCAGGCTTATGCAAGACCAGCGCAATCAGCTCATTCAACTGCTTGACCGTTTCCGCGCCTCTTTCAACCATGGACAACCTCCCTTGGGACGCACGTCAGTTGTCGCTCACCATATCGACACCGGTCATCATAATCCACTTCGTCAGCGCCCCTACCGCGTCTTGCAGGCTGAGCGTCACCTCGTCACTCAACACGTCAGTGAGATCCTCCAATGTGGTGTCATTCAACACTCACGTTGATGAAATCCTCCAATGTGGTGTCATTCAACACTCACACAGTCCTTGGGCTTCGCCAGTGGTCCTCGTGCGAAAAAAAGATGGCTCCATTAGGTTTTGTGTGGATTATCGGCGGCTAAACAAGATCACACGCAAGAATGTTTATCCCCTGCCATGCATTGATGACGCCTTGGATTGCCTTGAAGGTGCGGAGTTTTTCTCTTCACTGGATCTGCGCTTTGGATATTGGCAAGTGCCAATGGCCGAACCAGACCGTTCGAAAACGGCGTTTGTGACCCCTGATGGCTTATATGAGATTAATGTAATGCCCTTCGGTCTTTGCAATGCGCCGGCAACTTTTGAAAGGATGATGGGCAGTGTCCTCAGGGGACTTAAATCGCACATCTGTTTTTGCTATTTAGATGACATAGTTGTATTCTCTGCAAATTTCGAAACTCATCTTTCCCGTCTGGAACAAGTTCTCCAATGCCTTACAGCAGCCGGGTTGCAACTGAACTTTAAAAATTGTAATTTTGGCGCCCGCAAACTCACAATTCTCAGCCACATCGTCTTGAAAGAAGGAATATCGCCGGACCCTGCCAAACTGCGTGCCGTTGCCGAGTACCCCAAGCCTACCACCCTAAAGGAGCTCCGTAACTTCGTAGGCTTGTGCTCGTATTTTTGGAGTTTCATCCGCAATTTTGCTTCTAAAATCGCCCCCCCTAACTAAGCTTCTTTCTAGTAGCGCGGACCTCTCGGGCTAGAATTCCCATTGCGATGTCGCATTGACGACGCTGCGCCGGCTACTCAGGTCTCCACTAGTTCTCCGCCACTTCCGATCCCAATGCACCTACTGAAGTTCCCATGGATGCTAGTGGTGTCGGCCTCTGTGCCATTCTCGCTCAACGCATGGATAGCTGCGAAGAGTACGTTGTCGCCTATGCCAGCCTTACCCTAACAAAGGCAGAGTTCAACTATTCCGTCACGGAAAAGGAGTGCTTAGCTATCATTTGGGCTATAGGAAAATTTCGCACTTACCTTTACGGATGCCATTTTGATGTTGTCACAGATCACCATGCCTATGCTGGCTAGCATCCATAAAAGACCCTACTGGCCGTCTCGCTCGTTGGGCTTTACGCCTTCAGGAATACTACATCCGTGTTGTTTATCGCTCAGGACGCAGACATTCAGACGCCGATGCCCTATCCCGTTCTCCGCTGCCTCCTGATCTTGCCTGCATACCAACTGCCATCTGCGACTCGTCATCGCTGAGCATCACCGACATGCCAGCCGAGAAACGCAAGGATCCCTGGATCAATTCTCTGCTCGACTTTCTCTCTCACAGTTTGTCAGAATCGACTTCATGGTCCCTCTCTCGTCAAGCAAGACACTTTGCTGTCCGTGAAGGCTTGTTGTATCGCCGCAATTACGAGACGGATGTCCGTAGGTGGCTCCTTGTCATCCCCCATCATTTGCCCTCAGACATCTGTGCTGCCTTTCACGAGGACCCCCAGTGTAGCCATGCTGGAGTATTCAAGACCTACTCTCGCCTTCCCGTAAGATACTACAGGCGCGGCATGTATCGGCATGTTCGCCAGTACATTCGGTCGTGTGCCACATGTCAACGCCGCAAGACGCCTTCTCACAGCACTGCTGGCCCTTTGCAACCCTTAACCTGTCCAGCGAGACCATTTGACCGCATCGGAATTGATATTTATGGTCCTCTATCCAACACTCCTCGAGGTAACCGGTGGATTATCGTCGCCGTTGATCATTTGACAGCTACACTGAAACATCTGCGCTGCCTGCTACCACTGCGAAAGACGTTGCGTCCTTTCTTCTTCACCACCTGATTTTGCGGCACGGTGCACCTCGTGAATTACCGAGTGACCATGGACGCGTGTTTCTCTCGAACGCTGTCGACGAGCTGCTCAAGGAATGTCGCACTGTCCATTGGAAAACCTCAGCATACCATCCTCAAACCAATGGCATGACAGAACGCTTTAATCGTACCCTTGGAGATATGCTTGCCATGTACGCGTCTGACGACCACACTAATTGGGACCAAGTGCTCCCTTTTGTAACGTACGCGTACAACTCCGCGCCACAACCACCGGCGTCTCTTCTTTCTTCCTCCTGTACGGACGTGAACCATCATGCTCCATGGACACCATTCTCTTTTACAGACCTGATGTCTGTAAAAGAGAATGTCTGTGAGCAGCTGCTTATGCCGAAGAGTGCCATTAACTCGCTCGCTCGTTTACCGCGCAAGACCAATGGCGCCAGAAAACTGACCACGATGCCTCTGCATCTAGTGCCCACTATAACCCTGGAACATTGGTTTGGTTCTGGGTCCCGTCTACCCCTCCCGGTCTTTCCTCAAAGCTTTCGTCGAAATACCATGGCCCCTCTCGTGTGGTGCGACTAACATCTCCCATCAACTATGAAGTTGAGCCCATTTATCCATCTTCGGACAAACGCTGCCGTGGGCGTGAAACGGTTAACGTATCAAGCCTCAAACCGTGCTATGACCCCCTGTCGTGTCATTTCCTTAGATCGCCAGGTTAACTCTTTTCTGTGCAGGGAGTAATTGTACCGGAGCATAGTGGCGCCAGCTCTGTGCCAGCGTGAAAGAAGACTTTGACGTCCGTGTGGCTCGTGCTTGCCGGGTTCTTGCCTGTACCAGCTTGTTGCGGCTAACGCTTCTTGAATAATAACAAGTGTTTTTACATGAACTCACTCGTTGCAATACCAATATGGTATATAGATACAATGCAGAGTGCTTTGGCACTTGTTTGCTAAGTCAATGCTCTTGAATGGTCAGCTAAAGAAAGGAAACCTAACGCGGTTTCATTGTTTCATGCAAACTCACTGCAGTGTGCAGGGCTCGGATGGTAGCCTGGCCCTGAAGCGCAAGTTCCACGTCAAACATCGCTGCCGCACTCTGGTGCGGAGCTCCTTCTGCCCCATCATGTCCTTCCGCCAGGGCGCTTGCGTTGGTAAGTTTGCAGGTTGTCCTCCCATTTGCGAATTTAATGTCATAATGCAACATAGTCTATGAGAGATGCTATAGAGGGGTGATGTGGATGAGGGAAATGTAGATGAATTTGAACTACAACTACAATTCCTTAAATGTTCATTGAGAAATATGTTGTAAGCAAGAATTGATGCATTTTACCACCATTGAAGTGTGGTCCATAGATCGCAATCTGAGGTGGACACGATAAAGTTACCATAAATACCAGAATATAGGTTGGACCGGAATATAGGTCAACCCCCCAAAAAAAACTTTCAATCTCCAAAAAAGAAATTTTTTAAAAAATTGCAGAGTATTGCAGTGCACCCTTACCTTGATAAATACCCAACACAATCGGCTGCACTGTGGTGACGTTTGTTTTTATTTCGACACTAATCTTATGTAGTTAAACGCCAAAAGGCCACAAAGTGCTGTCACTCAGACTCGTCCGAACTTGAGTCCGACGACATCTGTTTCTTGCCAGTTACGTCCCAGAGTGCATCATCCTCCGTTGCATTCAATGCGTTGCTAATGCAGCATTTGCGGAAAGGCTTGCGCACCATCTCTTCCGTGAGGGATTTTCATGCTGACGACACTCAGCCACGAACAGTGGCGAGCGGTGGACGTCGTAGGTGGCCAGCGGGGGGTCTTGCAATTGTCGCCCAACATCCACTTATTGTAGAGTTCGCGCGCGTGATCTTTGAAAGGTTTATTGAGCGTTACGTCCAGTGGCTGGAGGATTGATGGTTAATCCCTTAGGGGATCACGATAAGGTCCGCCTTGCCATCGGACAGAGCTCCCTTTACATTGGCCGTGAGGTGGCCTTGAAGTGAGACGAGCACCAACATGCTTGGTCGCTGATAAAGCACACCGCTTGGTCGCTGATAAAGCACACCGGTTCGCCGATTGCACATAAGCTGCATCTACTCAAGCATGAGGGACTCATTTGTGAAACCTTTTTCGTTCGCTCTCACGATAACATCCCTGGGAAAGTTTTCTTTTGGTGGCCCTTTTCTCTTGAAAAATGATATAATGGGGCAGCTTCTTTCCATCGGCTGTGCGCGCAAGCATCACTGCAAATCGTGAATGCTCATTGCGCTCATGTCAAGAGCTTTACTAGTTTGGATCCTTTAGCAATCACAGTCCGGTTCGAGGGCATATCAAACCGGATTGTAGTTTCATCAGCGTTGCCCATGTGTCCCATCATGGCGTTAATACTCGACCAGCTTTAATACTCGACCGAAGCGTTAATGCTCGACCAGCTTTGTTGTGGAAATCTTCGGGCACTTTTTTGGCACACGAAAGTATGCTGCCTCAGCGCATAGCCCTTCCGCTTCATGAATCAGCACACCTATGATAGCGAGCGCTTGAATTGCTCCCTCGTGAGCGAAGAGTCACGCGCTATCTCAATAGCTTTCACGTGGATGCACTCCGCTGTCACGGGTAGTGATCTTGCACGCAGCTCCCAGATAAATTTGGCGAGTAGTGTGTCCCGTTCAGGGTGCACTGCAGTCGGTCCACGAAATGATGTTTTTTTTTTTTGGTGGGGAGGGGGGTTGCTGCTGGATGTGATGCACTGCTTTTGGCTCCTCTGGTATCGGACGCTTTTCTCCGATGCACCGAATTCTCATTGTGCCGCCAGGTTGCCGAGCGCTTTGGCATGCTCGATAACTTCTCTTAAAGCCTATCGTAAACTGCCGTCGACTACAACTCATTTCTAAAGGAAATAGAAAAAAGAAAACAGCAGACTGACAAAGATAATCGAAGCAAAGTGACGTTGCTAGTACACTGTAAACCTTGCCTAGCCTTGCCCAACGGCGCGCCGCTGCTGATGCTCACAATGGTAGTAAAGGCTTTCAACTTTGGCTGCCCATTGTTGCGAGACTTCGTTTCTTTCTACGCATGACCGGTATGTAAGACAAGGGTTGAGTTTTCATCGCGTCTCATGAAAAAGAAAAATTGACCTATATTCCGGTATGGCACGTACTTATAGTAGCTGGTGACACTAAACTTGCTGGTAACATTGAATGATTACACTCATAATTTTGCATATAATCAAGGGATTCAAATGCACAGTGCAGTTATTTGGCGTCTAGCTGTTTGGTAAAGAAATAAAAGTCAAACTAAAGTTTTTTGGCAGCACTCATGGGAGTAAGATGTTTAGCGCCATGTACGCAGTAATTTACATGTCGCATGCAACATTTCTCTAGGAGCAGGAGATTACTCGAAGAACAACGTTGTGGGCTTGTAATGCTCCAATATTGAGGGCTCCTAAGGCACTCGGAGATTGAAATTCAATTGTGGTGTTGCAATTTTGCACAACTCTACGATGAACATGTTGCTATGAGAATCTTTTGAAGCAGTACCATAATAGTGAAGTTACACACATTTGATGGTACAAAAGAGGCCCTCGCTCATTTCATTCTTTCATTTCGTTCGTCGACTCGCCGCTCTTCCTGGTCGAGTTCTCCCCACCATGCGAGGAGGAAGAGTCGCGAGGGCACGTATCTGCATGCAGACGAGCAGGTTCTTTTGGCTGATGACATGTGCAGACGACAATGTTGATGTCATGGTGAATACTGAGACGGCTCAGGATTGCCAAAAGGTCCTGGGAGGAGAAGGGATTATTTCTTGGTAGTTGTGGGGTGCTCGCGGTTTGTAGCGCTGCCGCATTTGGCAATGTTGATTGAGACGCCATACTGAGCTCTATGTGCACACTTACTTAAGTTGTGGTTTAGGAGCACTTTAAAGAACGAGTTGTTCGCCGCAGTGACCGGCAGTGAAGACCAGTGCGTCAACTTCTTCGACGTGGAGAGTGCCAAGCCGCTGCTGAACAAGCTCCAGGGCCACTCGGCGGCCGTCCTCGATGTGTGCTTCAACTATGACGAATCTCTGCTTGCCTCGAGTGATGCGCAGGGCATGGTCATCCTCTGGAAGAGGTCGTCGGGGTGACCTCTTTTTTTTTACTGGACACCAGCGACTTGCCTTAGTTGAGGGGGCTGCTGCAGCAGTATTCTGTGCAGTGTTATGCGAATTAATTAGCAGGCAAATTCAGCAGCATACGGGGGACGTGCAAACAGCACTCTATGGTCTGAGTACAAGTGCAAGAAGCCTGTGCAATAGTAATGCATGCGAGCGTGTAGCTAGTGCACTAGTTATATTCCATTAGGCTCTTGTAGCTGGCATGGAATGAGTGAATTCTCTTTAAAAGCTTAAACTCTGATTCACTTGTCTCTATAGGCTGTCTATTGTAAAGACAGCCTCCTTTTCAATAGCCTAAAGCAAAAGTGGCCTATGCTAACCATACCGGTAGCTGGATTACTATTGTTCACGTTACAGTACGACTTGCTTCGCAGCACCAATGTTGTCGTTACTAAGCCTATCTCTGTGCTTCTAGCAATTAATGCCAAGGAACAGTGTCACGAATGGTGTTAAGCCTACTCTCTTGCCCTTCTGTCGTCGTGCCAAGTGGTGCGAACGTTTGTTGTCCTTGCTTGTCTTTGACCGCTGAGAGTGTGCTGTGCATGGGGACCAGCTGAGATCGGTGAGCTGGCAAATACCATATTCTGATACCTATTTTGATAGAGACCTTTATTATTACCTGTAATATCTAATGAGTTCAACTCTTTCCTTCAACAAGTGAATTAGTTTAATAAGCAAGGCACCATCCGATTCACGGCTTATTTCTCTGAGTGGGTTGCGCCAAGCCGTTGAGGAACCAACCAACCAACCTTTCCCACAAAAGTAGCCATCATAGGTGCCACAGTTCCAGTTAGACTTTCGCAGATAAAATTATTCGAAGACAATTCCTGTTGAAGTAATTCCTCTCCAGGCGATTGCCACTAAAGCATTCCTGGTAGCAACAGTTTTCATCAGTCTTTGTTATCTTAGTCGCATAGATGCAAGCTCCATAAACACAGCCATGCAGAGATAATAGTAGCAGAGTTTTCCCACTTAAAATCTGCTCAGAGATGATTACTAACAAACCAGTCGCCATGGCAGCATTCTGTAAAGTGGCAGCCCCCACGGCATGCATTGATTGGCTGGCAGAGCAGAAGCATGGCTGTAAGGTTTGCTGTTCTTTGCAGGGAAAGCTGCAGGACTTGATCACTCTGTACATCTTTCATAACCCTCATGTACATCGAGAGCACATTTTTACAACCTGCACTGTCTGCACCAGCTTTCCGTTTGACAGTTGTTTTCGTGATAGTGGTGTTGCATCGTGAAAGTATAATGCGTCATGGCCAAGTGCCATAAAATGCTAAGATTGGCAGGTAAATACAGTCTGTGTGTAAGCAAGGCAACTCCAAGATCAATCTTGGGGTCATGGCTTTTCAGCAAGAGCATCTGAGTCCACCTCCTCATGCTGCGTTACATAACGGGATGATAAAAATTGTCTGTTAGCTGCTGTATTAGTATAGAACCTCGTACAAACACTTGAAAAGTGTATTGCCTGAGATGTGGTGTGTAACAATGTGGTGTGTGGTGTGTTAACCTGTAAAGAAGTAGCAAACAAAAGTGCACAAATATGAAGAAGTAGATGGGACAAGTTCTTGGCTTGAAACGTAGAGTCGCAAGCTTACCATTGGTCGAGTATTCTTTCTTTGTCATCTGTACTTGTTCATTTTCGGTTCACTTTTGTGCTCATCACAAACTGAAGTACCTTGATAGGTCTCAAACGTCATAGTGTGCTACTGCGTCGCTGATACCGTTGGCCCCTACATCAGTGGTGCTAGTGCTTCCAAGCGCCAATTGAACCAGACTTAGCTGCTCCTGTCAATCAGACCACACTGTTTTGGGAGTGTCTCTGTAGGAACTGCAATCTGAGTGTGAGCCAAGTGTGATCAGCCACGTACAACTTCTGATAGCACCCAGACTTCCTGAGGGCTAATTGTTGCTGTAATGTACATAAAAAAGCATTCCATTGTTTTGAATGTGTAAATGTTTATCATAAAATTTGTCTGTTTTATCATCATCGATATTCATAAGCATTAGAGGATGTAATTTTATTTCAGTATTACATTGAACTATCAAATGAGATTATTGTAAGGTACATATGATGTGCCAGGATGTTCACCAAGTAGGCTTCACTTGGCCTCTGGGTATAAGCTCATGCTTTTTGAACTCCGTGCCTCACAAAAGCAGACAACAGTAGACTGCATTGCATTATTCTTAGAGAACTGGCGAATAAACCTAGCTAGTTTAAGGAGCTTTACTTCGTCTGAAATGGCTTGAATAAAAAATGAGATAGTACAACCTCTTGAAAACTTTAATGTGCTAATCTTCTAGCAGCGGGGTGCCAGTTCAACATTTAAGAGAAGCTGAACTGTGTGACCTTTGTTTACGCTTCTAATAAATAGTCTGCACGTCACTGCTAAATCAGGAGTTTGTAAAGTGTACTTTAGACGTGTGGACCAGCTGTTTCCTTTGTTTTTTAATGGTTCATTTAAGTTCTTTTTTGCTGCTACATTTATGCTGCCTGTGATTGACAGTGTTGGCTGTCTCGTTGCTGTGTGGTTTGTTAGACCAAAACCACGCTTGTGTTGAATGGTAATTATCTGAGCTGCATGAAAGTCGCTTTGCTTTCAACTTCCTAGATGTAGACATGAGCAGTATTGTTAGAGGTACGGTACCACTTTCTGGCATTGTTCATGCATTTAGTAGGATCCATATTAAGGGCATAGATCGGGTATTGCATACCAGAGGCATTCCTCTCCTGGGGTGAACATTTTTTGGGCTTAGGGTCAGAAGAGTCTTTCAAGTTTCTTCTCACGACTTCATCAACTTTTTCTTTCTCATTCTAATTCAGAACTAAAGTACTTGAATGCCTAAGTTTTGATGTACACTTTGTTTTATGCTTAACTAGATCATTCCATGACATGTTAGTTGAAGTGAGAGTTAAAAAAAATTCATCAGTTCCTTTAGCAGTGATTAGACCTCTAAAACAATTGTGCAATAAACAATGTTAAAATTGCAGCACAATTCCACATACACACAAAATTTTAGTATAAAGGGAGAAAGTCCCTTTCTACCCTTGTGTAATGATTAGTACAAATATGCCCCGTATTTAAGTAACAAGTCTGTTTTCATAATGGTACAATGCGAATGTAAAAGCCTGAAATGCAGGAAGTAGACCTATTGTAAACTCAGCGGAGGTTGGGTGACGAGCCTAATAATTTTATACTTGTGCTCGCTGGGGCAGATTGATGTGATGGTTTTGATGTGGCCCGTTCATGTTTGGGCAGGCGACACTAGTAGATGGCCGTCAATGATGTGCAATATGTTATTGCTGTTTTTTATGGCCAAGTTGTGGTTTCTGATTTCTGTGATGTGTAAATATATTACTAGCTTAACTTTTTTACTCTTCACCTATATCGCTGTAAGGCAATACATAGGGTCCGTACACATGAGTAATTTCACTACATAGTTTGCAATCGATACAATATATACAACAAATACAACAACACTCGAGATATCTTAAGAAAAAAAAAATACTCGAATAATGGTGAGCTACACAAATTACAAACAAAGTCACGGTCATACATTTGTAAACACCCAAAGGCTTCGAGACACAAACCAACAAACCAAACGAGATGTTTATGGGCCCCTCTGTAGTTGTGCGCAACATTCCGTCCGGATTGACTGAATAAAAGAATGTACATGCTTGGCAGTCTGTCTTTCTCAGTGCCTTTTCTTAAGGTTTTAGAGTACCATCAAGTTGTGGACTCCTGGAGCTGTATTCTGAGAAGATCGCGTCTGGAGGTTTCATCATAACATCACTTTTAGCGCGTGCTGATTGGTTGCTTCAGGAAGGGTGTGTGAGTAGTCGCTTCAATCTTCGGAGAAGCGGGATTCTAATTTGCCAAGTGGCACTGTCGCCGAAAGCAACTTTCTCGGAATACAGCCACGGTAACACCACAAGTATAATCAATGCCGATGAGACCCACTGTATTTACCGTATTTTCTTGCACATAACCCGCTCAACATATACAGAAAATCGGAGTTACATTCTGGATGTGGTTTATATGTAAATTTTTGTGCACAAGTTAGGTCTATGGCGCTACGTCACATAAGTGCAAGGAAGGCTGCCTCACAGTAGTGCGTGGATTTTTAAAGACGATAGTCTTTCTTGGAGACCTTTGACGCAAAAATTTTGGTCTTTCTGTCTGTCTGTACATTTGTCTGTTTGTCCGCCCTTAACAATATCTTAAACAGCGCAGCGCCCACCAATATTGCTCAAGGTTCAGCGTACATACTTGTGCGATTGTCAATTAAAAAGCAAATAATCTGTATATCTGAGGCACCATAACAACACGTCAATATTATGTATCTGTATATTTTACTAGAAAAGGCATACATAAGTAATTCTAAGGACCGTAGCGTTTATCACGTTGTGCTGACAGTGCAACGCTATGCTCGAAAAGGCAAGTGTTTCCAACACTTTGCTAAGACAACACGGTGGTGGCACCTACCCGTGGCTTCGCGTTCTACACATTTATCACCTCAGAGATGGGCATGCACGCCGTGCGCTTCATTTTTCAGGATAACTGCCAGATAGAGCTCATGTCTCACGTGTGACGTGACTTGATGCGCTCGTTCGCCTCCGCTGCACGCTCGAGGCACTCTAACGCAGCGCCTCCAGAATACCATTCGATTTTCTTGCGCAGAACATCAAATAAACGTTTTCTTCACTCTCTCCAGATTATCGTCTTTTGACGACATTTGCAGTGTAACATTCAGATACGGGGCCAATTTTTTCTTTCTATTTTCCTGCGCTTTGTAGCTGTGATGTGCAGGTTATATGCAGGTGTGGTTTATACACGAAAAAAAATATAACTTCTAAAGTACGAGGGGTTTACCTGTGCCTGGAACAGCACCATGTTACCATCATGCAAGAGTGGTTTTGTTTGTGTTTTACCTATGATTTTGGCTACCATTAATTTAGCATGACATGACCAAAAACAACCATTTATTTATCATGACGACCAAAAATATGGAAGCTTCTTTGAGAACCATATTTCTCGTACGCGCAGGATATCGGTTCTCTTGAAAGTTCATAATCCTCAAAACTCTACACCAATGTGAGCTCAAAAGAATTGAACTTTCATGTTTCACCATGGTCCACAATGTGAACCCATAACCTTGGAGAAAAAGCGGAAGGTTAACCATATGCATTTTACTTTTAAGACTAATATCGTAGTCGCGCATAATCTTTGATACTCCATCCATTTTTCTGTTTCATAGTGCCGTCCTTCCCTTTTGTAAACCTATTGCTGTCTATGTTGGATCCTATTAAAGCATGTCCTAACAAAACTATTCACTAGAATCGTCTGTTCCTCAATTCTCAGTCTTTTATCAATAGATCATGTAGCATTCTTGCTTTTTTTTCCTTTTACCTTTAAAATGAGACTTTAAATGTTGCAATCTTCCCACTATAAATTTGGTACTTTAGTTCCACTAAATTTCACTCTTATATTTCTGTTTTTGAAGTTGCAGTTTGTAGATACATAATCTTGGTGGTGACGAGGGGGGTGGGACGGCACACCCCTGCAACTTTGACCTATCGCTCCCCCCCCTTAATTAACCCTCCAAAAGCAAACAGTCAAAACTTGATGCATAAGTTCGCACTGAGTTGAATGACCATGGCTAACACTCACTTTAGAGTAATAAAATATTTTGCACTTAGCACGTGCATCCGGGATTTTTTTTTAATGATGCAATAGTGATAACGAGTTACATGGACAACAGCAGTAGCACACTCAACTTTTGCTGCAATAAATACCTCGCTTTGTATTGACTGTGTCTGTGGCTTGGGTAACCAGCAAGTCAAAAGCACGAAGAAGTAGCATTACTTGAGAGAGCATATGCTTAGGTGTATCTGTAATCCACGCAAAACTTTTTCAGCGCAACAGAAAACTCGGAATGAAAACGAATAACATGGACAGAGCACTATGTCCATGTCACTTTGTTCAGCTCTGCCTTGTTTAGTGCACAAAAAAAAAAGACTTCAGCAGGTCTTTGAGCACTTCACAAGGCGAGACCCAGCGAGCCAGCAACATCAAGCGGAGATCCCCGCCATCTCTGCCGAGTAGCGGCCAGTGCGAAAACAGTAGAGGCCCTCATTAGGGCACGCGAGTCCCCCAACTATAGGCAATAAATAAGTTTGTTTCAATCCAATGTTACGAAGAAATATTTGGCAGTAAGAAGCACCAAAAGATAACAAATCAACTGCTTACATTGTAATGAAAATTAACAATCATTCAGATGTGGATGAATCACATTGAATAAACACACCAAATTTGTCAGCTGGTTTAATGACTGGGAAGCTAGTACCGAGCATACAAAGAAAGTTAAGAAACCCTGGCATTAGGGGCACCAAGCTTGAAGGAAGTGCAGAGAGTCTTCATTTCTCTTTCCCTCGTAATTTTTTGTCTGTTTACTTCTCAGCACTGTTCGTTTGCGACTAACAGGGCTTCTCTGAAATAAATCTTTCTGTCTCGCTCTTTTTTTCCATCACTTCCTTGTGCCAATTTCTTTTTCTGTCTGTTTCCTTTATTTCTCTCTTTCTCTGTGCTCTTTACTTAGTTCACCAGAGTTACTATAACATCCCACGTCAAACAGATCAACGCACATGTTCAGAGAGCAAAGCAGAGAGGATGGAGGAGAGGGCCAAAAAAAAGCTTGTACTAAATGACGATAATTTTTGTTTACGTATAACAGGTCCCTCCGTGTTCGAACAGTTGTGTCATTAAAATACATTCAGAACAAGAACAGCTTGTTCGCACAAATGACACCAGGCCACAAATGGCATAACGACACTTAAGACACACACACACAGGTGATTAACAAATGCAGTAATATATTTAATTCTGGATGTACAAAATAACTTTTCTTTTTCATTCATTGAGTGAACAACGAATTTCCACCTTGCAGCTAACGTAGCCTCGGTGTCGACGGCCTTGACAACCCAGTCATCACAGTTGCACTTTGGCTTCGACGTTCATATGTGCTTTGTACGGCTCCAGGGCTGGTATCACCTCCTTCTCGACAAACTCCTTCACCTGCAAAGAACGTAAAACTTGTTTTTGCATTGATTCCATGTGGCATCTTCAAATTTACAGCATGCCACTCTAGAAGTCGCATACACACACAAACACACACACCTTAACAACTACTTCCTAGCCTGCTGGAAGTTTTAGTTGTTGCTGTCACTGTTACCTTTCTTGCATTGCGTGAAGCCACCTTGCAGTGAGTACAGTTAAAACCCCCTAACTTGACACAGGTTATCTCAAAGAATAGAATAATTCAGACCTATTTCTTGGACCTGGCAGGCCAGTGTATTCTTCAATGACATCGAATTCTTGTTACTTCGATCATATTTTGCCGCAACCTGTTTTGTCCGGACGATTCTTGGAATGCACCGAGCGTGAACCGCCCCATGCAGCACAAAAGAATAAACACAACGTTCGTGGACAACCGAACTGAGGCGGCACAGTCTACATCACCATTTGTCGTCAGTGTGAACCATGCATTAGCACTGGTAACAGCATTTTGGGGTAATTTGGGGCTAATGCATTTCGAGTTAGTTGGGAGAGGGGGTCTCGAGTCACGTTCACACGGTGAACAAGGTCACGAGTGGCGATACCTTCCCTTATAGGAACTATTAAATAGGGGATTTATACTTAAATAAAATGAGATTACAGTCGAATCTCGATAATTTGAACTCGAAGGAGCCCGACAATTGGTTCGAATTAAAAGAAGTTTGAATTAATGTAAGCTAAATAAATGGAGGGCTCTCCATGCACTGGCATATGTGCATTGAGCTGACACACGAGGGGGAAGTGTCAGAAGACTTACATTTATTCACAAATCACAAGACATCCGTTATTAATTGAAGTAATCGGTGATGCGCGTCTGCGCACATTTGCCTTGCTGCGAGTCAATCAATTTCGCACGCAGCTTGCAAAGCATTTCTACTTAAGCTTCAGCATTCTCCTTGCAAGAGAACTTGCGCGCAGAAATGTCTAGCGCCGACACTTTCTAACGATAACGACAAAAACGACTGCGGAGTGGAGCCTCCCGCTCTCCGCTATGCAGCCGTAAGCATGGCCAGCACGTGACGAGAAAGGAGGAGCGTCTCCACGCAGAGAGAAGCAGATCAACATTTGAGAGAAAACCAACACTTCACGGCAGCTTTTTTTTTTCTCTCTTCAGGCGCATCGTTGAAAGGAGAAGGGTTACGTGGCAGGTACGGGAAAGAGGGAAGCGTGGCACTGTCGCTTGAGAGACCCCCCCTCCCCCTCAAGGCGCAGAGTCGTTCAGTTCAGTTCAGTTTTCTTTTTTTTTTTTCTCTCTCTTTCTTCGTGCCAGGCGTTGGAAGGAGAAGGGTCTTTACGTGGCAGGGACAGAAATGAGAGAAGCGTGACACGAGCGCGTCGCAGATCGGCATTTGAGAGAGAGCAAACATTCCACCGCAGCCTTTTCTTTCTTTTTCATTTCCAGGCACTGTGCTGTGCTCCCGACCGGGCTGCAGGAATTAGGTGCCTTTTTTCTCTTCTAACCACTACTACCACCACCATTTCCTTCGCGCCCAGCGTTGAGGTGTCGCAGGTGCCGCCGCGAGATTGGGCGGGGTGCTGAGAGCATTTTCGGAGCGCGGTATGTTCGAATTGACCATCTGAAGTGCTTGGGTGTTCCAATTACCGGGCATTTTCGCCCATTGGAATACACATAGCTTTGACGGCACCTTATCGTGAGTTCAAATTAATCGGAAGTTCGAATTGAGCAAGTTCAAATTAATGAGATTCGACTGTATATTGATGTAATACTAGACACTTGTTTATTGTTTTCTTGATAATTTCGATAACTTGAAATTCGGTTTGTTTGTAGACGTTATTCCCCGTCCCATAAAAATCTAGTTTAATGAGCTTTTACTGTACTTGGCATATAACTCGCAAGTCAACCTAGAGATGTCGTGAACCACTCTGCCAGGTAATCATCAAATGAATTCAGTATCGATGTTTACAGCCTCAAAAATTTATTTCACTCAATATTTATCAAATGCAGCCGCAGAAAGTGTTTTATGCATGGTTCATGACCTCTTTAAGCTTGAAACTTTTTTATCTTTTGCAATTCCTGGATTTTTTTTGCAAGGACTATACAGTAACCCTTATACTTACAATTTGTTTCATCACTTGCATTTTCTTAAGTCCTCATCTCCAACTCGTGTGGCACAGCACCAGAATATCGAGGCAAGTGCATGCTTCATGACTCACCTGTTCAGGGGCTCTGCCAATGAACGACGATGGGTGCAGGAGCGAATCTAGCTGCTGATGAATTGGGGCAAAGTAGGGGTCATTCCGAATGCGCTCTACAAGGTCGTTGGCCAGGCCCTTCTCCTTGACCTGGGCGGCCGCCTGGTGCGACAGAACACGGATGCGCTCGTGACAGTCCTGGGAGAAAAAAAAATTTGTCAGCTCGCCCCCTGTGCCCAAAAAAAGACATCGCACAAACATTGGCGTGAAATTCGCAGCTAGGGGAGGGGGGGTGCTCACTTGCCCTGCAAAGTTATTTTGGCCTCATGGCACTTGTACATCTTATGGGCCGACTTCACTTCAAGGCACTAATGGTGGCATGTTAGCATAGTGCAAGGAATGGTGCTCTGTTCCCACGATGGCACCACCTGGCAGCGAGGATTCCATGACATTTGCACGTGGATTCCTACTAACAATGGGTCGAATGCCGGGGTCGCCACATTTGTGATACAACACTGTGTGGCTTACGTTCCTTTGCATCTACCGTGTTTTCAGCATTACCAGCAAGATAAAGCAATGGCGCGCGGCGGCTCTCATCTCTCATGCGTACTTTGGCACGTGGAGAGGAGAATAGTGGACAATCTCTCTTGCACCCTTATCTCTTGGTGGGGAGGATTATACATCTTGGCTTGCATTGGGCTTGCACTGGAACGATTCTGTCGTAGTTACGGTGCGCACAAAGGTCACTGCAATCGTTGCACGGCCTTCGTTTGCGAAAAGGGTGAGCTTTTCTGTACCTGTGAGTACGTTTCGTGGATCATTTGTGCGTGAGAAACGCAGGGCACGTTTCGATCTTCTTGCCATTCTGTGCGTGACCGTCCAATTTGTTGCTATCACATTCATTGCTTCGCCTTTGCTGCAAAGCTGTGACTTTTTTTTAATGAGTCATTTGATTTGCGTCTTTCTCGATATTGCAGTCACGGACAAAATGATAATTCTTCGCTCAGAACCAACCATATCAATGCAGGTGCCCGCACTCCTGCGAAGCTAACTCTTTAACGGTAAAGCACTAAAATGTCACGCAAAGCTCTATCACAAGACCCAACTGTACCAATATTGTAACAAAAAGGCAAGTTCAGTATTTATTTTCAGAACAGCAGCTCACAAAGCTACGCAAGAACAAAAAAATAGATGCAGCACTGCTTTTTCTTTTCTCCTGTCATGACTCTTTCCTCTCTTTCTTGTCTCATTGTTTTGTGCACTGTTTTTCTCCAGAAAATAAATAAATAAATAATCGTACCTGCCGGTTGCCACCAGCCTTGACCATGGCCATGATGACGTTCTCGGTGGCCATGAAAGGCAGCTCCTGGCGGATGTGGGCTTTGATCACTTCGGGGTAGACGACCAGGCCCTCGCAGATGTTCTGCAGCGTGTTCAGCACCACATCCGCTGTGAGGAAGGCCTCACCCAGGCTGATGCGCCTACGCGAAAAGAAAGAGCGTTCAGGAAAAATGCACGTGCTTCAACTGACAACAAGAGCCCACATAAATTATCTTTTAAAGGGGCACTACAGGCAAACAAAACTGTCAGAGATCAATGCTTGAGAGTGCCTAAAATGTCAATATCATATTCAGCAGCACTTTGGTAAAGAAGAAACTAAAACGATACTGATCAGAAATTGGAAACCAGACACCGAAATTCTACCAAAACGAACACCAAAAGTCTACTGGGAAGACATGATTGCTCCCATAAACAAAATTCATTTCAACTATTCTCGAACAGTTGTCTGCATTTGTGGAAGATTCCGTGTGTGCGGCGGCTGCATGCTGGCGCGGTCTGTGATGTCTAATTCACCACTGTTGATGCAATGTGCTCATTTTCCCTTCCAACAAATGAGCTTTGCCAGAGGAAAAAATGCAAGGGAAGGGGAGAGGGGCAGAAAAAAGCCAAATGAAAGTGAAAACAGGACAAAGATTCTGCATTTTAATCATATGAAACTGAAACCACATATGTGGCCCTAGCATTCCCACCAGAGGAGTCAGATGCATTGTCATCGCCGTGACACAATGGCACCTGGGCACTTGTCATCAGTTTGTGTTGTTTTGTATAGGGCCCGTGTACATCGTATCTGTTCACAGTGAAATGCAGCAAATTCTGATGCGCCATTTTCATTATGAAAGTGCACGACAAAGGAAGGTAATTTTGCACACTAAATATAGCTGTGTCATGTGTTTTGTGTGTGCCTGAGGCTTGTGAGCGTGAGTAGCGTAAACGGAGATCTTCAGGTGCACCTTGTTAAGGAAAAGTTACAGCAGGCTGAAAATAAGAGAATATCCAAACCTCCAAGAAAAAAGAAAAGTTTGTAGACTTTCATAAGCAACTTGGCGTATATTAGCTTTGTCAAGTTAACGGTATGCACTGGAGGTGTATGCAAAAGTGATAGAAAAGCCAGTAAAACAGCCTTTCAGAAGGTGAACAGCCAGAATAATAAATTTTCTTTTCTTTGAAGGAAAACTGAGCTTGTCTCTTCCTTTTCATCTTTTTCTAATCATGAAAACAGGGTCATGTTAATGTTTTGTTGTTAAAATGTGGTAGCAATTTATTCATGAGGATATTTATTATGAACTTGCCAAATTGAGTACTCATTAAACTAGTGTATATACTCTACTCGAAAGCATAGCTTTTTATCAAGCTGTGCCAAAAACAGTGGACTCCCAATAAACGAAACTCGCTTAAAAGAAAATGTCTCATTAATGGAAGTAAATGGTTTCATATGGCTGGATTTCTATGTGTTGCGCAGTAAACTTCATCGGTTAATCAAAACAGTGTTTATTGGTCACTTACGGTTATACGGCACAAACTCCAAACACAGCACAGACTCGCTCATGCCAAAGGTAGTCTCACAACCATGGCAACACCTTGAGATCGAGACAAGCCATTCCAGTAGCCATTCTCGCTTGTAGCTGTGGGAGCAGAGTCAGCGAGTCAATTGTACGATAGGCCTATTTGTGCGGCTAAGTGCGACGGATCACCGTGTTATTTCATCCCCATGGAAAGGAAGCGGCCGCACCATGCACTCTCGCTTGAAAAAAAAAAAACGTCAAATATTTAGGAGCTCGATCGAAGCGGCCTGCCCAATACAAAGGTGGCGAAGAAATACATTCCGAAATCGACGGTGTCGCGGATCTAGTAAAGACAGAGAAAAGGTTGAAGGCACAGTTAAGAACGGGACCTTTACATCTAAATGGATGCGGATACGGACGACGCCTTATGAACAACTAGAAAAAGTTCTTTTTCTGTGGTTCAAGCGTGCACGGAGTTCCAATTTGACCATCAGCGAACCAATTCTCAAGCAGAAAGCTGGAGAGATCGCCATGCGAATGGGTGTTAAGAACTTTATCCTAAGTGATGGATGGCTCAGCCGCTTCAAAACACGACATGGCCTAGTCTTCAAAGCAATCTAAGGTGAGAGTGGTGCAGTCAGCAGGGACATTTGTACCGACTGGCAACAGGGGCGGTTTTAAGGAAATTTTGGTGAGCTTTGAGCCATGAGACATCTTCACCGTCGACAAGATAGGTCTTTTTTATAAGGCGCTTCCATCAAAGACTCTCAGCTGCAAAGGCAAAGCCTGTAGTGGAGGAAAACGCAGTAAAGATCTCATCACTGTGCTGGTGGGTGCAAACATGGCAGGAAATGAGAAATTCAAGCTGTTGGTAATAGAAAAATTAAGGCACCCACGTTGTTTCAAAGGCGTTCGACACATTCTCGTTGCGTACCATGGAAACAGAAAAGCGTGGATGACCATGGCCATTTTCGAAAACTGGCTTCGGGAGGAAGACACAAGATTCGGCAAGGCAGGAAGGTTGTCTTCATTGTGGATAATTGCCTAGCCCACGGTCAGGTTCAAGGACTCCAAGCCATCACTCTGGAGTTCTTGCCAGCCAATGCAACGGCAGTGATCCAGCCGACGGATCAAGGGGTTATTCACAACATTAAAGTTTATTACCGCAGACAATTGCTCCATCAAATGCTGCTTAGAGCAGGCAGCGGGAAATGCTACAGCATAGATTTATTGGCAGCCATCCACATGTTGGCTTGTGCCTGGGAGCAAGTGAAGGCAACAACAATACACAAATGCTCTCACCATGAAATCTGCTCAAACTTGCTACGGGCCCACTACATCGCCTTAAAGGAATAGGTGCAGTAATGTGTGTGCCTTTTGTAGAGGATTACTGGCTTTAAATAATGAAGTCATTACAATAATCACATGTTCCAACACCCGATGGCAATGTACTCTTGTATTACGCATTATTACTGCATTATTTCATGTTGTATTGGGAAGCATATATACAGGACACGCGTGTTTGTAAAGCATGAAAGTTACTTTCACTGCATTTGCAAGCAGAGGAAGTTATTTCCACTGTATTCACAAGCAGAGGCGTGGCTGTGTGGTAGAACAACTGCTTGCCACACAAACCTACCTGATTTTTCTTATTTATTTTATTTGCATCTTTGTCAATTTTTTTCGTCAAGCACAAGATGATGACACATTAAAGCCTCATTAATTCGGAGTCACTGGGGCCATCAGAAAGCTTTAATGTAAGCGGGTTTTGGAATTAATAGAGCCTACAAAAAGTGGTATGCAAGGAACTTAGAACTATACAAAATAATCAGTGCTCGTCATTTGCTGTGCCAGCTAGCTTCCGGCTCTAAGGGTTATGTTTCCCAGCAATACCTGGTCTTTATTTTGCCGTGAGCATAGAGGAATAGTGGGCCTCGTTGCTGCCACAAAAAAAAAAGAAAAACGCTGTCATGATCGACTGAAATGTGCGCCTGCAGATAACAAGACATCTTTACTGCAACACAGTAGTGACACGTGGACAGCATGTCGCCTGCTCCTCGCTGCGTCAGCACGTCACAGTGCAACCATTCGCACATTCTTTGTGTTGTAATTATGAATTTAATAATGGTCAGTACGACGAAGCTCACGATGTATTTTGGGTGGAGACAAATTTTCTTTGAAAGTTTCAAACTTAGTTTTCGAAGTAGGTGTTGCTGGCAAAAACTCCCCCAGCAGTGCAAAGACGCGAATTGCTGGAGCAACTGGAAATCAGAAGTCCAGAAATAACGGGTAAACTATGACCCGCTGACGTTGCGAGAAACATGCGATAAGCTCCCGCGTGTCACCACTGTGGTGCAGTGAAGCAGGGCTCATTTTCCGCAAACCCACGTTTTGATCAACTTCGAAAACCTTTTTTTTTTTTTTCCGCTGGAAGAAGCAAGGCTGGGGTGCTTAAGCTGTCACTCAGTAGTATGGCTACGTTGCATTGCCTTGTGGCTATTAAGGGCCGTTGTTCCCGCGGATTTGCGGCGAAATCGGGATCTGGAACTGGCACATGGCACCCAAAGTTTTCGAATTAACCGGACTGGTGCCGGCCGCCGCTTCAAATTATGAACTTAAACTTACATAGCAAAGTACAGGACTGCAAAAATGCTTCGAATTAAGTGGAATTTCGAAATAACCGAGTTCAAATTAATGAGGTTTTACAATACTTCACTCTCAACCAACCACGCTGGAATTCGTGCAAAACGAGCTCGTTAATGTGATCGTGTTAATATGCTAAGCACATACAATGAGGCAGTACAGTATCATTCCTCCTTTCCCACTTGTTGTTTTGCCATTGCTCATGCCAGTGCGTCTCTCAAACTACCGGTGTCAAGTCAACTATGGCGATTGCCGAGGCGCGACAACCCCACAACAATTTTTGAAAAACTTTCATGGCGTCGGGGTACCTTCACTAGCAAAAGTTTGTCAACTGGAAAGAAGGAGCGGTATTGTCATATGGTAGCATATTTGCGCACCCTATTTTTGTAATTCGCTGAAACTATCTACTATATTTGGTTGCCCGCAGAATTTACTTCACCACTATTTCGCTCTGTGGTACATACATGCACTACTGTGGGATATGCATACAGACCGGTTGGCGCTGTCGTCAAGGGTGCGCTCCATCCACTGGGTGGCCTGCGTGGCGAGCGGGTCAGACACCAGCGCCATCAGGTGGCGTGAGAGGGCGCAGCACCGCTCGCTCCGCATCGGGTTACGCTTGTACGGCATCGCAGAGGAGCCGATCTGGGTCTTCTCGAAGGGCTCCTCAACTTCCTTCATGTGCGCCAGCAGGCGAAGGTCGGTGCAGATCTGTGTGCAAGGTTCAAAGCTCAACATAAGACAGAAATTTGTAAGGCTGGGTCGTATAATCAAACAAATAAGATTATAGGCAGAGTCAATCAGTCTTGCTCGAAAAATGAGTACAGACCGCCTGAATTAGCCCACGGCACAACCTTGTGACTCTGCAAGGAAGGTAAATTAAATTATTCTTGGCAGTGGTGGCTAATAGAAGCACTACTTAGTTGGAGGATGTGAAGTGGATCTTTATCCTTGACTTAAAAAAAAATTGAATCCAATGCGCATCTTTCTGTCGATAAACAGAGTCCAAAAATCACCTGTGCGTGAACACTAAACCGAGACCGTGTTGCCAACAGCCTCCCATCAGAAAAGTGTCAGCTATCAGTGTCAGTGTCATCGCTATCACATAATCGCGAAAGACCACGAGTTTGCATAGAATGCCTTTGTGCACGACTGAGCTGTGCGTGTTGTAATTTGTTGCCTTGTGAAGTGCAACTAGTGATGTCCTGTTGTTACTATGAACGTTGACGAAAAGTGAAAGTAATTTCACACGGTGAAATCAGCTGTATCGTGCCCTTATGCGTGCGCAAGCCTGTGACTGCGAGTGTGACAAAGGCAGGAGATCAGCTGTATGTCGACCAGGAGAAGTTTCCACGAACCAAAAACGTGAAAATATCAGCTTTTCGGGCGGCTGAAGCTACTCTATGTAAATAGAACTCGACTATGTGGATAGAACTCGAGTTCTACCCCAAATAAGTATGCACGCCATCCCAGATACATACGTACGACCCCTAATACATACACACGCAATTGAAGCATATGCAGAAATGCGTGAACTTCTGGGAGAATACATTTTTAATTCTAAGAAGAGATCCTATCTCACTCTCTACTTTTCTAATCATCAACCTAGGGGACGCCAGTTCACATTTTGCTCGCACTCGTGAATATTTGGTCGACGTTTGATTTGAGTACAGGTCGTTGTTTCTTTTGGACATAATCTGGAAGTCGTCATAAGATCCAGGGTCAGCGTAAAACTGCATTGTATAACAAAGGTTTTTAATACATCGCTTCTATGGGAATTTTGCTGGGTCAAACCAAGTCGCCATGCTAAAATGCGGGTCGTCACGAAACTGGGGAACATACAATTAAAGTTTCGCTGTATGCAGATATCAGTGTGACATGTACTGCCAGGGGACCAGATTCCAAAAACATACAAGAGCCGTGTGGGGGAAAACGAACGTCAAAGGCACAAGACCTTCAAGTTTACTCCCTGTATGTATGAAGAGAATGCTTGAGAGTTTTCAGACTAATTATTAAAATAACAATGTAAGCGAATTGCAGCAAATCAGAATATTCATAGGCACACACACTTCTCAATGAGCTCAGATTTTCTACAGTATTTACTATGGTGACACTGCAATCATTCTGCCATCGTAAAAATGACAGGTAGTACACTCAAACCAAATTTTGCATCTGACACGAAAGTATATTCGTTATATTCGAAAATTCGTTATAGAGGTATATTTCTAACACTATATCTATTGCAAGACTATTTTTTATTTACTTCGTTATAACCGGCATTTCATTATATTTGGATTTATTATATCAAGGTTTCAGTGTAGTACATGAATTCGCTTAGTTTTCGTGCTTGTGGCGTGCAGTAGTGGCTTTATTTGTTGTTGTGTTTTGGCTTTTGCTTCAAATGGCTCGCAGTGAACCTTGCGAGCCAATTTGAACTGGTGAGCCTAGAAGGGCAGCATTACTTAGTTGGCGGTGAAGTGGGACTGCTGAACCTTTTGAATACTAATTAGTACCACTTTCAAAACTCTGAGAGCGACACAGAGCCAAAAGAACAGAGTTTAGGCGAATCCACGTACTACCGGCCATTCCCGTGAAGGCTGAAGAATCAGACACTCGCTTCAGATTTCTCTCTAGTACATTATTACGAATCTACACATGAAGTGACATCTTTGCATGAGGTTGACTTATATATAGAAGTGGAGAGTCCAAATGTTTTTCAGCGCGCTCACCTTGTGAACCGAGGCACCAAGGCTGGCAAGCGCCGCGAGGCAGTCGATGTCGACCTTGCGACTGTACGTCTGGCCGCAAATTATGTACGCCCTGGAAAGCGTGCAAAAAAAACGTCTGCAACGCTCCAGCGACACAGCTCAAAAGTCACCATCAGTGTTTGTGGCACTACCATTTGGTGGAAGAAGAAAGCTGTTGACAGAGAGAGAGAGAACCATTTTCTAGCAGTCTTGTTTTACCAACGCTCCACACATCAACAGCTATGCAATGATTGGCCTGTCACGACAGCTCGCTCAGACGTCGCAAGGTTTTATGCGCAACATCCCAATATGCTAGGAAAAATAACTCGACAGCGTTGCTTTTTGGGTGAGTTGGAACAAGTCGGTCATAGTGGTGTTTGGCGCAAACACTATGAAGAAGAGATGAAGGAGCTGAATCTACATCCTTTCGCTTGTTTTTTATCTAGTATTTACACTAAACGCTGGGCTTGTGCAAATATTCAAATGCTTTGAATATTCAAACGAGTATTGCTTTGTCCAAATTCACTTTGAATTGAAATTGAAATTTTCGAAGTACACTCAAACCTCATTATAACAAAGTTGCATGTTACATGAAATTAGGTTTGTCATATCCAACTATTTGTTATAAAGGTTCGATACTAACACTAAATCTATTGCAAGAATATTTTTCATTTATTTCATTAAAAACCAGCTTTTCGTTATACCTGGGTTCATTATATTGAAGTTTGAGTGTATTCGAAATGAACAAATAAGTGCATTCTAGTCCACATGTACTCCCTGTGAAAGTGGTTTTACTGCAGTGAAGGGGTGCTGAAGCATGAAAACGCCTATTTAAATAAAATCCGCATTGCCGCAAAGGCTCCCTTCAATTTAAATGAACATATTAGCCTCCCATTGATTCATCATTTCTTTAAGTTTAAAAGCTCCTTATTTGTGCTTATATGCTCCAAGCTAATAAATTTTTAAATGCAACATATTTTACAGGTTATCACTAGCGTTCTACTTTACAGTCAAATCCTGCACATTCCACTTTGTTTAAACAACAGGCCTTGTTTGAGTTTAAAAGATACTATATATACATTGTGTAGGTTAGGTGAAAAATACACCCATTTTTAAAAAAATTTATGTGACAAAATTGATTCGAAATTATTCGACCAAAATTCTTATTCGCTTTAGATTCACTTTGAACCTAAAGTTCACTATTCGCACGGACCTACCAAAAACCAATATGACCGGTTAGGAAAGCTGGCAGAAGACATAGGCAACTGCATGCAACTGAAACACAGACTTCAATAAGCCACATTGTTAACCACACTGCCTTTTCTCTCTTTCTATCATTATCTCTCACCCTTCCCCCTTTTTCTAGGCCTTTCACCACTCAAACCGACCAAACAGTGGTCTGCATGCGACAACCTCTAGGCAGCCACATGAGTGTTGCAGCCGACAAGAAGAAACGAAGCTCACACAACAGCTAGCGGGTACCACTTGCCATCCCATGCTAGGTTCTTCTCTAATATAGAAGTCTTTCTTAGGATATTTGAACGTAGAAATATTGGTCTGTCTGTCATTCTGTCGGTATGTCAGACAACTCAGCAACACGGTGGAACGCCCAGCTACCTTGAACTGGTGGCTGCGTTCATACTTGTGAGCACTTTCAATCAAAAAGCAAATGTTATGCATATCTGAGGTGCAACATAAATACCCAAGTATTCCGTGGGGTGTTCCTTTACTTGAAAATACATGGATACATAATTCTAAAGACCCTAATGTTCCTTAGCTGTGCTGAAAATGCGATGCTATGCACAAAAGAAGACCAGAAGACGACTGTTGTCTATCGACGACATTTGCAGTGAAGTGCGCAGACAAAGAGCCAATGTTTTGTCCTGTAAGCTTTTCATTTCTTTACGTGCAAAGGTGTGCGGGGTTAGGGTAGTTGGTATTACAGTTCAAGCAGGGTACCATGTTCTAATTTTCTGATAGAACCGCGCTTCGATGTATCCACATTGGTGTCTCTTAAAAAGGGGTTCAACTGCATTTCACAGGATGCATACAGCGCAAAGTCAAGTAGAAGACAGCAAAGAATTAGGAAGTGTCAAAGAGACTGTTCAACACTATTGAAGCGCCATCTCGTTTGTGGGTTAGACAGAACGATGGCTGTGGATGGATGCAGCATAAGTATTATTTTAATCCCCAATAATATCGCTACACTTATGCAGACTACATGAACATGTGGTGTCACTCACTGTAACTATGGCGGGTAGAAATGAGAGTGAAGAAAGCAGGCCTTTGATCGAGTGAATATGACGTCAGAACCGATCATAATAACACATCTAAAAGAGATCATCTTTAATTTTTTTTTCACATGTTTCCCATTGAACGCTGAATAGACATGGTTGCAACAACAATAAAATATTAGTAGTACGAAACATGACAGGCGTGCTGGCTGCTATTTTGCCTTTGGCTTGCAAAAATAGAGTTAATCGTAGGCATTTTTTCCTCAAGTACTTTGAATTTACCACGAATAACCTCGTACTGTGTACCTTGGCTGTTGCCATTATCACCGCATTAATTTGTCCATCCTTTAGTCTACGCAACCTGCCAGTAAAAAGTGGGGGCTTGAATAGTGTTGGAGGTCCCCCATGAAACCACAGAGATCTCGTCTCTGTCATTGTCATTCTAGGGCGTCCTCCATCTGCTCACCATGAACATCACTATACAAGAACTTCAAGCTCAGATCTAAGATCTGCTGAATATTCCTTTTCTCGCAAACCTCCACAGATAGGAAGGCGAAAAGGATGCGGCCACGTACTTATCGAATCCGGCCATCTTGGTGACGAGCCTGTCGAGCTCCTGCACCTTGTCGTGGTCGCCCTCGAAGAGCTGCAGGAAGCTCGCCTGGGTGCCCGTGGTGCCCTTGACGCCACGGAAGCGCAGGTCGTCCTGCGCCCGCTTCAGGTTGCGCAGGTCCATCAGCAGGTCCTGCAACCACAGGCACGCCCGCTTGCCTACCGTCGTCAGCTGCGCGGGCCTGTGTGCAAGCCGCAGAGGAAAGAGCCACAAAGTGAAACTTGAGCAACACTGCATCGCTCCGCATTTGTACTATTTGTACAACTCAGCAAAAATAGCTTAGCAACCTGGCACCACCTTACCAGCGCCACATCATGCCCGTCAACACAGTCTTCTCCCATATATATATTTTTTTTTTTCAGAGCATCGCTCCAACGGCATTCCCATGATATGTGACAGTGCATATTATGCATTGCGAAATAACGTAACAATGAAAAAGTGTTTGAATCAAGAACTTGTTACCTCTAGCTCTTCGGCCCAACCAGACTCCCTTGAGGCAGAGTGGACCTTGCTAGCAAAATATATTCAGGAGCACGATTACCACACTTTCCCATTAAGAGCGAAGCTGTTCTTAGGTCGAGGCTTCCAGGTCCGGAGACCGACGTAGATCATAGCTGGACTTACCCATACAAAGTGGGTAAAACCCGCTATGGATATGTGCCACTTCTCCCACCACTCTCGTTACTCGCCAATACGCCCACTACTAACTACTACCACCACTTCCATCCCTCACTTCATCCCACTAGATTCGACTTCATTCAACATGATTGCACACCACCAGCCTCGCTGTTTCATCTGTTTCTGCCAGGCAGTGCTGGCTGGCTGTTTTCAGAGGTGAATCTCCCTAATGTCGAGGCTTGTTCGTTGGCCACACTGGCGCGCGGCGTAGCCGTGGCGACGATTACGTTGAAGACAATGATCACGGATGACTCGCTCGCGCAGTACATGACGTCTCGACATGCTCTACGATGCATTTCGTATGACTGGAAGCAACCGACAACCACCAGGGGAAGGTTCAAACACCTCGTATTTGCCAACTTCAGGCTAGGTATATGATACAACAAAGTAATAATAGTGAAAGCAAAATTAAATTCACAGCTCGACACAACATACCAGTTCTGACCAGTAAACATAATAAATAACTATACTCAACTTTGTCACTCATTTACACGCGTGAGTAGTCAATGTCACGGGTGATTCACGATAACACCGAATGATCCCACTGCATCGCCGACTCACCATCGCTCACTTCGTCGATACGCCGTGGTTTTTGTATACTAGCTCATGTCTGTTCTGTCCAACACGAGTGCTGGCCTTTCGCAAGTGTATATGCACACAAAAATTTGTTTTCCAATTCGCCATGCTTCGGAAAAAGCTGCATCAAATAGCTATAGAATCGCCACATGTGCATCTTGAGCGTTCATCCAGTCATTTGGTTCATACGCCACTAATTTTACAACATGCATAGGTGGTGCTGTTTCCGCAAACTGCCGACATGAGAGGCCCTTCTCTGCCCATCTTGTAAAAGCTAGGGCAAAAATATTTTATCGAAGTTAAAATAACCTAAACGAGTTGCATACTGGTTACTGAAACATTCTTCACAAGCGTGCTGGAGAGATAATGAGTGTGCGACTTTATGAGTAACAGCCTTTAAAAACCTAGAAAGAGAATGTGGTCATGGTTAACACAGTAACACAAAACACACAAATAAACCACTCATGACTATTTTTTTTCTTTCACTAATTGGAATAGCTTTCACTTACTGGAAGTGCGTGAACCCGAGTGTCGGAAGCATGGAGTACTCAGTTGCAAACTTTGACAGCCGCTGGATGCAGCGAGCAAGCTGCAGAAAAACAACAAGAAAAAATGAATTAGTGCATATGCATCTGAAAATCACTCCACAAAATAAACTTAAATTGCAAATGAACAAATGAGTCCCAACGAACAAATTCACATGGTTGTGGTGGTTAATAGATCAGCAGAATTTCGCCTTTGTTTCCAAGAAAGCAGTACAGGCTTGCTGCACAGCTTATGGATTGATTGACTGATTGATTTGTTCACCGAGTTTTAAATTCAGGAGTACACCACAGCCCCTTTGAGATATTTTTGTAGGGGGTCCTAACTTTAATGTTGAACATATATTATCATCTGGCATGAGCAAGAAAAACTGTGCGTGCATGTGTGTGCATGTGTGAGAGAGAGGTAGAAAAAAGCAGTACAATACTAGTACAACCACGAATAGAGTTCAGAGTCTACAAAACATGTCATTCTAATACCCCATGTGGCATTCACTCACCTTGGGCATGAGGATTCCAAAGGCTTCCTTCAGTAGGATTAAATCCTGCAGCAGAAGCAAGCACCCAGTTACATATAAGCCATGCCAGATCACAGCATAATAAAAAAATAGAAATAAAATCCATTCAAGCAGAATTAAATCCATTCAAGCACGCGTGTACACTGCTACAGCTGGGGATGCCTCATAAGCACCTGATAGTTCCTGTCTTCCTACAAGCACCAGCCCTAGCATCTCGGAGTCAATATAAATATCACACAAGTGCGTATCGCCTAACAAGATCATGTGGACTGCATGATAAAGATACAGTTACAATAACATTATACCAAACACATACACTGTATTATATTAAGAAGCAATGCTTGCATAACACACCTCTGGCCTTCTTTAAAAGAAGTACAACCATAAACAGAGCTAGCAATGCATTAATGTTATTAAAGTAGCAGCCCCTAATTTGAGCTATTTGCAATATTTATTGACAATGCCATAAATTTTGTAAATTATACTTTGCAAATACTGTTCAAAGTATTCATATATCTGCTACTATGCAAGCTTTAAAATTCATTTTCTAATTGCATGAAATGCTTCGTCGAAAGGAAGGCGAATGAATTCATTTTTAACGTTGCTGTTAGCACCAACCTGTAGGGTTGAAATGAAATGCATAATATGGACTTCCTTTTTTGTGTGTGGTATCTCAATACGCTATGTTGGGTCAGTTGGTGCATCGTTATTTGAAAGACGTGGTGCAAGCTTGAAAATGAAAAGGACAAAAAAGAGACACTATTGGCGCTCTTTCTGTACCTTCTTCGTTCTTGTCGATTTCAAGCTTGCGCCACGCCTTTCCAAGTGGTGTCTCAGGTTTGTAGCACACAAGCAAACTTGAGATACTACAAACAAGCAACCTACTCTGCCTCTGTCAGTTCCGCCAGCTTAAATGACTAGTCCGTAAGAACCAGTGCTTGAAGGAAGTACTACTTATCAGCATCCTAGTTCACCGCCGGAATACTATTTCCAAGAACATGTTGGCGGCATATGATGCCTTCTTGCTAAAAATTAATTTTCCATGAAGTCTCACCAGACATTTAATAAAAGCGAAAATCTGTGAGCACTCACATTTAGTACGGTTGGCAGACATATATCTGCTACATAGTTATACTGATACATAAGTAGTAATACATGGACTAGACAAAAGCAAACCAAAGAAAAAAATGTGTGCAGTATGCACTAGTGGCACATTGCTGGAACCATCAGCGTTTGACATAGAAAAGCATCGCAAGTACACTCAAACCTTGATATAACGAACCTGGAAATAACGAAATATCTGTAATAATGAAGTAAATAAAATATATAATCTTTCAATAGATATAGTGTTATAAACAAACTTTTATAAAGAATTTTCGAATATAAAAGGCTTATTTTTGTGTCAGATGCAACTTGTTATAATGAGGTTTGAGAGTAAAGCCAAGCTTTTGCTTGGGATGCTAAGTTTTTACTAGTAGTACTACGTATGGCCAGGCTTCACCCATCCGTCTTGATCAACTTTCCACACTACGCTCGTGACACATCGTTTTGACGAGAACATTTTTTGTGCACAATTGTGCGATGTTGCACATTATGAGTCACGTGTCATGTTACATTACTTTTAGCACCGTCACTATTTGTTACGTGACATTGAGTGATCTTAATTCTATCACTAGTGTCACGTGATGTAACAAGAGTTTCAGTCATGGAAAAAACACACCTTCATACTCGTTGTATTCCATGCCAAACTAATCAGCGCACGTTGAAGCATAAGTTTAAAAGAACATAGCGAATGTACACCAGTTCATGAAGGTGATTATTCCTGTTCGCACAACTGCACACAACGAAAAGGCTCAAGAAACAGTAAAGAGTAAAACGATTTTACTCAAACTTCAATATAACGAAACCAATATAACAATATATCGGCTATAGCTAAGTAAACAAATAATAGTCTTGCAATACATACAGTGTTGGGAATATACCATTATAACGAATTTTCATTTATAACAAACTTATTTTCGTGTAAGATGAAACTTCATTATAATGAGGTGTGAGTGTGTTAGTAAAGTACAATTTGACAACCCTGAAAACACCGGTTTTAGTGCGACATGAAGCTTGGGTAAGCGCGAAAACGCACGGGTGGAGATGCCACTTTGAGATTTCCACACCAAACACTGTGACGTCGTAGATCTTGAAAGCATCTTCTGGGTCGTACATAGCTTCTAATCGATAAAAATGAATTATATTTTCATCTGAGGATGCCACAGATCTGGCACACGAAGTTTCAGAAGATTTCATTTAGGTAATGTCGCAAAAATATGAAAAATACATTTCGAAATTTTTGACATCACGTGTGGAGATTTCCGCGCAAGATTTAAAAATGAAACTTCAGCCTCGATTTCTTCCGCTAATTATGAACTTATCATAGTGAAACAGGTGGCATTAGAGTGGTCAGAGTGCAGTTTGTTGATCTAATCCAAGTAAGTGTTCCTCTTTAGTGTCTCCTTTTAAGGCGTTTTATTCTTAAATTACAATATGCATGAGCATTGGCCTGACTTGCATACTACTTCAAAGCGCAGAGCTGTTGGTCCCCAGAGAAACTGCAGCTGGGAGTGAAGTCTGCATTGCGGCCCTCGGCAGCTGAAGCACCGACACACGGCGCTCGTGTGTTGTTTCTTTTCTCTGTGGGGCAAGTTCTGCGTTTGCTCTGTTAATTTTAGTTCAGGAATTGTTGCCAGGCAGTGGCAACTTCTGTTCACCATAATACACAAATTACACCAGTTATGGTTATTCATCAACGGTCATCATTGGCGGTTGGCAATTATTGAAAAGTTTAAATATTCTTTTGTATCCACACGGCCCTATACATATGCAAAATATTCGGCTACCATAAACCTTCATGACAGGTAATATTATCAGCACAAGAAATTACACAGCGTGCTAAATTTCACTAAATTTCTTGCACAAATAGCCAAATTAGTTTCACCAGCCACATCCCCTACCTTCACACGTAGTGCTTTTGCAAATGTGCCAGTATTCAAGCATATAGTGGCCCGAGCATAGTAAAGTGTCTGAGGCTGAGTATGTTGTTGCAATAGGGTGCTGAAAATTATACTAAACAATACCACCAAAAGACAAGTGGGGAGCCATTGCAAAATTAAGAAGGAATGCCTGCACACAAGAAAACCAATTCTGCGCTATGCCAAGATATGAAGCACCTACAATGAAATTAGTGCTGAACAGTTGCCACTGCTCCTCCCAATAGAGAATGCAAGGTTGGAGGGTCAAACTGAGATGACAAGCTTAACACACCAGCAACAGTGCGTCACTGACCGTGTTGTCACCGACGTAGCAGGAGGTGGCGCCCAGGTGGATGATGGGCGCCGCCTTGGGGCACTGCTTAGCAAAGACGTGCACGTGGGCCATCACGTCGTGGCGCGTCAGCCGTTCTTCGTCGGCCGCTGCCGCAAAATCGATCTCGTCCACGTGCTGCTGCATCTCCTTGATCTGCTCGTCGGTGATGGGGAGACCCAGGGACTGCACACAAGGAAACAAATCAATCCACCGGGTGATTAAATCTTTGATCCACCAAACGATACGTTTCCAGACTCGAAATTCCCATGGGCACTAATTTATCATGTCCTGTCTTTGAATGCTATTGATTTCATTTTCCGTTGGGCAACCTGTTCCTCCTACACTCTTATTTGGCCGTGCGCACGAACAACTGATTTTAGCTGCACTTTCAAGTTTTTGCTTTTGTCTATATGTTCAGGTCTCACAGTTGTCTTTTTTTTATTATATTACACATGATCATTGCATACTGTAAACTTGTTCGTCTGGCTTTTGCTATGATCTTATATATCCTGGCCTTGCATGTTGTCCCTCCTGCTATGATAAGCAAATGATAGGCAGTACTAATACTCATACCTCAATATACCGAACATGGACATAACAAAAGAATGGTTATAACCAAGTAAATGAAAAATAGTATTGCAGTACATACAGCCTTAGGAATAACCTTTACAACAAATTTTTAGATATAGCGAACTTAGTTTCTTGTTACAGTGCAACTTTGTTCTAATGAGGTTTGAGTGTAAATGCCAATTTTGGGACTAATATTTGCAATAAGCCATATAAGACCAGGACAACAGCATATGCGCTAGAAACCGTTTAGAGCGGCTGAATTATAGCTAATACATAAGTTGCTGTGAAGACAGAGGTCAGAAAGCCCGAGAGCAAAATAGAGAAAAACCACAGGGAATGTCGCAATAAGAAACTAACACAATGACAAGCTGACATGGCATATTTGACAGGGCATCCCTAGATAATTCTTCCCTGTGTGTATTTGGCAATGCATACCAGTCTAATCCAGCATTTCACTCAAAGCACGATATAACAAGCCCGGATGTAACAAAATAACGGTTATAATGAAGTAGTATAACGAAGTATCACGAATAGTCTTGGAATAGATATGGTGTTAGGAATATACCTTTATATCGAATTTTTGGATATAACAAAGTTATTTTGCTGCAGGATGCAACTTTGTTGTGATGAGGTTTGAGTGTGAAGCAACAGAACTGGGTCTGTAAGCGTCAACTTGGATATGAGATGTAAAATGTGCAGTTAGTGTTTTTTATTGTGCCCTTTTAAATATACATAGAAATTCAATGTTGACTAAGCACAGAGTGTGTGTCCCATGTCTTCATAGAAAAAACTGTATCAATAGCTTAAACACACGCACATGCAGATGTTGCCCGTAAGTGTTGCCTGAAGAAATTAAGTACGCCTTCACTGTCGCTTCATGTTGAACACAGCACTGGTTTGAGGGAAATTCACTATTCTGAGCAGCCCTGGTCATTGCATTTAAACACGATAGCAAATTATATCATGGTTGGTTGGTACATATCTGCATAAGAAACATAAATCTACAATAGACAAGCAGGGCATTCTGAATTGCACTGCCAAACTTCTCTTACTTTGTAGACATGAAGTTTGCCCCCCCCCCCCAAACCATGAGAGAGAAAAACAAAAAATAAAAGTCATGAAAACCTATGTCATACAAAAGATAACACATAGTAAACTTGTATTAAGCTTTGTGCCAAACCAAGGTCAAATGTCTAGAACATACGGAACAGAATTTTATAGGTCAAGCGTCTATCACATCATACAAGGAATTAACTTTCTTGCAGAGCACTTGAATAACACCCATTGATGATGCGTCACGTCAGTTAGGTTTCGTTAGCATAAAGCTTGATGCTAGTTAACAATGTTATTAGAGCTTTAATGATCTCGATCATTTTTACCTTTTATGTTTTTTCGTTTTTTGCGTGTGGTGGCTTGTGTTATTCTTTAAGTCCACCATGAGATCGCTTCTGTATTGAAGAAGATTTCAGTGCATTTCATTTCTATCAAACTAGTTATGAATTTGCACCCATGGTGCTTCTTATCCGTGTTTGTGTTGCACAGCCAGTCATGATTTATCGAACCCATATAAAAAAAAATTATGAATTGCAGTACCACATGCCACAACCATGACATGACTGAGATCTGCCACAGTTGTACGATAAAGAATTAATTTCATTCACCCGGAGGAAAATTGTGCTCATACTTGAATGCACAGTCACTCAAAATTCAGCCATTATGGCTGGGAATCAAACATGCACTCTCATATGATAATAAGGCCACAGCTACTGTAATGCGTGATGTTTTAGTTAAGCTTCAGTTAAACAAGTGCATTTAACCGACTGTCATATGCGCAGGCTTGATTCTGAAAGTGTTGGCAGCAAAGATTTTGTGAGTGAGCATACTGCAAATGTTCAGCTGTGAGTGATGTATGTGACATGCTCATGATTCGCATGGACAGTTATGACACATGCATGTCCGCATGTATCCGTGCAACCATTATCATCATCAGCCCAACTATGCCCCCTGAAGGGCAAAGGCATTTAATTAAAGTATTAAAAAACATTTATCCTGTGCGATATATTGCGTGCGCTCTTCACCACTGTAAAATAACATGTTCAGTTATGACATACTTGTCTTTTAAACAGCAGGATTTATGTACGTTTTAGTTTCCCTCATTCTACGATTCTTTATGAAATATGGACCTGGTTTTTCGGAGTTCTAGCTAAATTGCAAATTCCTCGGCGCGTAGGCACCCTGATATTGAAGCTTGCTAAATTTAAGCTCGACTTTAACGACTTGGTAGACATAGGCACTGTTCTGCTTGCGTGTAGCGAGCCCGAGAATCAGCACTCACGCATCGCAGTGAAGAGAACACCGCTCTCCGCAGTGTGCAATCTTATCGGACAGTCTGGACAAGCAGCAGAAAACCGTCTGCTCATGCAGAGTTCGTCTGCTACGGGATTAGGCGGGCCAGTTACCACACGACTAGCAGTGTCTACCGCTGCCAACACGTTTTGCACGAACACGTTTTTCGCGCTGTTGTACCTTCTCGGCGGTGGCCAGGTAGATCCACAACTTTCTCCAGGTCGAGAACTTCTTCTGGTCGCTCCACAGGAAAGACATCTCCGGGCTGGCATAGCGCGATGACAGCGGAGTCTGGTACTTGGTGTACGCGCTCATGATGGCACGGGTGTGCTTGCAAAAAAAGTTCGAAATGCGCGAATCAACTTTCTGATGTGGACAGGGTGAGATGCTTAGCTCTTCTTCGCCGCTACCTCTTCAGATGACCTTCCGAGGCGTAGCACGCCTCCTTCGTCTTCCTCCTCGCCGGTCTGGCGTTCGGTATCTTATCGCAGCCGCGACATGGCGAGTGTTTCGACGGGTCTGACGACTCCGTCGCTACACAATCGTCAGATTTATTGCCGCCGGCATCCGCTGCTGTAGGAAGCACGTCCGTGCGTCTGTAGCGGCCTTGGGCTATCTGCCGCTGTAATTATAATTTCAATCAACTACGCTAGGTGTTCTGAGAGCCCGCTGCGCGGGATTCAAGAGCGGCGCGTGGGTCGTCTTTGTAACGAGACCACTTCAAAAAAATGGAAGCGCTCGGGCCGCATGAATAAAATAGGCTGTAATAACAGCTGGACGGATCACCGGTTTCGTACGAGTACTCATATTTTCTTTCTCTATAACGTGAACTATTAAGTAAAAAAACAAAGCGGTCGTGACGTAATTGTGATGCGTGTGGCGCTTGTTGCAGCATAAAAAAGCATAGCCTTAGTGATTTGTAGTTATTACTAAATAAAAAACAATCAATTGCAGACACTTTAAAAGTTTTGATGTTCCATTAAACAATATTTTCAAAATTATTGTTTTGTTTTAACCAACGTCTTAAGTTTTGTAACAATGCTGAAAACGAAACTAAAGGGCGCACCGCATAGCAGTGACATCGTGGAAGTCCGCCGCCAGAGCTCCGCGTGTGCTGCTTTCCATTTCGAGCCGCCCAACATGGCGCAGCTCGATTAGTTTCGAAGTGGGAGTTTTCGCCGAGCCGTTGCAGCTCACTCTCCTGCGCGGGCACCCAGTCTCGTGGCGGCCGTTCAAGCCTCGCCGCGGGTCGACATGACGCTGACAGAAGGCTCGTAAGTCGCTACGTCTCGGCGTTACCGCTGTCTTCTTATCCAAACCTCTTCGCCATCCATTTTCTATAGTGCTCGTTTCGGGGGTCGTCGCAGCGCGCGCGTACTCCAGCGCGTCCCGTGTTCCCATACGGTGCTCTCGACTTTCGCCTGCGCGCTTTTAAAGGAAGGGACAGCGCACGTACAAGTACAAAGGACTTCGATCGTACGAGATACGGCTGTTCCCTGCGTGCACGCGTCGCCTACGTCATTGAGGCCCCCTCCTTGCACTTGTCACCATGGGCTGTCTTAGCTGATGCGCCGCTGTTTTTATGCTGACAGCGTGTTCGGGAGCACTGTCGCCGCTGCGGCGACCTTCGCGTGGCGCAAGGAAATGTCGTGAGTGAAAACTGACACTCCCTTCCTTAACGGACGGCGAGTCCGGTCGGTGATGGAATCGACATTCTTTTCTTGCTTTTGTTGAGGTTACCCTAGTTTAGCGCGATCGTAGGAGTCGAGGGCCACGCGACAGCTTCGTTCAGCGTTTTGTTTTTGTTTTTTCCCTGTTTATACAGTGGTGACACTCGTAAGGCAAGCCGCTTGGAAGTGTTGCATGCCGTCCTGTGGGCTTGTACAAAAAGGGATATGAAATGGCGGCACCCCGTTGTGATGTACCGTGTCACCCAAGTGCTCAGTAAACTCATCAGCTCAGTTCCATTCGTTTGTTGACGCGTGTCGTGTAGTTTACCGTAGGTTGTGGTCGCAGGCGACTCATACCCACTCGACATATTTCTAGACTGGAAAGTTTATTGCGTCTCCCGCGACTCTCCAGCCTACTCGAGTCTCCCGTCATTGCGTTTTGGGGAAAATGGGAAGCGAAATGCGGCATTTACGTGCGAGGTAAACATAGCGTGTCGATCGGTATAAGTTGAGCCGGTTGTAAAATGTCGCCACGTACACTTGCAAATGTCGCGCGATAACTCACTGAACAAAAGACAGTTTGAATCTGATAACACTGATAAGGGGGTAGTAGGCTGTGCCACTTTCCCATTTGCTAGCGTTTGGTGCCGTCTCGAAGGCTAGAAGCCTGAAGACGGCAACAAACCTCCGATATCACTTTGGCAAACAAGCTTGTCACTTGTCTATGTGCCAGTGATGAGTTTGTGTGCACGAGTGTGAAAAACGCGTGAGCTTTTTGTGCAATGTCATATTATATGTACTGTGCTTGACACATCTTGCTGATGGGCTTTGCAATGCTACTGTTGCGCAATTCCTGACAATCGTGTTGGCAGAATTGTAAGGGAAGGAATCCCAAAGTGTCACTACAGTTGCGAACATTCAAGGGCATTTAAAGTGCATTGTAAGGGAATTATTTCAACCATGCCAATGAAGGTTTCTCTTTATAAGAAGGCTAATAAGCAGTAAAATATGCAAAGTGATGCATTGGGCAGCACAGGCTTGGAGCTGCTGCATCACACCATGAGGTTACGATGGTCATATCAGCGAGGCAACGCAGCTTTCAAAGCATTTTTTGTATTTCGTGTCTGTTTGCATATTACGTTGCTGTTTCAGAATAAAATGCAGTGCATGTCTAGGTGTTACAAAAAGAAAGAAAAACTAGAGATGACAGAAACGATGTTCTTGGTACAGTTAGGTGTTGATGCCGTGAAATCAAGTTGATTTTGCCACCAACTGTTTTTTTCATGGCGTTTTTTTATGGTGAATTACATTGGGAGAACAGAAGCACTTAAAAAAAAAGCACGCTGAAAGTGCCAGTCTTCAGTGCTGGCGTGCTTCAGTGGTCGAACAGGAGTAGAAGCACTGTCATCCTCTGGCATAGCAAGAGCACTTTTGGGGCAGAGAAATGGAGAGCAGTTTGTAGTTCTCTCGCCTGAAAAGCGGGGTAGACGCAGTGCAACACTCGCACAACTTTTGAGTGTCTTTTCCTTCGCATTTGTTTTCTCCAGCCAGTGAGCATGGCGACAACGGTAGCAACCATGTGTTAGTTCGACAGCACTGATGTTGGCCGTGACAAGTAGAGACGATGACTGCTGTGAAGGGAATACTGTAGCCATGTTTGCTGGATGCATTGTTGCACAAATGTACCATGTAACTGTGAAGCAGGATAATGGCAGAAATGTGACTGACAGATTTCACGCATCTTTTGCTGCTGCTCCACTGGGAATGCAGGGGCTTCGAATGTTTCGGTTGCGCTATATATTTCTCCCCACTTGTCACCCTCACACCAGCTCTCCAGAAGCGTGCCGCATTCGAGTGGCTTTGCTCTCTTTGCTCTGCGTCCACTCATCGCTGCACGGCACCCATACCCGTTTCCTCAGTGGAATTCGCCATTAGTCTTGTATAACAATAATTTTCTGATGCTGCTAAAGTGGGGAGGTTGATTCTCGTGAATGTGGGTGTTCCACCAGCTCAGATTAAGGCTCTGTACCAAGGGTTGACGAGGAATCAGAAGAACATAATTGTCTCGCCTGCCCCGCGGAACATGGCATCCCCAACGCAATGTTGGAAAGAGGAGAGCGCGCACTCGAGCCCTTCTCCGCCCAGTTGTGGATCTCGATGGGGGTGCCTGTTTCGTAGTCTCGGCGCAATATGATGACCAGAGAGACCGATTCACGGTAGTGGCAATCAACCTCAAAGGGGTTACAATTAATGTGGCGTCGGTATGCGCCGAAACTGCCAATGCAGCTGAGCAGGTTGCCATTGCCTTGGCTCTTTTATATCAGTGACGTGAACATATATTTAGTGATTCCAGAGTTCCCATTCATGCCTTCAGTGTTGGAGCTGTGTGCAAAGAGGCCAAAAACATACTCTGTGAGAAGTCGCTTACAACCCATACCTTTACATAGTTCCCGGCTTATAAGGGAAACATGGACGAAGGGATTATCAATCTTAATGAGTTGGCCCACTCCAGGGTGCGAGGGTTAGCTGTCCGCAGCCACGAAGGACCTTTAGGTCGAACTGGAGATTTCGTAAACAGGGATCCGCCAACTACATACAATGAAATTGCCCAACATTTCGCCATGGATAGGAGAGTCTTTCCCCCTCCACATAGGAAGCTAAATAGAGCGCAGGCACTTGCATTGCGATTACTTCAAACAGAAACGTACCCTAACTCTGCCTTTCTCCACAAGCTTTACCCTGAGGTTTATTTAACCAACTCGTGTACAAAATGAAGCGGTTTAGCCACCTTACATCACATGCTCTGGAAGTGCCCTTCAATACGCGGCACCGATACAGCATCGTCCAGAAAGTGGGACTCCGGAGTCCGGACATAGCATCGCAACTTAGAGCTGTCCAGTGTGCACACGATGCGGCCCTAGGTCTCGGCCTTACTGTCCCATCACGGGAGCGGCCCGTGGTGTGCTAGGGCGCATGCCTTCGGACTTTCAAAATAAAGTTCTCCCAAAGCAAAGCCTTCTTATTGAATATTGTCCTGCGACTCAACATCTTTGGTGACATTGATTGTGATGTTATTGTGTCGCTCTGTGTCTGGCGATCAGTGTATTGTGCTGCCATATCAGATTTGTCTTGTAGAGAAATACCTGATAGAAAAAACTGGCAGTAGCAGTTGAAACTTTGCTAATTTGCTTAGGTGTATAATGGAGTACGACATATCAGATGCAAGTGTGGGGAAATGAAAAAGTCTTACCAGAGATTTAATGGTTTTTGTGAAACATTTGTTTAGAGTTTCAGCAACTCGAAGGTCGGACTGTCTAATCATGAAACGGAAGTGCGTAAAACGCCGTGAAACATTTATAATAAAATCTTTAGAGCTGCGCAACATGAAGTCATACCCATAACATGCGGCAAACAGGGAAAATGTGCGCTTGAGGGGATAGTGTGCGTGTGGTGGTGTGCTGCACACAAATAGTGTCGTGTGAATTGTGAATAACTGTTATGTGAGCACTGTCTCGTGCACCTTTTTCAAATTGGCCCCAATGTCACACGAGAGGGGAAGTAGTTCATATTCATTTGACCCACTCAGATTGTCTATTTAGGGGCATTCCCTTGCTTTCAATAACTCCCCTGTTGACCTAAAAAGATTACATGGATGATAACGTGATTTCTTCATTACATGGTCCCTAACAAGTGCCTTTACTTTCTGTGGCACATGTATGCGGCCAGTATGGTCAAAAGTGTACTGGATGCAGGTTCCATAAAAATGTCTCAATTTTAGAACGGAGCCATTCAAAACTCAATGTTTTCGGTCACGAATGAAATTATGAATGGCACTTTTGGAAAACTGTTCTACCTGCCTGCATCCCATAACCAGTACCCCCACCTGGTTTTTTTCAAGGAGGCAGTAGTAATATTCTCGGTTGCATTCACGCATATTCAGGGCTTGGAACATGATGATTGGATATATTTTATTATGGTGTCTAGGTTTCATGTCATGAGCCAGTACTTTATATCTCGGATTTAGTGTCCCGTGTGTGCTTGCGTGCGTTGTTTGCCAAAGGACGTGTGAAAAACTTGATTGAAAAGTTGTGGAACTCGGGTTCCCTCTTTAATGCTCCCTTATGTTAGTGGATGGTGGAAAATTAGTAACACTTGGTGCAGTTCATGGAAAACTCACTGAAAGAATTTAAAATGCCTGTTGCTTTCACACAATCCACCTGCATACAGTTATTGAATTTAACTTGTTTTTTCTGAATGAGTTGCACAGAAAATCTAAAATCAGTTGTTTCACCTGAAGCCACAGCCTATTGATGGATTGCTTTTACACAAGCCACCTGCATGCAGTAATTGAATTTAATTTGTTTCGTCTGAATAAGTAGCACAGAAATTACAAAATCGGATGTTTCACCTGAAGCCACAGCCTAGTGACGGAATGTTTCCTATGAGAAAACATGTGAATCTCTCAGTCTTTGAGGGGCCCTGCAACAATTTCCCTAGTAACCATCGAATGGCTTCACTGAAGTAATTTATCACCTCACAAATCAATCTCCACAGAAATTTTTAGAATCCCTTGAGTGCGAGCACTCTGGAGCTTAAAGATTTGTCGAATGCTGTACTTGCTTTCTCTCTTCTCTTACCCTGACAAATGCATTGGAAGCTGAGCAGGGAGGGGTGCAACGGCAAAAGAAGTGACGTCGCACACACATCGTGACTTGTCTTTCTTCGAACATGCAACTAACCTCCAGCGAGATGACAAGCGAGTGGCGGCCACCTACAGCGGGCACAGTAACTGTGTGGCCCACAATGCTCTAATGAGCCAGTGGCCGTGACTGTGGGCATATGGCGTTGCCATTTAAGTATATGGCAGCCTTTGGCAAATCTTGTCGGTGAATTAGTTGGTGCCTTTTAAAAAAAAAGAAACTTTCAGAGACTCAAATCATCGCAGAAAAATAGGCAAAAGAGTGTCAGTTTTTTAGGAACACATGATCATAAGTTAGGACTCGTTATCCAAGTGTGCTTAGTAAAACTTACTGTTGGGCTGGTTGTTGCATGTTGCAGTGGCTTGTGTCATCTGATTTTCTTATAATGGCATTCTTTCTATAGAGAGAATAGGGCATGATTTATAGCTGTACAAATGTAAATTCCAAGCCACGTCTCCATCATAGTGATTGGCTCGGGTGTTCTCTAGAGCCTATATGACAGATAGACAGCATTTTCTATGCTGAAGAAGTGTTGCAAGGAACTTTTGAGATGAGGCAGACAGTTAAGGACGTTCATGCCAATGCTTCTGTCTTTCAGCCGCAAGCGTCCCCACCCATGCAACGACGAGAGCTGCGAATTTATGCCCATCTCAAAGAAGATAAACAACCTCAGGATAAGGTAGTCATCGTTCGTTTCTTCTCTTCTTGCCTGGTATGTCAATATTTACGTTACAGGGCCGTAACCACGGTGCGCGGTGCTCAACTGCTAACCTGAAGGTCGCAGCTTCAATCCCGGGCACAGCCGTTCAATTCTAGAAGCCCATGTATTGTGCGGAGGCAGTGCACATCGAAGAACATTGGATGGTTGATCATATTATGGCTCTGGGACAAAACACCTCAGATAATATAATGTCAATCCTCGGCTGACATGACTGCTAAACAGCTGCTTCAAGCACTGACATGCATCGATGGTAGAACACAAAGCTGTCGGTCAGAGTACCTTGGTTCAATTTCGGATCGAACGAAGCTTTCTGTCTTCTTTGGTGTGGTCATGTGAATTTTTGTACTGGACAACTATTTTCACCCTAATCAGCATAATAACTAACTTTTGCTGTATGCTACTATCTAGTGATCATGAGGGTTCTTGCTGCAAGATTTTGGCTGACAGTCTTAGGCTTACAATAAATTACTCTACATTAGCAAATGATCAATAATATGAAAGGGGACAGTACAGAGAAATGTTCTGTCTTTCTTCACTAAAAAAAAAAGCAATTCGGTCTTTTTCTGACATTCTACTTTCGGTAAGTTTCTGCTAGCGTTATTCCTTGCAACAAAAGGTTAATGCCAAATATTGAATCACAGAATTTCACTTCAGAACAACCCACCACATTCGGTTATTACAAGGACTATTGTTATTTGAACCAGCGTACGATGTGCTGACACCCTATTTGCTTCATGTCTCGTGTTAGGATTTTATGTGCTAAAAGTGTCGCTTGAGCGAAAACAAACTGGGGGCTCTAAAGCTTTAGCATCAAGAGATAAACGCATTAGCAATATCCTGTCCCTAGTGCGTACTTAAAGAACTTGTGCACGGAATCTTTTCAAACTTGCTATGCACCCACTACGTGGCCTTAATAGAATAGGCGCAGTAACGTGCACGGCTTTTGTGGTGGGTGACTAGCTTTAATCCATGAAGTCATTTTGATAATCGCATGTCCTTACGTCCAATGGCAATGTATGCTTGTATCACGCATTATTACTGCAATATTTCATGTTGTATTTCGAAGCATTCATACAGGATGCATTTGTCTATAAAGCATGAAAGTTGCTTTGACCGTCTATTCAAGAAGAGGACGGTATTTTCATTGTATTCACTAGTAGACATGTTGCTGTGTGAGAGGACACCCACTTGCCACGCAAACGACCGGGGTTCGATCTTTACTCAGAGCCAGAATTTTTTAATATTTATTTTATTTGCATATTTTTGGATTTTTCGGTCATGCACAAGAGGATAATGTTCCGCTCGCAACCAACAACGGCGACGCCGGAAATTCTGCAAAACAAGCTCTTTAACGCTATCACATTAAAGAAGGGGCGCATGTATGCGTGGCGTGAATAGGGTGCCGTGTCAGTCACATCTGTGCATCAAGTCTGTGCTAGAGGTAAAACGGATGTTTCACATCTGCTGCAGTGACTGTGGGTGGCAAGGGCTGGCACTAATAGGGCAGTTACTATAAGTGATCTTTTACTCTTTTTTATTTGAGTGCTAACGTATTAAACATTGTAACACGTTTTTCTGAAGTCCAGTTTACCCAGTGCCTCATTTTTGGACCTATAACTTATTTTGAATAAATAAATTGGGGGGGGGGGGGGGGTACTACTCGTAAAATATCCTCAGTAGTGCATGACACTACCACAGGCAGAACAACTCAGTCATAAGGGCACCACATGTGCAGTGTGTTTAATGAGGTCCAACTCCTGCAGGCAGCAAGTTATCTTGTTTGGTATATTTTCTCACTATTATTTATATATTTCAGACTTTTTTTGTTATGAAGTCCATTTTCTCTGTACTTCGTCAGCCTTCGGTGTCAATTTCTAGTTGTTGCTACGTCCAATTGCTGCCTGACTACAAACATCTACTGTGGTATTTATGGCATACCTGATATTTCGTAAGAAAATTGCAGCAGTTTGCCACATTGACGAGCACATTGCAGTGGTCTGTTTTGCAATGTCTAGCCACAACCATAACCAGAAGGGCGTGCAGAGCTCAGTGTACATGCACACCTGTGAGCATGTACACCGTGAGCATGTACATAGTTTTGCTCTCTGTGCCGTCTAGTAGCGAGCTGTCTGCAAAAGAGAACATTTCTGGGACAAATTCCATCACAGCAATGCTCTCGACAGTAGACGGCTCGAGACCAGACAGTGTCAGTAGCGGTTTCAGCAAACATTTTTATGGTCCGTATACGTCTGCAAGTGTGCGCTTGCATTCTGCAAAATTTCTTGAAACACACTTCAAAAGTAGAATAACAGAAAAACTGCAAGATCAATTTGATAGGGTAGCATTCTCTCAAAACTCTGTTATCTTTTAACGGACGTTTTGAGAAATATCATATCGTAATAAAGAGCTATGAAAATTTTCAACACCATCTCTTCTGGTCTGTCGTTCTAGGGTCAACTCCCATGACACGGTGGACGAAGATGTAAGTGAAATTTTTTGCGTCTTTAAGTGTAATATCTTGACAGAAATGAGTTTGATCCTTGTAAGGGATGATTGCATAACTGTTTGACTGCAAAGGGCTGATCTTTTATGCATTGTGCTAAGGAGAAGAGGTTTGCTGAACGTTAGAAATAGCCATGCTGTGGAGTGCAGTCAAAACATGCACGTTTTGGCTTCAGGTTTTGTTTTGGCTTTTGATTTGGGTTGATTTGATGCAGAGGGCACGAGTCCACGCCAATTGCTACTGATGTGTCATAGCTGGATTCTTACGGGTTGGTTTCCAACAGTATAAGGTCTTTTTCTAGCATAAACGCCTTTTAATCTGTAATTGGAACAGATGTGCTGCTAGAGGATAAAATGTTTACAAAATTGTTGTACCAGGCCTGGCTACCCTATTTATGGTTCAAGCTGTTCACTGAACAGACACCTAACTTTTCCTGCGCAGGGACAGATCCTGCGACCTTCGAACTTGAGAGCCGCAGCTTCAGTCCCTGGCAGCAGCAAGTTATCTGTTCGTCTCCTTTACTTTCCTCACATTTACATTACGATTACTACTAACAACATTCCACGTACTTTTCTTTCTTGTCTGTTCTAATCAATGTTGTGTCCAACGAAGAAAAACAAGCCCTTAAAATTCTTTCTTTTGTTCAGTGTTACCATGGGATGGTAAACCTCAACTAAACTACAGTCTAGCAATGTTAGAAAGCTTGAACTCTGCAACACATGGAAAGAGAAAGCGAAGCCCAGACAAGATACCATCGGAATAATAAAAAGTTCCAGCAAAGCAAACTGTTTCTTCGATTCCCGCCGCCTGTTGGGCTGGGCAGCAGCTGGTCTGAGAACATGTAAGGCATCGCCATGTTCTCGTTGTAGTCTCATTTATCAGGCATGAACAGCTGCTGCGGTGGGCTGGAGGCTCGCATGTCTGTTGTCACAGAAGGTTGTATTTGACATCTGCTTTTCATCGTTCAGAATGTCTCGGAGCCCCCCCCGTCTCTCTCATCTTTATTATCATTTATTATTTTTTCTGTGACTCACTTCACTTTCATTTTTTCGTGAATTCGTTTTAATTCCTTTTGAGGCGTCCATTCGGCTTTACATGACGGATATGGTGCTTGGCTGCAGACCCAAAGGTCACAGCCACTGCGATCCCATTTCAGTGGAGGTGAAATGCTAAGGGCTCTTGTACTGTGTAATGCCAGTGCACATACTGTGTGGCGCCAGTGCACATTAAGTAACACAACTTGGTCGAAATTTGAGGAGCCCCTCATAATCATATCATGGTTTTGGGACATAAAACCCCAATGATTGGTGAAGCAGTTGAGTGCCATCAAAGCGTAGGTTGAAAAGTAAGCAGGTTCCTTTCCACAGTTTTAGAGAGAGTACCTGGTGGGAGCTTCAACTGTGTGAGTGCCTCGTCAGAGGCAATCTTGCATGGAATTCCTTACATTTCATTCGCTTCTTGATGTGAAGCTTTACAACACCGGCGTACCTGAAACAGCGCAAAGTTGAGCTAGTTAGCAGTAATTCATAGTTGTCACTTAACATGTGGAAGCAATGACAGAAGAGAACCAGCCGATGCAAATGCTGTCTCATGGTTGGCGCTTGGCACATCAATATTAGAAGTCGACGTGCATGCATGGGGCAGCCTCTGATTGCTGCGCTTTCAGGAAAGAATGACATGCTTGAGAAGTTGCGTGGCTTTAGCACAGACCAGCTGTTGCTGCCATTTTTTACCATGTGTATTAGTTATGCCTTGAATGGGTGACCCTTCAAGTCATTGGTTTGCGTTAGTGTTATCAGATTCTTTCGTGTCTGTGGTGATTCAATGATTGTGCAAACATTGTGGAAAAAACGAAATAAGAAGTGACTGATGATGGTTAGCATTTATCTCCAACTTCACACAAATGCCTTTGGTGTGATTACACGTGCTATATATATATTTTTTTGTATTTCTTGCAGTAAATGATTGTTGGCAGCACCAATCCTCATCAGTTCCTTGTTTTGTGTGTCCCTTCTTCACTGTTCAGGCAGTCATAGCGTGAGAATTGTTTCTGTGCATTCCGCCGTTTCCTTATGCTGAGCTCACTTTTCTTTGACAGACAAGCTCTTCGGGCGGCTCCTGTCCTGACCATGCGCCACTGGCATCCATGCTCTCCAACGGCGTCGACAACCCCCACTATGGAGCCATCAACCGGCTTCTCTACGAGGCACACATGCAGAGGCAGCAGCGACTGCTCAGCGCCTCCCATCAGCGACACCCAGAGCACTGTCCCGGTCCGAGCCGACTGTGACCGCTCCGGCGGTGCCTTTATGGGACGATCGAGGACGCTTAGGGTTTTAAAGCTGCCGATGCAGCAGTTTCACCCTGACAATGCAGCACTGTTTATGTAAAGATGTGATGGCGGGTGAGTCGCAGGGCAAGATACGTGCACTCCCTTCGAAGTCTGCAAGCCGGCCACCTCTCCACATCGCTGCAACCAATCGTGCCGTTCTTCTCAACGTGACGCGAGCAGTTGTGCTGGCTCCTTCATTCCAAGGGTGTTTCCCATCTGCAATTGCCTCATATCTCTCGGTGTTTCTTTTTCTCTGTCTTACCCCCTGCTGCAAGTGAAACCCAAGCTATCACATCGCCTATGTTCATTGCGCAGTACTAATCGTAGACGGCTTACACGTAATGGTGTTATGTTTGCCTGCACAGCAATGCCAGTCATGTTGCACTGCGATTAGAAAGGTGTGCGAAGACTGTGCCGAAGCTAGTGATCTTAGGTGCAACATGTGTGACTGGTTCTCTGCTTGCGCCGAGAAGTCGCTCGCCATCGTTTCGGTTTCAGTGAGTGACTTCGCTGTGTATGTTCATTTTGCGACATGAAACCTCTATGCGCAAGCTTGCAGCTCGTGTTAGAAATGGCATCACCAGTGAAGGACTCTTTGTCCTCTTCAAACGTCGTGTACAGCCAAGCATTTGAGAAACTTTTAGAAGTGTGCCGTGGCTGCGCAATTCGCGAAGATTTTGTGCATGAAGACTTGTGCGCCACAGTCGCAGCATCCATAACTTAGTGACACTGTGTTTACCGGTCCATTGAACGGCTATGTAGGGTTCGCAACAATGCCGTCTCTTTTTCTGCATCGTATGTCATTATGAGCCAGTCATACGCATTACTGCAAACAATCACTAAACAAATAGTACTGCCCAATGAAGCCAGAGTAACAATATTCTCCTATTCGCCACATTAGCATCAAGTTTTTTATCCGAAGCAACTAGTTCATACTAAGGCGACATTTCTGTTAGTGAAGTCAACTTGTGGCTGCACTTCAGTTCATTGACGGTGCGAGATTGTCATTTGATTTTTAAGCCTTGTATTACAATCCACATGGGACAATTATCAGCGTTTTCATTGTGTGTTATGAGGGCCCTCATGTCTGATGAGGTTGTTAAGGGGGTAGCGTGTGACTTGTCTGCAAAGGTCTTTTTCATGAGCCTTCACACTGACGTAGTGCCATATGGTCAAATTATCTTCTGCAATGGTGCGTACATGTTGCCAGGATGTGTGTAATTCTGTGAAAGAATGACTAACATTCTTTGCGATGTTGCATTCCTGAATAAAATTATTCATTGGGGCAGATGAATAGGCAGATCAATTTAGCAGAAGTGAGTAAAATTAGGTCCACAACATGGGTGGACCTTCGGGAAATAAATTTTTTAGTTACTATGGGCAAAAAAAAAGTGTTTTGCACTCTCAGTTATGTCAACAGGTGGCACTGACTGATGCTTCCACGTTCAAATGCAGCTGGTGAGCATAGGATATGTTATTCGAAGGTCGCAGGATCGGTCCCTGCAATTGGCAAGTTATCTTTTCGTCCACTTTTCTTTGTGCTTTCTTTGGCGCAAAGAAATTGAAAGAGGAAGCAAGTAAATAATGGAAAGAGAAAGGAAAATATGAAGAACAATTAAAATAAAGAAAAACAAAAGTCGAAAAAAAGAACCAAAAGGAGGAGGATGCTGAGGAAAGGATGAGCTGTCATCTCCATGGCAAAGCCCCTTGCTGACCTTGTCTTTTATTCGAACATTTATCTCCTCCCCTATGAAGATAGCATCTGTCCTCGTCTTCTACAGAGTTTTCATTAACCTCCGCGCCCCCACAAATGACGCATGATGGTACAGAGCGCTAAGCACTCAAGTTCTCGGCACACTGTTCATGAGCAGTTGTACCAGGTGCAGGTCAGTCAATGAGAGACGAGCCCGGGTTTCTGCACCAAGAACGATGTGGGAAAATCTCTCTGGAGTATTTATTAGCACATTGCATGACACCGTGCAAACATGGTGTACCGTAGCATAGTCCAAACCATAGAGTTGCCTAGATATACACTAGAGGGAACTCTGACGCTGGTGTTTATGGGAGTTTCAACGCATGGCGCTTCAGCGAGCATGGGAAGTATGGGTAGTACATGGATTTGCCTAGTCTTCTTACTTACTTTCTGGCTTCGCGGCTTGAAGCTGCTTTGTCACGAAGCAACAATCGGCAAATGTTTTTCAGTTATGCTTCACCAGCTTCACCTTTTGGAACCACCATTTCAAATCTCTTCAAGAAGTTGAAAACGGTTTGTTCTAGCATTCAGAATGAAATCAAAACACAGCCATAAACGAAGCCACAAGTGCGATTCGCCGCTCGCAAGCATAAAGACTAGGCATATTAATGTTGAAATTCCCATAGTCACTAAGCGATTGCAGTGCCAGAGTTTCCTCTAGTTAATATTAGGAAGCTCTATGGTCCAAACTTCCCGGCGGCCTCTGTTCCACTTGCCCCGCCACGGTGGTCTAGTAACTAAGGTACTCTGCTGCTGAACCCCAGGTCGCGGGATCGAATCCTGGCTGCGGCGGCTGCATTCCCGGTGGAGGCGGAAATGCTGAAGGATCGTGTGCTCAGCTTTGGATGCACGTTAAAGAACCCCCGGTGGTCAAAATTTCCGGAGCTCTCCACTGCAGCGTCTGTCATAATCATATGGTGGTTTTGGGACGTTAAACCCCACATATCAATTAATCTGTTCCACTCTCTGTGTCTGCTGCGCACAGAATTTCCAACTGGAAACTAGGAAGGCTGCCCAGCTTCAGACTTCTTTCGGGGCTGGCACCGCTATAGGCTACCAAGCCTGCCCCAATTTTTTTTTTCCTGCACTTAGGAAGGTGGCGTGAAATATTTTGAAAATAGCATGTATTTTTCTTGCGCGTTTGTTCACTTGTGAAGATGTTAACAAGTCGTTCGTGCCCTCCACGTTATTAGCGAGCTGCAGTGTTTCCGCGCAAGGCAAGGACTTGTTAAGGTCTGTGTCTGCGTCCCTAATAATGCAATAGGATTAAAGAGTTCATTTCGCAGGAATTCCGGTGTCAGTGCAGACTTCGTTGGTCGGGAGGGAAAAATTGAGAAAGATTCAAATAAAGTATAAACAATAAAGTTTTCCTAATTTGAGTGGGGATTGAGCTCAGGCAGCCTGTGTGGCAAGGAGGTGTTCTTCCGCAGAGACACAATATTTGTTTATACCGCTTTTGAGAAAAATGCATATTTAAAATATATCAATGTCATTTAGTGAAAGGAGCCTCCTTAACACATTATATATTATGTGGCAGATGTATGCCCCGTCGCGGTGGTCTAGTGGCTAAGGTACTCGGCTGCTGACCCGCAGGTCGCGGGATCGTATCCCGGCTGCGGCGGCTGCATTTCCGATGGAGGCGGAAATGTTGTAGGCCCGTGTGCTCAGATTTGGGTGCACGTTAAAGAACCCCAGGTGGTCGAAATTTCCGGAGCCCTCCACTACGGCGTCTCTCATGATCATATGGTGGTTTTGGGACGTTAAACCCCACATACCAATCAATCAATGTGACAGATGTATGGAATTGCACCATTTGTCAAAAGATGTCAATACAGCAACAAGTAGGTGTTCTCTAAAAGCCCACTCAATAAGAAGCGCCCACATATTTAATCACCGTCAGCAGCAGAAGTTTGAAGGAAGTGAACAGCTGCACAGGTTCGTGTGTTGCACTGTGGACATGTAGTGGGCCCCAGCTGATTCGCAAAAGGATTAATTATGGCATTGTGGGCACTTATAGTACTTTAAAGCAGTCAATGTTATGCGCACAGGCGTTCGTTCCATAACTGCATGGTCGAGGCATGTATCGAAAACGGAAGCAGGCGAACGAATTGGAAGCCAATGCACGAGAGTCCTGATTATGCTAATGCGATCTGCTCTTGAAGGTGAACTTCAGGGAGCCTCCAATTTTTATCAAGTGATTTTATCACCCCAGTTTAGCTCCACCAAAACAAAACCCCACTCTTCCAAGTCTATACTTGTGGCTGGTATTCCATACCTGTGACAGGTGTAGCATGCGTGAATTGCTTCCTACAAAAAACTGTGCCTGTAAAAATGATGTTCTAAGCACACAGCGAGTTTTTTGCCTCAACTTATCATCGCACATGTTTGAGCAGAGCACTATACGATGTTAAGTCCCTGTGATTGTGAGCTTTCGTAGATTGTAGTTGTGAAAAATGAAAAGTGCCTAAATTTTTAAAGCAGCCCCATTGCAGTGGATAAAGTACTGCTAAGGGACCCCGGACACCTAATTTGGAAACTCTAAGATGCTTGTGCAAACATAGCGTATTGTAGCCTAGTCCAAACCATAGAGTTTCCTAGATATACACTAAAGGGAACTCAGGCTATGGGAGCAGCAACGCATGGTGCTTCAGCGAGCATGGGAGTTGTGGATAGTACATGAATTTCCCTAGTCTTTAAGATATTTTTTAATTTGGTTTTAATGTAAGCGTGAGGGCTCATAATATTTTCAGCACCTCGGGACATCATCATACGTTTGGTGTAAACTGGAGCTCCTTGTGACCCCCCCCCTCCCCCAAAAGCCAGTATTGTCGATGTCACAGAACATGCACGAGGCACACACGAAACCATGAATGTCACCCAACGATTTCCACTCTCAAAGTGTTTTTTTTTTCCTGGAGGGTACAAGCTGAAAGCACCCACATTGTTTCATTCTTCACAACGCAAGATTTGGAAGCTGCAGGTTTCTCATCACTGAAGCTTGAGCGCACGTGGTCCCTCGTGCTCCTTTGCTGTGGGGCACTAGTTTCTTGAAGAAACTAGCAATAATTTTGGGCGGGTGTTTATAAGTGACTAAATATTTGTTGCAGTTTGTGGTGTTAGCATTAATTATACGCTGTGTTTGCACATTTACGATTAAATTGCAATATTACCACACTCAAGGCACAAAAAAAAAGAACACAGACCTCGTCAAGCCGCTGTTTGGCTTTTCGTCTGTGTTTCTGTTATTTGTACTATGTATAAATGCGCAATAAAGATAAAGTTCAAATTACAGCAAAGGAAGAAGTCGCAAACAAAAGTTTTGCTCTCTGGGGTCCCTTAAGAAAAAAGTGCATTCGGAAATTTTATACTAGGTACTGCCTTTACCGTAACATTCTGCTTTGCAGTGAAGCTCGTGTTGTATTTTCAATCTGCCAAGCTTGCCGGTGTGCCCAGTGTTTTGATGATGTTGCAACACTGGAGTCTTGGGCTGTGTATCTCTTCTTGCTGTAATTATACTGGAGAAACCCATGCAACACTTTTTGATGCGCCCATCTTTGCTTATTTCTTTTCCTGTCATTTGGTTTGTGTAGTAGTTGTGTGATTGGATTTACTGATGTTATGAGGTCATAACGAAGGAGGATCGTTGGGTTACACAGTACAAGGCTGGCAAAGGCAGTATAGGCTCTCGCGCAATTACTGTGCTGGTCTTTTCTTGTCCTCTTTCATAGGCACATACCCGTTTGTGCATCTGCTCCACTACAGTGGTGATAGTTTGACACTCCTTGCATGATTGCATGCTGTGTGAGCTGTGCTTTGAAGTCTTCAAGGGACTTAGCCCTCTAGTGACCAGCACGCTGTAGCCTTCACACTTGACTCGGTTGTACAAATGTCTAGCCGTGCAAGTAGCTAAGACTAAGGAGAGATACCACTGTAGATGAAAGACGTGGAGACTGTCGATTGGCTATCCTCTACTGGGAGTGGGAAAAAGTGGTATCAAAGGTGTGTGATGACACTACCAAGTCGACATCCAAGAAATACATTGCAGTGTATGCTATGCTGAACCGCTGTTAATCATTCAGTCCACTTTAGCAAAGGAATCTCACCAACACTCGCAGAGTGGCTTGTACAGTAAAGGCTCTTCAGTATGGAACTTGTTTGGAAAATGGGATATCGCAGACATATTCTCTGGTCCTGGCTACCATATGCATTGTTTAACAGTGTCGATTTTCTTTAATTTGGTTACATTTGGCAGTGACCTAGTTAATTCAGATAATCGCCAGTGTACAAAGAGCTATAAATGTGCAACATTAAGGAATGAAAATGGCGTTCGTGAACAGCTGAAATGACCGCAGACTGTCAGAAAAACGTGTTCACCCTCTACGATCACGTTGTCGGAAAGTAATAATTTAAGGGTTCAGAGGATGAGAGTCTTGAGCCGCATTCACATTGAGAACTAACTCACAAATGATGAAAATTGTGGCTTTTGCAATATTCCTGTGTAAAAATAATTACTGGCTTTATGTATTTCTCAAGCAAATGAGAGTACATTGATGTAGTAGGCATTGATTTATCATTTTTCTGATACTTGCGATCATTTGCCATTCGGTTAAATCATGCAATTTGTGTGGTCACCGAACTTAATTATCCTCCGCTGTATGTATAAGCCAGTGCCTTAGAGTTTTGTTGGATCCACAGGTCCAAGGTAACTTGCCTAGAAAACAAAGTGTAAAATACACAGGACTCGCAGAAAGGGAACACGCATAGTGCTTACTTAAACAATTTGTTAGTGTGAAAACAATGCACTATGGATGTGCAAATGTCTAAGGCCCGTGTACTCGGATTTAGGTGCAGGTTAAAGAACCCCAGGTGGTCAAAAATTTTCAGAGCCCTGAGCAGCGGCATCATTCATAATCTTGTTGTGATTTTGGGACATTATACCCCAGGTATTATTAAAACAATGTGCCACCTATAAATACGGAATAGACTCCCAGAATACTACGTAACAGGACACAGCACAGTCTCTCTTCTGTGTGTCCTGTGTCTTTTTCACACTGTTTTCTAAGCATGTATAACTAACAGGCCCATCTCTTTTCACTCTAAAGTGACACGCTTTTTCATTTGTTAATTGGTTGCTGTTGGCTTGTTTTAGCCTCTTGTCACGATTTCACGACACACCAAAATTGATGTGAATATGAGAGGGAGAGAAAAGTTTTTGTAAGTTGTGTGTGGCCATCTGGCAAAGACCCATTGGGATGTTGCCATTTGTGAAAGAAAAAAAATTTAGCAGGTTGCTTGAACACTTCAGAAGGATTTCGTGGTTACATTCATTTCAGGTGCACAAGTTTCGATTGCCACGTCTTGAATGTTGGTTGTC